AACCCCAGCCTCACTTCTTCTTCTTCTACCATTCGCCGAACCCAGCCCCTGTTCTCTAGTTCCCATCGACGTTATTGGTCCTCTCTGATTCGCACCTGTGTTTTTATATTCAACTCTGGTTCGCATAGGCGACTGCGGTGCTGTTTCGTTGTCGATGTAAGTCTCTTTCTTTCTCTCTAGCTCAAACCCTAAATCGTTGTATCCTCTTATGTTTTGATTACTTCTGCAAACTGTCTTCGGGTTTCTTCATCTCGAATCCGTTCCTCAGTTGCTTTATTCGCTTGATTTCCGCATATCTCTAGTTTGCGATTGAGATTGTAATTATTGGACATGCCTGTTTTTATGGCCTCGTGGAAGTTGATTATGTTGAATGTGCGCGTGAGCTTAGCTTGGTTGTATCGTTGATGATAGTTAGTCTGACTCTTGGTTCGAATTATATAGAATCTTCCTGACATGAAACTTTTCTCTGCTTGCAGAGCCTTTGCCTATGGCCACAACAGAAGCCACTCCAGCTTCTGCTGGTCCAAGATATGCACCAGAGGACCTAACTCTTCCCAAACCATGGAAGGGGCTTATTGATGGAAGCACAGAAATTCTGTATTACTGGAATCCTGAAACTAATGTCACTCAGTATGAAAGACCTGCTGCGCCTCCTCCACCTTTGCCAGCTGGTGCTCCTCCGCACTCTGCCACGACGCCAAAGCTCGCTCAGATTCCCGTACCCTCTTCAGGACAAGGTCACCAAGCTCAGCACGAACAAGCAAAACCAGTTGGTCACGTGTCTCAACTGCATGGTTTACAACAACAGCCACAGCAATATCCATCCCAACATGTAAGACCCCAAATGATGCAGCAGCATCCGGGCCAGCAAATGCCTCAACAATCAGCTCAACAGTTTCCCCAACAACAGAGCCAGTCGATGGTGTCGCAGCCACATGGGCCTGTACCGACTTATCAGCCAACGACACAGCAGCAGCAGCAGCATCAAGTGATGCATAATCAGCATTCACAAATGCCTCAGCAGCTGAGCCATCAGTATGCACATTCACAACAACAGTACATGGGTTATCGGCCTCACATGCAACCACAAGGGCTTCAAAATTCACATCAGACACCTCAGCGTGGTCCTCAGGGTCAGCAGTTTTCTAGCCAGCATGAGTACAACTCCTTGGCCCCAAAGAGGGATGGGGATGAGTTCCATGGGGGTAAGAAAACTGGGTTTTCTCAACCCCATTTACCAAATTCTGAAGGTTCACCATCTCAAAATGCCCCTTTTGAAGCCAATACAGCACCTCAAAGAACAAATGCAAGCTTGTCTATGGCTCAGAAATACAATGGACCTCAAGCAAACATGCATCATCCGGTTGCAGTCACACAGTTTCAGCAGCCAGGGGCTAACTTGATTAACCAGCAGCTTGGACCTAGGCCTCAAAATCAAATGGACCCGACAATGTTGCACCAGAAGTCGCATACATCCCCTTTCCAATCAAATAAAACTTTCGAGAATAATGTACAATCTAGACCTGGGAATGACTCTTACGTCAACGCGAGAATGGAAGGGCCAGTGAGGGGTGCCCAACCACATCATCCTGCTGCAATGCCTAAGGTTAGCTGCTGATGATCACTTCTCCTATCTGTCTTGTTCAATATTTCTTCCTCACAGTTATTTCTTACGGAAATAAGCATTTGTAAAATGCTATGCAGGATATAAGGATAGGTGGTGGTCCACCTGCAACTGCTGATCCTGCCATGGGGCAAACAGGGCATGGATCATATGGACACACTGGCCCAGCTTTTCCACATAAATCCTCGGTGAGGCCTCATTTCGTCACATCTCCTGATGCTCCCCATCTATCGCCCGTTGAAAGCTACCGGAAACAACATGAAGTCACAACAACTGTAAGTTCATATTTCTTGGTTGCTTTACTTAACTTGTGAGTGATTTTTTTTTTTTTAAGCTGTAATGTGCTGTAATATTTTGCAATTGTTGTTTCAGTGAATGTTTGTCCATAAACTCTACTGAGAATGTGGGATTGGACGAACTTCAACTGGAATAAGTAATAGCATTTGAGAATAGTGTTAAACCTTGCACTTTTTCGCATCTATTCTAATCTGTGTACGGCCTTTAAATTTTTTATTGTTTATTGTGAAGGGCGAGAACATTCCAGCACCATACATTACATTTGAAGCTAGTGGTCTCCCTCCTGAAATACTTAGAGAGGTTAGTTTTATTATGAACTTTATAAGCGGTGTAGCTGTGTAGGTTCTTCATATATATGGTGCGCTAATGTTTGTTTATTTAATTTCCAGTTGCTTTCTGCTGGATTTCCATCACCAACACCAATCCAGGCTCAAACATGGCCAATTGCTTTGCAGAGCAGGGATATAGTTGCAATTGCAAAAACTGGTTCTGGTAAAACATTGGGATACTTGATCCCTGCCTTCATTCTTCTAAGGCACTGCCGTAACGACTCTCGCAATGGCCCCACAGTTTTAATCCTAGCTCCTACTCGGGAGCTAGCCACACAAATACAAGATGAAGCCCTTAGGTTTGGCCGGTCGTCAAGGATATCATGCACTGTGAGTTTTATTCGAGTCTCTTCAACATTTATGCCAGGGCTGATAGAGCCTATACTTATTTCTTTTTGTTTATGATCTATATTCTGGTCGTTAGTGTTTGTATGGTGGAGCTCCAAAGGGTCCTCAACTGAAAGAGTTGGAACGAGGAGCTGATATTGTAGTGGCAACTCCTGGGCGTCTAAATGATATACTGGAGATGAAGAAGATTGATTTCCAGCAGGTATCCCTTCTTGTGCTTGACGAGGCAGACCGAATGCTTGACATGGGTTTTGAACCCCAAATCCGTAAGATAGTGAATGAAATACCTCCTCGGAGACAGACTCTTATGTACACAGCAACTTGGCCAAAAGAAGTCAGAAAAATTGCAAGTGATCTTCTTGTGAATCCTGTCCAAGTTAACATAGGCAGGGTAGATGAGTTGGCTGCTAACAAAGCGATAACGCAGGTGATGATCTTCTAAATCATTTCTATCACTTTTAAGCATCATCCCACATAACTTGGTGATGAGGTTACTGAAATAAATCCATCCTTATAATGCAGTATGTTGAAGTAGTCCCTCAAATGGAGAAAGAGAGACGTTTGGAGCAAATCCTTAGGTCGCAAGAACGAGGTTCAAAAGTTATAATATTTTGCTCCACTAAGAGGCTTTGTGACCATCTTGCACGTAGTGTCGGACGTCATTTTGGCGCTGTTGTGATCCATGGAGACAAGTCTCAAGGTGAGAGAGATTGGGTACTTGGCCAGTTCCGAACCGGGAAATCTTGTGTATTAATAGCTACTGATGTTGCTGCCCGGGGACTCGATATAAAAGACATAAGGTTTGTTGTAACAATTCTTGGTATATATTTCTTTTTGTTGTTTGTTGTGAAGATTCCTTATCTTTGTTAATGTTATATTACTACAGAGTTGTGATCAACTACGATTTTCCAACCGGAGTTGAAGACTATGTCCACCGTATTGGGAGAACCGGTCGAGCAGGTGCAACTGGAGTTGCATTCACTTTCTTCACAGAGCAAGATTGGAAATACGCGCCTGATTTGATCAAAGTCCTTGAAGGAGCGAACCAGCAAGTACCGCCTCAAGTAAGGGACATTGCAATGCGTGGTGGTGGTGGTCCTGGTTATAGCCAGGATCGAAGAGGTATGGCTAACCGGTTTGACTCTGGCGGTGGTGGTAGCCGTTGGGATTCTGCTGGAGGATTTGGTGGGCGTGGTGGTGGATTTGGTGGGCGTGAGGGTGGGTTTGGTGGCCGTGAAGGTGGGTTTGGTGGTGGCCGTGAAGGTGGGTTTGGAGGCCGTGAAGGTGGGTTTGGTGGCCGTGGTGGTGGATATGGAACCAGAGATGACTCATTTGGACGTGGTGGGAATCGTGGTCGGGGTTTTACTGGTCCTGATGCTGGTCATATAAATGTTGGTGGTAGAGGCGGATTTGGTCGGTTTGGCAATAATAATATGGATGGCCGAGGCTTTGGTCGTGGTGGTGGTAGAGGCTTTGGTCGTGGTGTTGGAAGGTTTGACAATAGAAGAGGTAGAAGTAGTAGCAGAAGTCCTGATTTGGTCAGGCCAAGGCGCCGGAGCCTGAGCTATAGCCGGAGTCGAAGCCGGAGCCGGAGCTATAGTCGTAGTCGTAGCAGGAGTTGGTCACGTTCAAGGAGTCGCAGCCCTAGACATAGTCGTGACCGTGGTGGTCATAACCAGAGCAGAAGCTATAGCCGTAGTCCTAGTCCGGTATATGAAAGACGAGATAGACGGCCACGTGTTTCTGGGTTTGATATTCAACCACCATTAGAGTCTGTAGTGAACCCGGACATGAATGCGGCCGCAGGTCTTGAAACCGTGGTTCCTAGGGCCATGTCTGAGAGACAAGGGAATGGAGTTGTTGAATCGGAGGTAGAAGCGGCTTTAGTACGACCAGTGGTTGATGAACCCTAAAAAAAGCCAAAACGTAGAATGATGTAAAACCTCTCACTGCGGCGAGATTACAAGTCATCCCAAAAGTTTTGGTTATCGAATGGATCCACAAAATCAGACAGCTGATGCGTCATTTAAAGATTTGTTGGCGGGGGTAAAACTTTATTTTCATTTTTTTATTTTTTTGTTTGGTCATTTTCTTGTTGTATCATGGAGAATTAGTTTGTAATGTATTTGAGAATTCTTATCACTTTATGTAAAAACCTTCTACTGCCTTGAAAAATATCTGGAGAAAAGGAAAACTGTAATTATAGATGGACAGAGATACACAGCACTTGGGAGATGAATTGTACAATGTCCTTGAAATGGTGAATGCTCTAAAAGTCCAATTCTCTTGCATCAATGCATGGATTCTTAGCTCAAACGTACCTTTGAATCTAGAATAGTTGCTTAGGTGATAATGAAGCTTATATCCTATGATATTTTTGTGACGTAGCTTCTTATTCATACAACAATTTCAAAGTGTTCCAGTAACGAAAAGAAACAAATCAATAAATTCAAAAAACGATTAATCTTTTGTGTGGGGAAACTAATTAACAATTGAAAAAGGGATTACTTGTGTTGAAATGAAAATTAATCTAATCGCTTTTTTCGGGCGACGTCGTTCTCAGTCGTCTTCTTGGCATAGTTGTTAGAATGGAAGTTGGAAAAGAGAGCCAAAAGAGAAGCATTAAACGCAGCGTTGAAACACCATCCCCAAATCCCGGAGCAACCCGACCCGAACAAATGTTGTCGGAGCATCCAACCGGATAATCCGAAACTGAAAACGAACTGGACAATCTGACAATCCGTCACCAACCTCTTCCACTTAGGCCTGGACCCGACGGCGCAGAGGAAGTAGTAACCGTACATGATGACGTGTACAGTCGAATTCGTCACGAGCGCGACCGGAAACATAGACTGGCGAGTCCGGAGCCAGAGATAACACATGACGACGACGGTGGCGTGGTGGTAGACGTGGAGGAAGGAGAGCCGCTGGATTGATTTGCCGAGAAGGATGAGGATGGTGTCTCCGAACTCGAGGATCTTGGAGAGGTAGAAGACTTGAGCCCAGAAGAAAAGAGGCCCGCTAGGTTTGACGTCGACGGGGAAACAAATCGCGCGGAGGAAACGCGAGGACGGATCTGAAGGAGCGTGAGACGAGGCGAGCATCGAGAGAGTGCAACCGACGGCCATGATTAAGGAGAGGAGACAGAGGATGAGGCTGTGGAAGGCTGTGATTGGTTTGAGGATGCGGGGACTGAGCGATGGGAGGGAACTGATGGCGGATCGGAGGAGGAACGTGGCGGAGAGGTAAACGGAGACAACGACGGAGACGAAGAAGACGGTGGAGCCAAGGGTTTGACCTTGGATCCAAGTGAAATTGGCGATGTTGGGGTGGTTTACGAGCCAGTAGGTTAGAGTGGATGCCATTGACTCCGGTGAATCGACGGCCAAGTTTGAAGATATGAGATTAGAGAGAGACACGAAGGAACCAAAGAGAGAGAGTTTTACCCCCCAATCCGCTAATTTTTTACATTCAAGTTGGTCTTATTCATTATCTTTTTTGGGATTTGAATCTTTTTTATTATTATTATTATTGTCGCCGTTTATTTTATACTGTTTTTGTTCAGAGGTGGCAGGGTAATGCTGTAAATTACTGTTATCCATGTTTTTAAAAAAATATCCTAGAAAATATTTTCGTTTATTTGACAGCAAAATATATAAATGTCACGTTGATATGGAAAATGAATTTAAAAAACTGAGTTAACAAGTTAAAGTTTGTATCAGCTTCAAAAGTTGAAAGTTAGGCCACGCCCCAGTAGCCCCCGAGCTATAGCCGTTGAGATAGAGTTATAGATTTGTAATGCAATGAGAATAATTTCATCGTTTATGTAACACACCAACTACGCATATATGGACTACAACAAACTAGCTAGAGTTGGGGTAATTAAGTGTGAGTGTAGATGGGTGTTAAAAAAATAATAATAATAATAATAATGAGTGTGAGTGTAGATAGATATAGATATGCAACATTTAAAGATTTTTAAATTAATATTTCAGTAACACAACTTTATTTGGTGTGTTTAATTTGTAGACTAATCTCAATGTTCGACTCCAAATGAAACGTTGGTTGGCGAATGCATGTCAATTGCTATCTAAACAATATCAATCAGACGATGATTATGATTTATGTGACTTTATAATATCTTTCTATCATCTTATTCATCATAAAATAATTTAAAGCCATCCCAACATTTTGGAGTGGCAACTAACAAACAATACATCAAACAAGAAAGTTTTTTAATCATATTTTTTCGAAAATAAGCTTATGGCCTTTTTCGCCCACCTCTCTCCGTTTATAAATATAAAGGATTCGATCTTATACATGTTGGAGGTTGTAGACCTCGCATAGTTCTTGGAATGGAAGTTGTAGAAGAGAGCCAAGAGTGAAGCATTAAACACACCGTTGAAATAAAGTCCCCAAACCCCGGAGCAACCCGACCCGAAATAATGCTTTGGGAGCATTCCCCCGGTTCCTAACCCCAAGCCGACAACAAACTGAACAATCTGACAGTTCGTCACCAACATCTTCCACTTGGGCCTCGACCCGACGGCGCAGAGGAAGTAGTAACCGTACATGATAACGTGCACCGTCGAGTTCATCACGAGACCAACCGGAAACATAGATTGGCGGGTCCGGAGCCAGAGGTAGCACATGACCACAACCGTGGCGTGGTGGTAGACGTGGAGAAACGAGAGCCGGTGGGTTGATTTGTTGAGTATGATGAGAAGCGTGTCCACGAACTCGAGGATCTTGGAGAGGTAGAAGACTTGAGCCCAGAAGAAAAGTGGCCCGCTAGGTTTCACCTCGAGGGGGAGACAGATGGCGTGTACCAAACGCAACTTGGGATCTTGAGACGAGATCAGGGAGAGAGTGCAGCCCACGGCCATGACTAAGGAGAGCAAGAAGAGGACGAGGCTGTGGACGGCTGTGATTGGTTTGAGAATACGGGGACCGAGTGTGGGGAGTGCATCGATGTAGTATCGAAGGAGGAATGTGGCGGAGAGGTAAACAGAGATTACGACGAAGACAAAGGAGACGGTGGAGCCAAGGTTTTCACCTTCTGTCCACGTGAAGTTGGCGATGTAGGGGTGGTGCACGAGCCAGTAGGTTAGGGTGGAGTAAAGAGATGCCATTTATTATCCTCCGGCCAAGTTAATTTGGAGGAGGATATGTTATGTATATATATACATGTATTAATGGAGTAAACTGATACCATTGCGTCTTCGTGTTTGTGTTTGGAACATGGGAGTACAACGATGCCATTGCGTTGTGAATACTCTCACTCACGCGTCTCTCCCGCTTTCCAGGCGCTGATATGGGAGAGAGACCAATTAAGAGAGCAGACTGAGGCTTAATGACCCGATCGGCTACTCTATATATATTCAAGTGGGATGATGCATATATTGCATTGTTAATTTGTTTTTAACGTGGGAAGGTACTATCGTAAGGATCAATGCATCATCAATTGTTTTATCAATCATGCATAACGTGGGAACGTAATGTCGTAAAATTTAGTTATCAATGTGACGATCATTAATAATGTTTCGCAACAAAAATAATGAAAAATTTGTCTTAATTAGAGGAAGTTTAAGAAAATATAAGTTTGGGCTTCGGAACTCTAAATAAGCAGGCCTTCGCATTTGAATTCTCGCAGAAATCTCTTGAGACGGTGTCTTTTATTATTCTTACTTTACTTCAAAACAAAACCAAGAAAATATATTGATGGATGTAAGTAGCTCGACAAAAAAAAAAAAAAAAATGTATCATGCTAGTAATATTAAAAAACATATCCAAATCGATTAAAACGCGATATAGGGTTAAAAAATATATCCAAATATTAGAAATGCCACTAGTAGATAAAAGATATTATGTTCGGAAAGTTCGTCCAAAAAATTTGTTTTTTAATATAAGAAAACCAAATAATATTTTTGTAAATCGTCATAGTCAGAAATGTGACATTTTTGGGAAAAAGATTCCTAAAATCTTCAATCCTAGAAAACGTATGTCTTTGTTTGTGGGTGGAGAAGAAAATAATGAAAAAAATGAACCAACTTGACACTTCTTAACTTAGCCTCATTTATAGAAAAATTGGTAAAAAAGAGTGAAAACAGATAATTAAAACAATAAAACACCGCGTTAGGCGGAACAAGCGTACAAAACCAAACCAATCACGAGCGTCGTCTGAAACCCGAGGCACCAGAGAGCACAGAGACAGACATCTCTCTCCAGTCTCCACTCATCAGATCTCAAGACATTAACACTCGCTTCGTTGTTTTTTCTTTAATCCAACTTTACAGTCCTTTTTTCGTTCTTTCTTTCTTCTCCAACATTTTTAACCTGCAACAACAGTTGTTTAACTGATAAAAAAATAAAATAAAAATCTCCCACGGCTCTTGCATAGAGAGGTCAAAAGTGTAGGAAACGAAAGCAGCCCACACACTTAGAAGAACATTCTTCTCTATTTCTCCCTCTCCTTAGTCTTTCAAAGTTGTCTTCTTTTAGCCATTTTGTGAGCTGTTTTGATAAAAGAGTAAGTGTTTATTTTTCTTTTCTCTCTCAGTCATTCTTGATTCCAAGCTTAGATCCCCATGTCTCTTTACTTCTCGCCAGCTTTTGATTTTCTTTGAGCTTTTTACTAAACATTGTGTGGTAAAGTTCTCTCCTTTTTGTAGACCTCCTCCGCAATTAGCGCTTTAAGTTTTTTTTTTTAAGGTTTCTTCAGATATTCATATTTGGTGGATCTGAGTTTCTTAGTAACGAAAGAGTATTACGCCTCTAAAAATTGTTATTTACCCTTTGATTTATATTAGTTACAAGTCAAGCCAGTTTCAGCTGTTGGAAAAGTATTGAATCGGAATCATTCTAGTTTTATTAGATTTCCAATTTTGGCTACTAAATGATTTATCTAAACTCTGTTTTAGATTTCCAGGGGCTTGAGTTTTTAGGATACCAAAATCTACATGGACGAAGCAGAAAGCTTTGTCCCGTTTCAAGGTATAAAGAAAGATGTCAAAGGGAGACTCAAGTGTTACAAGCAAGATTGGATCAGTGGTATCAGAGCTGGATTTAGGTATATTCTTTTTTTGTTTTTTTTTTGCTTTTACAGTAAGTGTTTATGTTTGAGCTTTGGTGGGAACTTAATTTATGCACAAACCTTTCTAGGATTCTGGCACCAACAACTTACATATTCTTTGCATCCGCAATTCCGGTGATTACCTTTGGAGAACAGTTGGAAAGAGATACTGGTATCAGAATGACATTATTTTGTGCCCTTATTCATCTGTACTCTCTTTGATTTTTATTGAGAGTAACAGGAAACTTGTGTTTTGTTTCTTTTGCAACTTGGCAAGATGGGAAGATTACTGCGGTACAAACCTTAGTTTCCACAGCATTGTGTGGAGTGATACACTCCATTATTGGAGGACAACCTTTGTTGATTCTTGGTGTTGCAGAGCCTACAGTTATAATGTACACCTTCATGTTCAATTTTGCTAAAAGTAGAACGGAATTGGGCTCTACTCAGTTTCTCGCTTGGACCGGATGGTACTCAAATCTTTCTCTTTGCATTAATCAATTCATTCCAAGAAGCTTTTAAAGTCTCAGCTTTATGAGAGAGGCATTGTCTTGTTTGTCATGGATGATTTCTTTTTAAGGGTTTGCTTGTGGACGGGGCTGTTGTTGTTCTTGTTAGCTGTATTAGGCGCTTGCACCTTCATCAATCGATTCACTCGACTTGCTGGGGAACTGTTTGGTATCCTAATAGCCATGCTTTTCATGCAAGAAGCCATTAGAGTAAGTAAAAGAGCTTCCTTTATACAATTACAATCACAACTGATACTAGCATTTGCAACAAAAGCTTGTTCCTCTATGTTGAAACTTTAATTTTTCAGGGCATTGTGGATGAGTTTGGTGTCCCTGGAAGAACAAATCCAAGATCAGCTGAGTTTCAACCTGCTTGGGTGTTTGCAAATGGAATGTTCGGTTTGGTTTTGTCTTCTGGACTTCTGTATACTGCACTAAAAAGCCGAAAAGCAAGGTCTTGGAGATTTGGTGCTGGTAAGGAACCTTGGTGTTCATTCTAACTGTGAATTAAAAATCAAAGATCTGGCTTAAGTTCATGTTCTTTCTCTAATCAAGAACCTCAGGAATTTTGTTATGCTTGTGATTGCAGAATGGTTACGCGGATTTATAGCAGACTACGGTGTTCCAGTAATGGTGGTTGTGTGGACTTGTATATCATACATACCTTGGAGAAGTGTTCCTCAAGGGATACCAAGACGTCTTGTTAGTCCTAATCCATGGTCTCCTGGTGCATATCAGAATTGGACTGTCATTAAGGCACTAATCACTTCCCTTTCTACTTACTATTCTCGTTACTATATTAAATTAATGCTTTATGTTGATATTCACCAAAGTGCGTGACCAATAAACTGCAGGAGATGGTGGATGTGCCTGTGCTTTACATTCTTTTAGCGGTTGTTCCAGCGTCAATGATTGCAGTTCTTTACTACTTTGACCATAGTGTAGCTTCACAGCTTGCACAGCAGGAAGATTTCAATCTCAGAAAGCCTCCAGCTTACCATTATGATCTATTTCTTCTAGGTTTCTTGGTAAGAGATGTAGTATCTGTTTTCTTGAATGATTTATTGACTTGATCATTTACAAAATTTGAAACGTTGGAACTCTACATCTGTAGACAATCCTTTGCGGTCTCCTCGGGATTCCTCCATCCAATGGTGTCATCCCTCAGTCTCCAATGCACACAAAAAGCTTGGCAACACTGAATCACCAGGTCTGATTATCCTATTGTGTTTTATGTAGATCTTCTATGACATTTGTCAAAAGGCATTAAACTGGTTCATGTGCAGCTACTTCGAAACAAACTCGTGGCAGCTGCGCGTAAATGCATCAGAAACAATGCAACTATAGGAGAAGTCTATGGAAGCATGGAAGAAGCTTACCAACAAAATCAGAGCCCTCTGATACACCAAGAGCCTTCTCGGGTATGTTAGAATCATCTATATCAATTTATAGTTTGACCCTATAACGCATTCCTGACCGAGCACCCTGCATATCAGATTCAAGGACTAAAACAGTCACATAATCAAAAGGCTTCAAACGCAGATACACTGGTCGATGAAACAGTGTTCGACATAGAGACCGAAGTTGAGAATATATTGCCAGTGGAAGTTAAAGAACAAAGAGTAAGCAACTTTCTCCAAGCTATGATGGTAGCTGGATGTGTTGCCGCAATGCCTGCAATCAAAAGAATCCCAAGCTCGGTTCTTTGGGGTTACTTCGCTTACATGGCAATTGAAAGCCTCCCAGGGAATCAATTCTGGGAAAGGATTGTGCTTCTCTTCACTGCACCAAGCAGGAGATTCAAGTAAAAAAAACGAACCTTGCTTCACCTATCAAGAGTATATCTTGTTTCTGCTGCATTACAATAATTTTTGTGAATCTACAGAGTTCTTGAGGATAATCATGCGGTGTTTGTTGAAACGGTTCCATTCAAGACAATGGCGATGTTTACTCTGTTTCAAGCTGCTTACTTGCTGATCTGCTTTGGGATCACGTGGGTTCCAGTGGCCGGAGTTCTGTTCCCGTTGATGATAATGTTTCTTGTTCCGGTTAGGCAATATGTGTTGCCAAATTTCTTCAAAGGAGCACATCTTCAAGACTTGGATGCTGCAGAGTATGAAGAAGCACCTGCTATCCTATCATTCAACCTCAAACCAGTAATAAACTCTCTCCTTCTTCCTCTCTATAAAAGTTTAGGGATTTATCGAGGGTGACATACTTCTTTATTTGTCTTTATGCAGGAAGGGGAAGTGAGCCGTGCAACATCGTTTGCGGATAGTGGAGAAGTGATGGACGGAATGTTCACAAGAAGCAGAGGAGAGATAAGGAAAGTGAGCAGCTTAAAGCTCGGCGGCAGCGGAGGAAGTGGATCTGCGGTAGGTTCTCCGGTGGGAGGAGGAGTTGAGTTAATGAGACGGGTGGTGAGTTTTCAGAATCCAAGAGTGTCGGAGAAAGTATACATCCGGAGCTTAAGTGATTTCAGAGGAGGAGGAGGAGGAGGAGAGATAAGTCCAAGGTCGTCCGCTGGAAGAGCTCCGTTCAGTCCACGATCCGCCGCCGGAGGAGCAGGAGGAGAACAGAGACTTTCTAATTTAGGAAAGTCTGTTTAGTATTATAGTGTAGTAGTGTCTCTCTATTCATATTGTCCTAATTAACCTTCTACACCAACAAATGAAATGTAGCTAAATTATTCCATTTGTATGTCATTATGAGATTTATAAATGAAAAAAATACAATTACTATCTCGGAGAGTTTGTTTATTTCAGGAAAATGAAAAATATTAATCTGTGCTCCAAGTTCAAAATATGACAATATTTATTAGTCCCCTGCTCCCTAGATACAAGCATCCAAGACAACAGTGTGTATTAGTCCGAAAACATAGCATTGTCAAAAAATTAAACGACAAACACGGCATCGTTTTATTGTTATCAAAACGACATCGTTTCATTGTTTATTAAAACGACATCGTTTCATCTACTGTTATAGCAACAAGATCCTCTGCTTCAGCTGGTTAATGCCTTGGTCTCTCTGGGTTCTGCAACTGCGATTGAGTCATCTTGGATCTCCATGAATTATTTACTTGTAAAATCACCATACATCAATATAAAGCGGGTAAGCTTCTCGATTTTAAAAAGAACAGAACAGCTCTTGAAACAGTGACTTAGATGTTTCAAAAACTCTCTTTTGAGCTATATTTCCCTGTTAGTGCTACTGTATATTAAACAGCAACAATTTGCCATGATCTTTCTTTTGGGTTTAACTGTATTCCATCGAATGCTGATCTTTTCTGCACCAATTTAGTTTAATCTTTATTATTGTAGTCTAATGTCTCGGGTTAGTTATTATATCCAACACCAAATCCAAAGTTCTGGGTCGTTGACCATTGTTTGAGTTCTTCTCTGTTTAATTATGATAATTACTGCTCAGTGTGTTAGGAGGATTAGGATTTTAGGAGAGTAAGAATCGGATAATGCTCACCCTAATTTGTAATCTGCGTTTTCCTTAGGTTACTAAATGATGCAAGTCTTGTCGGTTGTGAGATTCAAATTTGGTTTCACTTCAGTCAGGATGAGGAATTGGTCGGTGGGAATCTGCATCATGGTTCTTACATTGATATTTATCATCCGTTATGAACAGCCTGATCACAAACTTGCAACAAATCATACAATGGATGATTCTAGTATAGAAGGAGAGAGTGTTGAGGAACCAGCAAAGAAGCCACATTTTATGACTTTGGAAGATCTTGATTATCTCTTTTCAAACATGAGCATCTCTGGAGGAGAAGAAGAAGAAGTGTTGAATGGTTTGCTTGTATGGTCTCGTATGCGTCCATTTCTTGAAAGGCCTGATGCTCTGCCAGGAACTGCTCAGGGGATCGAAGAAGCTACATTGGCAATGAAAGATTTGGTTTTTCTGATCAGTAAAGAGAAAGGAGCATCTTCTGATTTGGTCTCCAAGGAACTTGGAAGAAACTGTCCTGATTTTGTCACAGCATATGATGGGGATTTGTCTGGTTTAAGGCATGTACTTGAGCTTCCGTGTGGTTTAATTGAAGATTCTTCAATAACTTTGGTTGGTATTCCTGATGAGAAGTCTAGAAGGTTCCAGATTCAGCTTGTTGGCTCGGGATTATCAGGAGAAACCCGTCGTCCAATTATCTTGCGTTACAATGTAAATTTTTCTAACCCATCCATAGTGCAAAATACATGGACGGAAAAGCTCGGTTGGGGAAACGAAGTGCGGTGCCCATATCATGGATCATTTAAAAATCATTTAGGTAACAGAACTCACATATCTTTCCCCTTTAATGCCACCTATGCCATCTTGATGATTGTTGAAAAGTCTCTTGGCAACCATTGTAGTCGATGAACTTCCTCTCTGCAACAAACAGACCGGTAGAATCACTTTGGAGGAGAGTTCCAACGATAAGGAAAATATGGATTCTTCTCTTTCAAATTCTAATTTTCCGTTTCTCAAAGGGAGTCCCTTTACTGCCACATTGTGGTTTGGCGTAGAAGGTTTTCATATGACAATTAATGGGCAGCACGAGACTTCGTTTGCTTACAGGGAGGTATAGATTACTAGTCCCTGTTGGTTTGTGAGATTGTTGCTTTGTTTAAAACTGACATATTTAGTTTGTAGAAGTTCGAGCCATGGTTAGTCAGCGCTGTCAAGGTCTCAGGTGATCTGAAAATGTTATCTGCGTTAGCCACAAGACTGCCCATTCCGGATGACCATGCTTCTTTAACCGTAGAAGAGAACCTTAAAGCCCCATCTCTTTCTGGGACAAGAATCGAATTATTGGTGGGTGTTTTCTCCACTGGAAATAATTTTAAGCGGCGTATGGCATTGAGAAGATCTTGGATGCAATATGAGGCAGTAAGATTTGGCAAAGTGGCTGTTCGATTTCTCATAGGCCTTGTAAGTATTTCTGTAAATCAACATTTAACCTTGAATTTCTACATTTCTTAGTAATAACTTGGCTTTTTTTTTGCTCAGCACACAAATGAAAAAGTCAATATAGAGATGTGGAAAGAAGCTAAGGCATATGGAGACATTCAGTTTATGCCTTTTGTTGACTACTACGGTTTACTTAGCTTGAAAACAGTTGCGCTTTGTATTCTCGGGGTAAGCTATTTGTTTACACAAAACATAGAAACTGTGAGAAATCACTTCTTGCCTTGTCTGGTTAATCCCTCGCTAATGTTTTTCCATTTTCATACAGACCAAAGTCATCCCAGCAAAATACATAATGAAGACGGATGATGATGCGTTTGTGCGGATAGATGAACTACTATCAAGTCTAAAAGAAAAGCCGTCTAGTGCCCTATTGTACGGCTTGATATCATTTGCTTCATCACCGGACCGTGAACAACGCAGCAAATGGTTTATCCGTAAAGAGGTAAAAGCTTCTGAATATTTCTCACACCTCTCTGTGTGCTCAATCCTCATAGAGACTCATAAATGGCTTTCTCTCTGCTATAAAGGAATGGCCTTTAGAGTCATACCCTCCATGGGCACATGGCCCCGGCTACATCATTTCTCATGATATCGCGAAATTTGTGGTGAAGGGTCACCGTCAAAGAGATCTTAGAGTGAGTTTTGTAGTTTTCATTATAGAGTTAAGAGATATAACGTATCCGAGAGACCATAATAGCTGACGTTAGTCTTATGTTGTTTGTTGAAAGCTTTTCAAGCTGGAAGATGTGGCGATGGGGATTTGGATTCAACAATTCAACCAGACAATAAAAAGAGTGAAGTACATCAATGATAAAAGATTTCATAACAGTGGCTGTAAATCGAGTTACATTCTTGTTCATTACCAAACTCCTCGACTAATTTTGTGTCTCTGGGAGAACCTGCAAAAGGAGAAACAATCTATTTGCTGTGAATAAATCTCTCAAGCATGTAACTTAAATAAAGTGTATTTTTTCTTTTCTACTTGTATAGATCAAAATTCTTACGATTATTACATAAAAGAGAATTCATATTTAGAAGAAGAAAATAAACCATTTATATGGTTGTTATTATTTCGCCTAGAAAGAGTAACGCTTTTAAAGCATCTCTCTTTTTCAGTCGCCGTCTGTCGATCTTCCTTAACTCTCCAGAAAAAAAAACCCAGTAACAATGGCCAAAATAATTGATCGTAAGCCTAACCAGAAAGAAATCCCCCAGAAAGTGATAGTGTTTGGTGTGAATGATCCAGTAACCAGATTTGGTTGGTATCTCCTGGCTTTTCTCAGCATTTATGGATTTGTGACTGCTGTAAGGGTGATGGATCTTGTTGGCTACAAGACCCTGCGGATGGTTGGTTTGACTCTCTATCTGATTCTAGTGATTTGCTCAATTTCCTCGGAAGCTCCATCTATAATCTGTAGGGCAAACAGATGGGTCAGAACATGTGTTCCTCTAATACTCTTTATAATAATCTATTTCACTGTCTTTAATTTCCAAACGTTTGGAGTCTCTCTGTTGGTTTTATCGATAGTTTTTGGGTTGTGCGTCTTGGTGCAATTGCTTTTGCCCATTGAAGGCTTCTATTTCTTGTATGTGCTAGGCATAATCATATTGGGGTGTATGTTAGCTGCCTTTGCGTGTGAGTTTGATCCAAAAATCCATCCTTTTGGGTTCTGTTTCCTCACTCTTTTTGTTTTTCAGATGATCATCTATTTTTTCAACTATCCAGGGCCGACCAATAGGGCATTCACCTTCTATTGAACCTGTTTTTTCATTTTCTCTTTTTTTTTTATCAACAACATGTATATTGTAATAATCCATTTGATTTATTTTCATATGGACTCTATGTAATGTTGTTTCGTTAATCTATTTTCATATGAATACTTTTGTTTTTGTGTTGCTCCTCATATTTAATTTGTTGCCAGTTTATATTTTTGATCTTCTCATTATACCAGAAGAAGAGTTGTTTATGAGTTTCTAAACTTTACTTGCGATATTGATGCACGCTCCAAAGTTAATTGGGTTTTGATCAAATAAATGTATGCCGAGTGGTTATGTTCTTGAGGTTAAAATTCGATTGGAAAAAAAAATGATGAACAAGCATGATGATAACGTATGTTTTAAAAACACACTCTCAGTAATAACGATAATACCTTTTTTATCAGTGTAAAAGATGAACTGGACACTGCGCTTTCTCCAAAACTCCGGCAACCAAGGTTTTTCTTTATTAATGTATTTATAAAAAGTTACATTTTGCTTTTTTTTTTTCTTTTAACTGAACGGCTAACACTAGTAGCATAGTATCAGGAGATAAGGCTTATCATTATATTATTATCGTTTTAGGTTTTATATTTACAAATGCGGTAAAGATTTGTCACGTAGAGTCTATCTATGTCTTATATTCTCTTACATAAATACCTAAGTTGGAGAATCGATAAAATTAAATCAATTCAATACCTTCTTCTACGCATAGCAACCTGAGGATCGTCTATGTTAGCAAACTTGATTGTTTGGATCCCTCAAAATTAGGTCCGGACAAAATACATGGATCCAAACTGAATTATCCAGTTTTTGTATATTTTGGATTGTTTTAAAGTTCTAAATTCTTTTTAAAATAATCATCAATGTAAAATATCTGCTTTTCAGTTTAATAAATATGTCTTCTGAATTATTTTCTCTAGTCCAGCTCTTAAAAATATCTATCTCTACGTAGTCCAACTTTAGAAAATAGATTGTGGAACAGTGGAAACTCCAAATATCGATATACAAATTCACATGCCCATTAACACATTACACATGCATATACAAACCATGTACGTACTCGTGCGTATGTGCTTATTGCATTTAATAATACTCAAAGTTATCTCTATAATTCACTGTGTAAAATGTTTTTTGTCTTATTTATTACAAGTTAAAACACAAACCAGACTAGAAAGTAGCTCTTGTCCTCCAATCCTCCAATATTGTTAATTTTATGCTAATGGAGGACACGACATCATATATATTATTGAAATTCTATTAAATTATGATCATATTTTTTTTTTTTAAAGAACCGGTCCGGTTCGGAAGGTATGAGCTTTTTTATAATTTGAACGGTTACAATGTGTTTTCCGGTTCGGTTATATAAAGCGGGTATTTTGCCATATCCAACCGAGATGACGGTGAAATTATCCGTAACAGAGAGAGTGACAGTGAGGTGTGAGAGGAAGAAGACGATGGCGTCAATGTCTCTCTCGTTTTCATCTTCGCTATGTTCGTCTCGAGTCCCAGAAGGAAAGCGTAGGTTTCGTCACAGGGATGCGAGCTTCGTTCGATGCGTTTTGGCTGCTTCTAAATCTTCTCCTGGAAGTGCTACGAAGAAGAGGCTTTGGAAAGACGGCGAATTTCCCGGAATCACGGAGCCGGTTTCTCCTAGAAGAGCTCCCATGAAGAATGTTAAGAAGAAGCTTGACAGGAGAAGCAAAGCCAACGGATGGGTTAACACCGTCACTGAAACCTTGTCCGATCTCATCGCCAAAAAGCAGTGGTTGCAAGCTCTTGAGGTATTCCAGTTTCTCTCTTCTCGCTCCACATTCGATGGACTTTGAGATGAATTTTGAATCAACAAGTTTAAGTTTAGCTGGAATTGGACAATTCTGTGTGTTATGTATCTGTAGCGAAATATGACTTTGCTTCAATTGGGTATTTTGTTTGATGATCTTAGGTTTTTGAAATGTTGAGGGAACAAACATTTTATCAACCAAAGGAAGGGACTTACATGAAGCTGCTTGTTCTTCTCGGGAAATCTGGACAACCCAATCGTGCACAGAAGCTGTTCGACGAAATGCTTGACGAAGGGCTTGAACCTACTGCTGAGCTCTACACTGCTCTTCTTGCCGCTTACACTCGCAGCAATCTCATCGACGGTGCTTTTTCAGTTCTTGACAAGATGAAAAGCTTGCCTCGATGCCAACCTGATGTTTTCACGTACAGCACTCTGCTCAAGGCGTGTGTGGATTCTTCTCAGTTTGACTTGGTGGATTCGTTATACAAGGAAATGGACGAACGTATGATTACTCCAAACACTGTCACACAGAACATAGTCTTAAGTGGGTACGGTAGGGTAGGAAGGTTTGATCAGATGGAGAAAGTTTTGTCTGATATGCTCGTGAGTACTGCTTGCAAACCCGATGTCTGGACTATGAATATCATCCTTAGTGTGTTTGGTAACATGGGTAAGATAGACATGATGGAGAGCTGGTACGAAAAGTTCAGGAACTTTGGGATTGAGCCAGAGACTCGGACTTTCAATATTTTGATTGGTTCTTATGGGAAGAAGAGAATGTATGATAAGATGTCGTCTGTCATGGAATACATGCGAAAGCTTGAGTTTCCATGGACAACATCGACATACAACAACATCATAGAAGCGTTTGCGGATGTTGGTGATGCAAAGAACATGGAGCTGACATTTGATCAGATGCGTAGCGAAGGTATGAAAGCAGACACAAAGACATTTTGTTGTCTCATAAATGGATATGCCAATGCTGGTCTTTTCCACAAGGTGATAAGTAGTGTTCAGTTGGCTGCAAAGTTTGAGATACCCGAGAATACTTCCTTCTACAATGCGGTTATAGCAGCGTGTGCTAAAGCAGATGATCTGATAGAGATGGAAAGAGTGTACACAAGAATGAAGGAGAGACAATGTGTCTGCGATTCAAGAACGTTTGAGATCATGGTCGAAGCTTATGAAAAGGAAGGTATGAATGATAAGATCTATTACTTGGAACAAGAGAGGCAAAAGGTTATGCAAGGCGCTGCTGTAGCAACGCAAGAAGCGGAGAATCTCCCGGCGGGATGATTGCGGTTTGTGAAATCTCTGCAAGGAGAGATGTCTCCCTTCAAACGGTAGAATAAGAGTTTGTAATACACTTGATTGTTCTTGCAGCTATGTGTATAAATCTTTTTTTTTTTTAATTATAGTTATGCTAAGTGTTTTGTTAAACCGGAGTGCTGATGCAGAAACTCTGTTGCCAAAGAAGACAAAACATAAACTCATGATTCATAGTTGTTGCTTTGTTGGATGGATAAATTTTTAATGTAGAAAAAAAAAAACACATAGCTTGATGGGCCCTAAAAATAGAAACAGAGCCCATAAAGAGAAAGTCTGACGTGCCCAAGAAGACGGATTAGTCCAAAAAAGTGGATAATAGAGAAGAATATTGACTAGCCATGTGCGGTAAGGTAACTGCGTGTCGTCGTCTTTTTCTATATAAAGCGCATCTCTTTGGTATCTCTCTGTCTTTTTACCGTTTCTTCTCTCAGACAGAATCAAAAGCAAACCAACCAAATTGAACACATCCTCTGCTCTTCTCTGCAACCAAACAAAACAAACCACCGATTCGGTCGGAATCACTCGCCGGAAAGATCTATCTATAGTGATGGGGATTGTTGTCAAGTCTTTCAAGGATCAATTCTCCTCTGGTTTGTCCTTTCTCTCTGGATTTTTTTTGTTTTCCTCGAAACGAAATGTGCTTCTAAAGCAAGTTTTTTTATTTTATTTTGGGATGCAGAGGAGCGATTGAAAGAATCGAAGAACATCATTGCGAAATATCCAGACAGAGTTCCGGTGAGTTGTTTTCAGAAATTGATTATATTCTTTCTTGGTGGCTCCGTCTTCTGAGTTGCCGTGCGGTTGTGCTTTTCCCTTAGGGTTGATCAGAATCGATTAGGTTCTGTTTTTGACTCTATGTTTGTTCTTCAATTCCTTGAAATTGCTAAAAGACTCTTCTGTGCAATTTTTAAGAATTTAATTACCGCCCTCACGGTTTTGATTATACGATCTGGGATCTGATATATATATATATATATATGACTTATTTTGTACGTTTCGGTGCTGATCCGATCACTCTTGGTCAATGTCACATTATCACCAAAACGCACAACATCTTTTAAGTATTATGATCCTTAAGAACTTATCCTAATCCATCTCTATACGTATTATATTTCTCAATCCAAAATCTTGTGTGAGTCAATTAATCATTCTGTTCTTAGTATTTGTTTGTTTGATAGGTTTTTTTTTTAATTATTATTATTATTTTGGACTATTATGTAATGTTAGGTGATCATTGAGAAGTATTCGAACGCAGATCTCCCAGACATGGAGAAGAACAAGTGAGTTAGTTGTGATATCAATTTATAATATAGATGCCTGTTGAAAGAGATCAATGAAGTGGAAACCTCTGTCTTCCAATTGATCCATTGTATTGGTTGCAGATACTTGGTCCCTCGAGACATGACTGTTGGACATTTCATCCATATGTTAAGCAAAAGGATGCAGTTAGATCCATCAAAGGCTCTCTTCGTTTTCGTACACAACACTCTTCCTCAAACCGGTAACCACAAGCATCATAATCTATTAAAAAAAAAGACTTCACCAGCCTTTATCATTCCCAAAAAGCTCTCTCATTTTGTGAGAATGTGCAGCTAGTCGCATGGACTCTCTGTACAATACATTCAAGGAAGAAGATGGGTTCATGTACATGTGTTACAGCACCGAGAAAACTTTCGGCTAACCAAAAACAAAACAAAAAGTGATTTGCCGCTTCATCATCATATCGAAACGAAGAAGCGAAGTCTCAATAATCCCATTTGTTTGATTCAATATGTGTTGTTAATAATAATGTCAGCTAATTGTTGTTGTTGTTGTTATTATTAGCTGGCATTGTACAGAAAAGCTGAAAGAAAAAAGAAAGAACATTTGACTTTGTAAATTATGTAACACAAAAAATGGCAGTAATAAATAAGACAATGATGTGGATGATTCACACAAAACCCGTTTAATTTTTAGTTTCCCTGAAGAAGAGAAGAAAAAAGGAAAATAGTTTCGTGCAAGCACGTAAAGTTTGGGGAGATAAGGTAAAACAGAGGCCTAAGAAAATTCAATATGTCGGTGCGGTAAACGTGTCCCTTACGACTTGGATTGTGATAATGTTTTATGAGCTGAACCGCAGAACTATATAGAATGAGAATATAGAGTTTTGTGTGTATATCCATCCTTTTTGGTCAATCTTCTATCTACAACTTCTTTAAAATATGCTCCTAATTTTGTTTTTACGCATTTTTATGCTCCGATTACAGATTTTGTTCTTTTTAAAACCTTTGCTTACTTAAAAAAAACTTTTTCTTTCTGCAACGAGTTTATGTCTATCTATTTAATTAATGTCTACTCTACTTAACCTCAATATATAATATGATTAATGCGTTGGCACAATCAGTTTTATAGCTATATATATGATTATTTTTTTAAAACTATATAATATCTCGATTTGATGTCCATATTCTGAGCCAAAATAAAAATAAAAGAAGAACTCAAGAAAGGACACCAAACATTGACTGAGTATATCCGTTTATGAGTTGGAGATGTTAGTTACGAACTTACGATGCCATCTATCATCTATACATAATACATTGTCCATTATCATTGGATCAAAGCTCCCTTTACCTTTTTTGGAGATTTTGTGCTCTTTCATTTCAATTGTAGATTCGGATATTCCTTTGGAAAAAAAAAAGAAGAAATTGTCGACGGATATTATTCCTAATTAACACTGCCACATATAAAAATCGATGTCGGTTACAAACACGATACGAAATAATAATTTAATTGGTCCAACAAGACGTAATAATTGCGATTCAAGTATTGCTAGTTAGGCTATTGTGTATTTTATTTTGTTGATTTTCCACAAGGAGAGGATTAGATTAAGAAAGGGATAATAAGCAATGTGTATATTTCAAAAAACAACCAACCTACCTACGAGGGTCGCATATCGTATTCGCCGTCCATGTGGTGTTGTGTCAGTAATTGTTTAAGAAGATTTGGTCATGTGGATCAGTTACCAAGATTATATAGTACTATTTCACATTGTATGTCGAAACTTGTTATTTTTAAAATTATTAGATTACCAATAGAAACATCTTGGTTTCAAACACATTTTTTAATCGAAATCTAGTATATTAATACTGAAAGGGGAAAAACAAAAAAAAAATATATACTTTTCTGTAAAGGTGGTTTGCTCAATAAATTTTACAAGATAACATATTGGTATTTTGCCCCAAAAAAAACATATTGGTATCTGTGGTTTACAAAAAAACAAATTGGTATCTGTATATTGGGCCAGACAGGATCCAAATTTTGTTATAGTAATTTGTTGTGACTTTGTCAGCAAACTATTATTTAGATTGGGCCTCACAAATCTTGCTAGCTAGAGTTTCTTGCCGCACTAATTTTTTCTGATCAAGATTTGTAATTTAGTCCATACATAAATACTCTTGTTTGAAAAGGATTTAGGGTTTGGAATTTCTCAGAGATATTTCTCCTAGTTTTAAGAGTAGCTTTGCTAGATCTTTGAAACCAGCTATTTTCATATTGTTTCCGCCTGTAATATAGAAACCATTTTCTTATATTCACATGTTGTTTCTGTCCTAACCAAATCCCCCGAGTGACTGAGTCTTGATATGAGTTATGATATAAGATCATATTGGTTTGATGGAATTTGCATATGTATCTGATAAGAAGGAATCAAAGCATAATCTTGACTGAGAGGTAGTCATCAATCTACGTACTGGTGTGATCTTCAGGTGGGACTTGGAATTAAGAAAGAGCAATTGATCAACACGTCGAGGAATCCCACAATTCGAAGATGTTGAGGTATCTACATATCCTCTTTGCATTGGTGCTGTCTGGATAAAAGGAATAAACATTTTGGAATAACATATATATATATGTGTTGTTGATTGTTTCCCTGAACCGTCTTTAAAATCTTTCTAAGGTATCATGCATCTCCTCTGATGAAGATGGCCAACTCATTATGAATGAGCTTCTTCACAATACAAAAGACAAGGGAAAACAGAATCGGAAAACAAAAAGAATAAAGGTTATATGATCTCTCCTACACTAGAATACACACCTTTTATCTCAATATCTTTTATACCTTTTTCTTTCTTTTGCTTGTAGTTTCCCTCTCACAAAGTGAATGATTCTACAATCTTTTACGATGATGAGTCTCAGTCAATGTTTCAGTGTATTCCTGTCGGTAAAAATTTTTGGATTTGAAACAGATCATCAAGCTAAGTGTGGATGAAGATGCCATATATTATATATATAGTCCCCGGTTCAAAGAATCAGCTTCTCTCTTAGCTTATTCACCACCGGTATGCATGATGGTTCTGTTATTACCCATGAAGTTTGTTAGAGTCTTAACAAGACGTACTTTAAATAATAACAATTAATTTGTTGCATTGGAAAAAGGTTAAAGAAAGAGATGCTAGCTCTACAAAAATGATAGTAAAAGCAAAATACGTCATGCAACAAATGAGACATCAATGTTATCGTGCCATACTCTGCCCAATATTAATCTATAATTAAGAAATAGTTTTGAGAAAAACAATAATGTACACTGAAATTTTTTTAATTAAATAAAAATAAAAAGAAGATTATTCATCTCGCCGACATTTGGTAGATGAAGAAAGAGGAGGGCGAGGGATGTTTATTTTATGGTCCAAAAAGATCCTTTGGGAGAGAAGAATAATAATAATTTAAAAAAAAAACACAATCTCCAAAAGCTGGTCACATGCGTGTGGCTCATTCTTGTCCAAGTCAAACCCTTCTTCATCTTTTTCTCCCCCATTAATATTATTTTATTACCAAAAAATAAAAATTATTAACTAATCGTATATTTAGTCTACAACTCCCTTTGAATAATCAATCATAATGCTTTTTTTAATTATCTCATTTGGCTGACTATTCTTTCACTTTTTCCACTTTTACAAACGAAAACAATATATTTACTATTTTTATTTTTTGCTATGAGGGTGACATGGGATTGATACTCATAGGTATCTCTCAATATTTGGTCTCTACCATAATGACTTTTTTTTCTTCGTTTATAATTCGTATTTGATATGAAATTTCTTTTTCTGTGTGTGCAAGATCTTTGTATACTTTTTATTTATTTAATTTTCAAAGATGCAGCATATCGAAATTGATTTCATTAATGGGCATCATTAACTATACATTTCATCAAGGAACTTTGAAAAGAAAGACCCTTTTAAATAATAGTAAAACATATACTGTATAATAAAACTACTGTTTTTTAAAGTTAAAGTTAGATTAAAAATAATAACTAACAAGAGTATAGGTCTAGGTTCCTTTTGTCTGTTCAAGATATAAAGAGAAATTTAGTTAAACGAATAAAAATGTTGTGCAAACAATAGTTTTTTATCTAGCAACATATTTATGATGCTCTTCATAATCTGATCCTAATTCTATTTAAGTGGTAATTCTACTATAATATAAACTAGTTCTACAGTTAGTAATATTTAAAATTTGGAACTTATGAAGAGAATGGGTTCTTTACCTACTACTACTACTACTACTACTACACTCAATGAAGGAGGGAGAGAGATGAGAGAGCCATCCTCTACTTCTCCTCTCTGGTTCGTTTGGTCATCAGTTCAATGGGGACAGTGACTTTGGAACAGATCTGGACTGTCCGTTGTCATCATCATTCATCAGTCATCACCCTCCTCCCTAAATGCTTTGTGTTGCCGTTGGATTGGTCATATCACGACCAAACCTATTTGACTTCTTTTCAAGTGTCATGTGTGTTCGTAAAGCACCTCTCTCTCTCTTTCTTCTCCTCGCAAATAATAATCTAAACCCATTCACGCGCCAATCTAGAGCCTCTGAGCGTCAGACGCTTTCAATAGATCCAAAATATTATTTAGAAAACGAAATGGGAACAATGATTTTTTTTTTTTTGCCTTTTCTCTTGAGAAAATTAATATCTTACTTCACAGTTTCAGACCCTTTAGCAGTATAAGGAATATCTAGCCTATATTCTACATACGACTATTCTTGTCTACTCTTTTTTTCTTATTTTGATAAAAACATTATTTGCATCAGTATGTTGAATTAGTATGTGAAAAGTGAAAACCAACCCATTACCTTCAGAACTGAAAAGTTTGTAATACTCACTAAGTGATTATTTGTAAGAATTTTTGAATGATTGGTCATCAATTTTATAGCTGTGTAAAATGATGCATCAGTCAAAATCATTGGCTTTGTGTTTTGTTCTTGTAACAGTTGTATTTAGAAATAAAAAGTTCATATACTACGTGTAAGAGTTTATTGGGATATTGGAGTTTAGTGTGGATGGAAACAAATAAAACAATATCTCACATAGTATATAATAGTAATACTACTAGTACAATTTTGCCCATGCTCATGGCCTGGTAATACTACTGATTGACAATTAGACATTTTTTATATTTGATTTTTGTTTCTTGAAAATTTATAAAAACAAGTAAAGATATTTTTTTTTTTAATTCAAGACTCACAATTTGTAGTGGCAGCCTTGTCCCCATAAAATCCAATTTGTCCATGGGACGTGTCGTGGTCCATTGATTAAAAATTATAAATAGGTTTTTATAATTCTTATAAATATAATAATAGTATACGTATACACCATGGGTAACTAAAAAACATGAAATAAACTTGGTCATATATAATAATAATAATAGATTTATGGTATAATCAAATCGCTAGTACTGTTAATTATATGTACGTAAATCTAACAATCAACGTCCCTGTCCTACTACTTACTATACATGAATGAATATATGTACTAATTAAAAAAGAATCAGAAAACAGGTTGAAATTTCATAGACTTCAAATGATTTTAAGTACCTCTAAATATGGCAGCCCTACTTTTTATTAAGCTTTCCCTAATAACATTTTTTTTCTTACATACGTTCAAACTTTAAAATATTATTTTTATGTTGTAAACTTACTGACAACAAAATACATATATATTTCTTAAAACAAAGAGAAGAGAAGGAAAAAATATGATATTATATATAATATTTGATTGGCGCGTATAAATTAACCACCACCGGCAAAACACCCACGAAAAAAGCGAGCACGCATAAAGAAAGATCAAAACTTCCCCATCACTTCCACAGAAAATAATTATAACTTTGTTACGGACAATTCATTTACATACCAAAAAAAAAAAACAATTAAAAAATCCTAGCCGAAAATTATATATTAATAAAATATTATCTTTTTTATTTTTAGTTTTCAAAAAAAGTTTCAGCTTTGAAGGCAGAGAGAGAGAGAGAGAGAGAGAGAGCGACTGAGAGTGCTGTGGAAGCGAAACTACGATCTGCGATTCTTTTTTCTTTTTTTCAATCTTTTAGCTCTTAGATTTTCTCAACACTCTTCTTCTTTTGATCAGAGAGCTTGAACATTCCGACCAAAGCTTCAAAAAAATAAAAGACTTCATCTTTGAGCTGTTTCCAGTGATTCGTCTGTCTCCCTCTCTCTCTCTCTCTCTAGAGTAGTTAGGGTCTATCAATGGAGCGGTACGGTCGCGCCGGTGAAGAAGGGCAGCGATCGGATCCGTCTCTTGAATGGACCTCTCATGGTGGAGGCGAAACCGGAGTTGAAGGTAGTAATGTCTTTTTCAATGTTTCATTTTTTTTAAATTTGTAATTTTGGCCGATTAGAGCTGTTAGATTAACGGATTTTGTAATAAATGCGTATTTTTGTAGCTTCGATGTGGCGGTTAGGTTTGAGCGGCGGCGGTGGAGGTGGAGGAGGAGGAGAATCGTACCCGGAGAGAGCCGACGAGCCTGATTGTATTTATTACTTGAGAACCGGCGTTTGCGGGTACGGGTCAAGATGTCGGTTTAATCACCCACGAGATCGTGGAGCGGTAATTATTTCCTAATCTTTTTTTTTTATTCTCCTTTCTTATATATAACAAATAGTTCACCAATTTCGATTTCAGATCAGTTACTTATTCTGATGATCAGATCGTTGAACCAGTGATTGAGTTATTGGGCATTGTTGAATTCTTAAACCAAGCTCTGATTTTGATGTTTAGGTTATTGGAAGTGTTAGAGGAGAAGCTGGGGCTTTACCGGAGAGGATGGGACATCCGGTTTGTCAGGTTTTTTTAATCTCTCAATCTAATTAATTGACGAAACCCATATGTTTCGGTTTGGATCAACTGAGAATATTTTGTCAAACCTTTTTGCTCAGCATTTTATGCGAACGGGAACGTGTAAATTCGGTGCTTCTTGCAAGTATCATCATCCTAGGCAAGGAGGTGGTGGTTCCGTTGCGCCTGTCTCGCTCAGTTATTTGGGATTTCCATTACGTCAGGTTTGTCTTCTAATGGTTTATCTGAGGTTTCCACATTGTTTTCTCTCTCAAAAAGCTCTGCCTTAATTTTGAACACAGGGAGAGAAAGAGTGTTCTTATTACATGAGAACCGGTCAGTGTAAATTTGGTTTGACCTGTAGATTCAACCATCCCGTGCCACTCGCTGTACAGGGTCCACCGCAGCCACAACAGCAGCAGCCGCAGCTACAGACTATCTATCCCACACTTCAGTCTCAATCCGTTCCTTCTTCTCAACAATATGGGTTACTTTTGACAAGGCCGTCTCTTTTACCTGGTTCATATCTTCCAAGCCCTTACGGTCCTCCAATGGTTCTGCCTCCGGGAATGGTTCCATATCCTGGTTGGAACCCTTACCAGGTAATCTCAAATTCGAAGCTTTTATCTCGCTCTTTTGGTTTCTTCGTTGCTTACTCTTTTGCTGAAAGGCTCTTTATCACTCTTTTTTAGGCTTCTTTAAGTGCAATGCCTTCGCCTGGAACTCAACCGTCTATTGGATCGAGTTCTGTTTATGGAATTGCGCCTTTACCTCCTTCCGCGACTACATATACAGGACCATATCAATCAGGACCTTCTTCAAATACCTCAAAAGAATTTCCTCAGCGACCTGATCAACCCGAGTGTCAATATTTCATGAGAACCGGTGACTGTAAATTTGGATCCTCGTGCCGATACCATCACCCTGTAGATGCAGTTCCTCCTAAAACCGGCATTGTCCTCAGCTCCATTGGCCTTCCACTTCGTCCCGTAAGTTTCTTTCCTTTTTTCTATGGACAAACTCAATCTCTTATGAGTTTTTTTTGGTGTGAAAAAAACATTTTAATATGCTTGACAGGGAGTAGCGCAATGCACTCACTTTGCACAGCACGGAATCTGCAAATTTGGACCGGCGTGTAAGTTTGATCACTCAATGAGTTCTTCGCTTAGCTACAGCCCGTCCGCATCATCATTAACCGATATGCCCGTGGCTCCATACCCAATCGGCTCATCCTCGCTTAGCGGATCATCAGCTCCAGCAAGCTCAAGCAATGAACCCATCTCAGAGGTTGTGAATGCTGCAGTTTCCTCTTCTATAATCAGTGGTTTGAGCCGTCCAGAGCCAGCTGAGACGAGTGGAGACTCGGCCAGTGTCAGTGGCAGCATAGAAGCTAAGACTTCAAGTTAAGAAAAAAAGAGGAAAACGTCCTCAATTCATCATGAACTAAGCAACACTAAGAAAAAGAAAAAGAAAACAAAAAAGAAAAAAAAAAGAGAAAAGAAGATTATTTTTGGGGTCTGAGATTTGATGGAAGCAGAGAGACCAAAGCTTCTGTCATTGACCATTTGTCCATATATAATATATTCTCTCATACGGCCATCTCTCTCTACTTTCTCTCTCTTGCTTTTTCTACTTGAAAAACGATTAATAAAATGGCCTTATTCAAGCTACATTCGATTCATTGAGAAGTCCCCTGTATTCGTTTATGAACTTGGAGCAGCCATTCAAAAGTTTGCTAACGAAGTAACGAGTATAAGAGTTAAAAAAAAAAAAAAAAAACTAGTTTCGACAAAACAAAATTATAATCGTCATTTCATTAAATCCAAGTCAAACAAGGACAAACATTCACCAAAGCAGAATGAAATCCATTGGCTATGTTTTTTTTTTTTAATTAGCTTAATTATATAAGTAACAACAGAGACTTAACAAATCTGTAAACACATGATCTCATCTCATCGACAGGTGCTTTCGCTTCTTCGCCGGTGAAGGACTTTCACTTGCTTGTCTTCCTGAGGGTCGCTTTGATGGTGTTGCACTCTTCATCAAACATTCAAAAACCAGAACAGCATTAAGCACCTAACGGAATCAAATCAAAAAGACTACAACCTTATTATATATGTGAATAATATTGCAATTTTTTTACCTTTGCGAGCTTCTTTTCTTTACGAGCTTGCCTCTCTCTTTCATCAAACTCTTGGTTTTCTTTCTCTATCAGTCGAATCAGAGTGTCGCATCTTCTTGCAAGTTCCTGACTCGTCCGGGATTTCACAAACCAGTCAAACCTGAATAAAGACGATGTCCTGAATGCTGCCTTTAGCTCATCCCAATTCCCATAACCAAGTTTGTGGATCATGCACATCTGTTTTCAACCACAAAATTCCCCAACAGTCAAACTTCATGATAAATTTTTAGTGACAAAACAACAAAGAAAAGGAAACAAGAAAAACACAGTACCATGAAACGGTCGCACTCTTCATTGTACAGCTTGCCTTTGTTCTGACCATATTGAATCTTCAGCTCCAGCCAAGGGTTTCTGTAGCGATCCAGTTTCTTCCCTATGGCTTTCATGATTTCATCTTTCCTAGAGATTCTTGCCTCTCCCCTCTCAATGTTCTTAATGATTCTATCATAGTCTACATATTTAGAGGGAATGATGACAAACTTACTTAGCATAAGCTCTTTTCTGAGGTGGAAATTATTTAGCAATATATAAAGTGTAAACACACCAAATCTTCTAAGTTGAAAGGTGTTACATACCGTTCAACTCCTTGTATCGCTCTTTGAATACTTTGGCATATCTTTCAACTTCTTCCTCTGTTTTTCCTTCCATCTCAGATGCAATGTTTATTATGTCGTTGCGACCATACTTCTCACAAGCCCTAAGGAAAGTATTGAAGTCTCTTCTACTCCATGTTGAGAAACCCTGGAGATCGACAATTACAAAGAATGATATAAATCCCAACAAATCAAATGTCTAAGAACACTTTAACATCAAATGCATTCACTTGCCTCCTCCAATAATCGCTCCTTCTCTTCTACTTCCTCAGCTGTTAAGGGATCTCCACCTTATAACAAAACATTTCTTAATCAGTAATAGGTTTGCTGAAAAACATGTTAACAAAGTGGGCTCATGCTGAGAAACTGAGCTTGACCTTCTGGTTCTTCAACATCAATTGTGTCTTTCAACTGATTTTTCTGATGTGTTTGCTGAAACCAAAGTGAAGCAAGTTGCTTTTATTAGGCAAAAAACTCGCTCTCAAGCACACAGAACCAGAGGCAAGTGTTGCGTTTAGAGATGCTTACCATGAGATAACGTACTTCCTTTTCATACAACTCGGTCAATCTCTGGATGTTAAAGAACTGGAAATCGTGCCTGAAGGATGGGTAATAAATAAGATTTCTAGCGTAAGAATATCATCAAGACAGGGAAAAGGCCTTTAACAATTAGAGTAGAATGTGCTGAGGTACTTACAACTGGGGCATGCGCGGAATTCTAGGCTCTTTAGGTTTAGCTGGAGCACCTTGCCGCAATGTTTGCTTAAAGTATTCAGATTCAGAGTAGCTGATGTTACAGTAGATAAAACAAAAGGGATGTTTCTGTTAGATAAAGTTTATGAATACTAACAAAATAGGACGCAAAATGTATAAAGCAAGAGGAACACTTACTTTCGCTTTCTCTCCCGCTTTGGTGGATCATTCCAATTATCGCTCACAATTTTCTTAAAATCAAGTTTGTTCTCATCCTATTAAAATGACAAAATAAGAAAACTTTATGTCCAGCAATGCAGATAAGTAGGGTATGACATGAAAACTTAAACTATGTACAAGAGTTACCTTATTGTCATCATCAAAATCATAGAAGTCAGCACCTGCAACAAATCAAGAAACACGTTATCCAGACATTACAAAATTTACACAGCATAATAGCGGGGAAAAAGGTCCATGACACCCTTACTGTCATCCATTTTAAACTGTATTGCATCTTCTGTGAATTTCTTCATCTTGGCATCAAGTTCAGCTGTTGCCTCCTCTCCTTTGGCAATGATTCTATCAATATCCTCATCTGTGATTGTGCTATCTTTGGAACTGAACACCATCTCAGCCCCATATCTTACCATTTGAAGCAACTCATCCTTGTTGACAGCTGCATAGTAAAGATAAAATTAAATCTGCCAGAGGTGAACCAATGCATTTTGCAGTCATATGATTAAAAACTTACTTTTCTGCTCTGCCAATCGCCCTTGTTGAATTACCAGGGCATCAAGTGCCAACTTCTTGTAAGCTCTCTCAATCACTTTCTCCTCAATAGCAGACTGTAAACAACAAACCCTATTAATTAACTGTTCTTATAGCCTTACTTGATTGATACAGTGAGAATATCAACCTCAGTGCAGAAACGAAACACTTGAACTTCTTTCTTTTGACCAATCCTATGAGCACGATCCTGAGCTTGCAAGTCAACTTGTGGGTTCCTGCCAAAATCAGCCAGACTCGTCAAAAATTAATAAAATACCCATAGATACGGTCGACATGATAAGAGACTTACCAGTCACTATCATAAAGGATCACAACATCTGCAGTAGCAAGATTAATACCAAGCCCTCCGGCTCTAGTCGATAACAGGAAAACAAATTTCTCACTTCCTGGCTTGTTGTAGGCTTCTATGGAGGCATCTCGTTCATCACCACCAGTATTCCCATCAATACGGCAATAGAGATAACCGCGATACATTAAATAATCCTCAAGGATATCCAAAAGTCTTGTCATCTAATACCATGAGAAAAGAAAAGAACAATGCTCAGACTTCAAATAGAATAAGGAAACAAGAAAGTGAACTGTAGGAAACCACTATCTCCAACTGTTTTGTATCAGCAATTACCTGAGAAAATATCAGAACCCTCGAATCACGTTCCTTTAACTTAGGAAGCAATTTATCCAAGAGAACCATCTTACCTACAAATAACGATATAAAAAAATACATTTCCATGTAATTCTGAAGAGTTAAAAATTGAATGCTAGTCATACCAGCATTTGTTATAAGGTGATCTCCTGTAGTATAAGGGGGACCAGGCTCTGCACCCTGGAAGAGATAAGGGTGATTGCAGCATTTACGAAGTTGCATTGCAATGTTTAGCAACCGTTTTCGTTCTCCACCAGCATTAACTGCTTCAAGATCCTTCTGCAATAAAGCCTTGTAGTATTGTTTTTGCATCTGGGACATGCCAACTTTAAGTATCGTCTCCTTCTTTGGTGGCAAGCCTTTCTCAACATCTGATTTTAGTCTTCGAAGAAGAAATGGTCGAAGAACCTACAAAGACACAAGAAAGTAATTAGCCAAACAATACAGATGACTTAAACTCAATAGAAGCGATGAGTACATGCATACCTTGTGAAGTTGTTGAACAACTTCTTGCTGATCATTCTCACCAGAAATTTGAAACCATTCATCAAAAGTCTCTGCTGAACTGAAAATCTCAGGCAGAAGAAAATTGAGAAGTGCCCACAGTTCATGGAGATTATTCTGCATATATGAAGAACCATAAGTATAGTCAGCTATACAACATTATCGAAAACAGAGAAACTAAGGAAGCTATAAAAGTGACAGGAATGGAAAACAAAATTAAGAGTGCAGAGAGACTCGTACAGAAAAGGTTGGTTCACTTCAAAGCTACTAAACAAAAAAACTTCAGTGCCCAAGTACTCAAGATAAGTTAGGAGCAAACACCTGAAGCGGGGTTCCCGTGATAAGAAGTCGATAATTGGTGCTAAAAAGTCTCATGGTTTTAGAAAGAAGAGAGTTCTCATTCTTGATTCGATGTGCTTCATCGATGATAATATAACGCCAGCTAAAACGACGAAGTGCTGTTTTCTCTTTGATGGCCATCTCAAAACTTGTGACACAAATATCAAATTTCCCAGCAACTAGCAGGTCGTCTCGAATATGTCTCTGCATTATTTAGCAGACATCTCAGAATCTTGAAGTACAAAATTCCATGAAACTCTGAAATGGCAGACAGCACCCGACTTACCCTCTCCTCAGGATTACCAAGGAATTTCACAGCGCGTAAGACAGGACAAAACCGGCGAATTTCGTTCATCCAATTACCAAGGGTTGATTTTGGAGCAACCACCATATGAGGGCCATTGATTCCCCTGTATTCATGAAGGTATGCCAACAAAGAAATCGTTTGAAGCGTCTTCCCCAGACCCTAGACCACAGGAAAAAATGGTTTATTTGATTAGCATCACAAAAAATAGAAAACTTATTTTGCTCAGATCCTTGGGGGAGGCATTGTTTACCATTTCATCTGCAAGAATTCCGTTTATGCCATTCTCATACAGCCGAATGAGCCAGTTTAAACCAGCTAATTGGTAATCTCTTAACTTCCCTTGAATACCTGTCAATTGAGAAGAGAAAGATGAATCCCAAGCTTTCTATAAAATTGCCACTATATTACCTGGTAACTGTGAGGTCACAACAATATTTATAGGTTACACAAATGGACGGAGAAGTCAATCTTAGTGTACCTGTTGCTCCCAGACAGACAATCAAAATGCAACAATACTAGATCAAATAGCAAAATACAGTTACTTACAAGAGGGCTGTGTGAGTAACCGTGTGTTTCCAGATCCAGTTAAGCCATCCTCTTCTTCCTTAAGATACTCTTCATCCTCCTCCTCTTCAGTTATTTTGGACGCATGACGACCCCTGAAAGTAAAAAGTTCAAACCCAATAAATCAGGGTTATGCTCATCATATTTAATTTGGGACCAGAAACAATGAATAAACCGGTATTTAGGAATCAATTGCATGCAACACACCTTCCTTTCACCTTTTTCTGAGAAGATGATGCATCACCTTTAGCAAAGTGTGCAAATAACTCAGTTTGCTGCAGAAGATACTTCAGTCTCCCTTTTCCCTTATTGTTCTAGATACACGGAACGATTCAAAAATCGTCAATACCCAAAACACAAGTAGGAAGAGCAGCTCAAAACCTGAAACAGTTAGTTTAAAACAACGCACCATATCCGCATCAATGGAAGCATTTTGTGAGTCCAGCATCTCCTGAATCTTCTGCTTCTTCAACTTCTGCATCTCTTTAAGTCTGGCTTTCTCACGTTTGCTGATTTCAGCTTTTTCTTCATCTTCTTCGTCCTGCATATACCACAATGGAGGAAAACATGAACTGCATATCCAAAAGAATTGCAAGTACAAAAAGACGCAGAGTTCACTGAAAATTCGAAAATCACAGCCATTGAAAACGAAATCAGCCTGCACTAACCTCGTAATCATCTTCTACAGGGGCGGCTTCTCCGTCGGAGACAGGGGATTCGTCAGCGGCGGCTACTTCGTCATCGTCGGAGCCAGAAGAACGAGCAACAGCCTCGAGCTCCTCCTCGTCTTCTGCTTGTTCGTTTTCCTTAACCTGCTCTTCTTCCTCCTCGGACGAGAAAGCCTCATCGGAGTTCGAAATTCTCGCCATGGAAGCAACGAATCCGGATTCGCCTTGAGATCGAGGGTTCGCTTGTGGGAAAGTAAAATAAAAGTGAAAAATTTAGATACAAATTGCTAAGTGCAGACCCCGAAACGACCGAAGCTTCAGGGTTATTTATGGCCGTTGATTAAGTTGATTAAATCTACGGCTACGATGGACCAACTCGCTTCGCGAATGGGAATTCCCCGCCAACTGAGCAAGAGAGTTTTGGAATCTTCCCACTTTTGGTGGACTTCGTTTGGTCATTAAATAGGCCTAATGGATCTTTAAGGCCCAATTCGAAGCCCGAATCGCTCATTAATGCAGATTGCAGAAGCTGCATCAAAAAGTTTCTTTTAGTCTGACTTTTTATGTTCTTCTCGACGACTTGTGTCACTCTGTCTTGGTATCAAAATAAAATTTGGTGATTTTGTATTGAACAAACCTATTCTCTCTTTCGACTATATTTATCCGAAATAGTTGTATCCATGTGTTAAACATGTTACTGGACTATATAATACATATGCTTGAGAAGTGGTAATAATGCTAATAAACTTTTGTTTCTTGCAGTTTAATGTTCTCACACGAAATAAGATATCATTTACATAATTTACAGCCATAAGTAGAAAGCAAAGTGGTACCTAAGGGCATATATAAAATTAGATATTTTCATGCATATGATTGTTTAACCACTCCCTAGCTAGTCCCTACTAAGTAGTAAGTAATGTTCCTCAATTACTTTTAGGATTAATAGGATATTTAGTACATTTTGAGAAGTTAATTGGGGAAGTGATACATTTACTATTCAAAATTGGCAAAGTAGTACATTTGTGAGATAGAGAATTTGTGAGATAGAAAAAAAAGGAGAAAAAAAATGACAAGAGAGGGCAGTTTTTGTTGTTTTCCGATTTTCGTTTTTTTTTTGTTTTTTTTTAATTTTATTCTTTTAAATATTTTTACCCCAACATTCTAATAACTAAAAATTCTTGGTTTTGTAATTTTTTTTCAAACTTTTTTTTGATTCACAAAAATCTATGTTTTTTCTCTATAATTTGATATGCATTTTGCTTAGTATAATTTAAATACATTTCATATGTATATATATTTTTTGTACATTAAAGCATATGTACAGACGTATTTGTACAATTTAGTATATGTACAGACGTTTGTGTACACTTGATTAGATGTACAGAGTATATGTACAGACGTATTTGTACAATTTAGTATATGTACAGACGTTTGTGTACACTTGATTAGATGTACAGAGTACCCCGTACAGCTTACTATATGTACGCATGTATAAAAAATTACACATTTTTATCTGTACAACTACTATGATATATGAATTTATGCATATTTATGTACATATTCGTATACTAATATGTTGTACGGATGTTATTGTGTAATATTTTTATTATTGTACAAATATATGTTTTTACACTTCTGTACATAAAATATGATGTACGAGTTATATTATATAATCATTATATAATTATTCTAATGGCATACTTGTAAATAATATGTTTTTTGAGTGCTTAAAGGTCAACAAAATAGTAGCAAATAGTGATAATGTACTAGTTTCCTAATTGTAAATAGTGATTGTACTAGTTATATAATTAAGTTTCAAAAATGTACTACTTCTCCAACACACCCTTACTTTTATATATGCCCTAATACCACGTTCCCGGGGTACGTACTTGTCCTAACACGTTAACATCATTGTATCTACATTATTCACAACTTTATACAATCATAAAATTTTGATCATATAGATGCTGCAGGTTTATATTATTTGTTATGATATGTATATAACTTTAAAATGAAACTACAAAACCGATCGATCTAGTGTACTTGTCCAAAGGTACAAATAAAAATTAGTTCTATCGTGTTGATTAATCTCAAAAATATATATTGCATTATTTGCATATACTTACACTCCATAATTGATATATAGTCTCATTTCTTGGCGTGAGGGTAACCACAACTCATCAACCGGCCGGGACTATATAAACACACATATATTCTCATGTAACGTAGCTCATCATAGTCCAAACTTGGCCACAAAACAGATTTTATAAATCATTTGATGGCATCTATTAAGAACCCCGACCCAGAAACCGGCAAATCTGAAACAATTCCGGAGTCCGCTGTACCAGTACTACCACCACCACCACCGCCGTCCTCAGACGCCAGTTTCTTAGATTGCCGGAAGATAGATGTGATAACAAGAGTTCTGCTCTTCTCCGCCACTCTGACTGCTCTTATAGTAATGGTGACCAGCGACCAGACCGTGATGACTCAGCTACCCGGAGCTCTATCTCCAGTTCCTTTCTCCGCCAAGTTCAATGACTCGCCCGCTTTCATTTTCATCTCTTGCTCCATGTTATGATCATGATCAAGGAATGGCTTGTTAGTTTAAACTTGATTTTGTTGTTGGGTATCTATATATGCAGATTCCTTGTGGTGGCACTTGTGGTGGCTAGTTTCTATGCTTTAATCTCAACACTGGTCTCCATCTCTCTACTCTTGAGACCTCAGTTCACTGCACAGTTCTCCGTTTACATAACCTCCTTAGACACGGTAACTTATCTTACAAGTAACTTTGAATTTTCAGGTCCAAGTTAGGTAATTAGGGCTTTCAAAATATACATAATTCCGGAAATGTATATGAATAGGTGATGCTGGGGATTTTGGCGTTAGCGACGGGAACGGCCGGGGGAGTTGCATTGAAAGGAAATGAAGACAGTGGGAGGATTAAGATCTGTAATGTCTACGACAAATTTTGTCGTTACTTTGAAACTTCGCTTGCCTTATCTCTCTTTGCTTCTCTTCTGCTTCTATTTTTATCCATTTTATCAGCTCTTTCCAAGAGAAGTCCGTAAACAAAGCTCAAATCCATCTTGTAACGTGTGTGTGCATGAGTGTCTGATTTGGTTTGTTCGTTATGTTTAATTGATATGTAATAATGGAGTCGTCTCTTATTGCTAGTGTCGTAGAAGTTGATCATTAATTTGCTTATAGAGTCTCTACATATTATCATAGCAGTTGCTTTGCTTGGAGTCTTCACGTTCTATCTAATTTGTTCTCCATCAACGCTACAACTCCTATGTTTTACCTTCTGTGAGATGATATGTATTGTCAAACCACTGAATCGTTTATAAACTATTTCAGAACATCAAACAGAGCTTTTTTCAGAAAAAGAGAACATCAAACAGAGCGCCACCACAAACCCTAATATGGGACTAGACTCAGACAAAAAGGAAGAGAGAAAAAAAAAAAAGCAGAATCGCTTAAAATCTCAAGTTCGACTGATTTGGATCCTTACTCAGAAAGCGCAGGTTTAAAATCTACAACCTGGTTTGGTATCCAGATTACGTTCTCGTTTAGACATTTCACAAAAAGGATGCAACGCTCGCCTATTTCAGGTAAGCCTCTTTTGCAGCAAAGACACAAATAAATACTACAGAAATATTTTAATTGTAACGAAAGGTGATGAGAAAGCTATCAACAAATAAGGATCCTGAGATTTTTTTGACAAATATTTAACAACAACAGAGTACATGAAGAAGGTGAATTAAAGTTAGTCTCTTCATCATTCACAGGCGATTCTGGTTTCAAAACTGCTCAGGCAAATTGCAAACGCTTGAAACGCAGAAATCGGATATCCATAATCCATGGTGAACATGTCCTTCCCAACTTTCCCAAATTGGAGTATGATCCTCTCAGACGGCTGTTGTGTTTCACAATCGCTAACCGCCACAAGCTGAAAGTTCTTAACCGAAGCCACTGTGACTCGACCATGGAAATTTAAGCACCAACATCGTAGCTGCTCATGCCATCGTGGAGTCTTGTTACTCAGCACCAATGGTGGCTCCCTCTCCCTCAGGTTGTTGCCTGAGTCACTGCAAGTTGCACTATTGCTGCGCACCGGTTTTGAATGATACCTCAACAACGGTGATGGACGAGGAGAAAAGGAGCTTATGGATGTTGGAGCTACTCCTCCCCTGGACTCTACCATGCTCATAGGTATTGTATCCATAATGCAACGCATTCTTCTTGGTCCCCTGTTATTTATACCATGGAGAGATTGTAAGAAACACAATGGATAAAAGACTTGAAAGGTTTTTCATTTTTGAACGGGAAAATTGTTTACCGAGAGCCTAAGACGTTGAACTCGTATGAAATGTGAGCGATGGGGTAACTTCCCTGAGGAACTTTAGGTGAAACTTTGATGAGATTAGACGAGCGGCTCTTCTGCATCTTCGCTGCTCCAGTCGGTGGCGTCAGATTACCATCAATGACCGTGAATTTTGTTCCAAGGAAATTTGATCTTGCAATAACAATAAGAGGTTTAGACAGTTATCACCCAAAAAAGAAGATCGGAAACATGCATACTTTTCTAGAAATTGGGTTCAGAGTCAATAATACTTCACCATCTCTCAATCTCATAATCTAATGCTCCATACCTGACTGTAACTCATAAAGCTAAAATTTTTGTTGTACTCTCTCAAAACAAGTTGGAACTCCAATAAAAATAGATTACAAACCATTAACAATAACATTCAAAAGAGAGTGTGCTAGATCATGTCTGCAATGCACATCAAACAGATAAGCCCTCAGTTTTCAAGTGTGTGCAGACTCTTAAGGTAATGACTGCAATCTTAATAAGCTAAAGCAGGGGATATTTTATATGCATACCTCACTCTCCCTAGATACACGTTGCTTCTCTTTGACATATCATCTGAACGCAAAGAGATGATGTAATCAGTGCAAGTTGCGCGCTTAAGCTTAGAAGCAGCAAGAAGAAATTTCCCGTCATCAGTCAAAGCTGCCAGAATATTAAAGCCGTCAACAATCTCAGAGAAACAAGTGATATCTTTTAAACGTGGAAGAAGAAGAGAGATGGCTTACAGTTGGTTAACCCAAGATAGAGATGATAAGATTGCGTATTTCGATTACGTTTTATGAAACACTGAACCAGAGAATCCCTTGGACCAGGCTACACAGAACACATTCAAAAGCACAAATCCTTCAGCTTTTTGATTTGTTGGGCTTGTTAACAAACAACATCAATCGAACAAAGAAGCCAATCTATATATCTATCAATAACCAAAGAGACTAAAAGCTTTTGTTGAGCATAAGAACACTTAAAACGTCAAACTGAGATTACTTGATCAATTTCTAGAAGCTAATGTGCTAAATTTCATATGTTAAGGGATACAAAGCCGATACAAAGCCGCTAACTTTAAGTTTCAATTTCAAAAAAAAATCGAAACTTTTGGAGAGAACCTGCTTGAGGGAGGTGGGGAAAGTCAATTTAGAGGAGAATTGAGGAACAGTTACAATCTCCTTGGTGAGAATCCGCCAGCTGCGGCAAACGCCGGCGCAAGCCACCACGTTACGCCGGGAAGGCCAATCGCCGCCGTCAGCCGACTCAACCCTAATAAGAATCTCTCTCAGAAGCTCCTCGGGGAGGTCCGACCAGCTGAAAGGGTCAGAAGCAGTAGCGGCGTCGTGGACCACACGGTGGGGCCTGGACCGCATGTCCTGGATCAAAGTTCGGATCGTCATGCGGTGGGAATGAGATCTAAGAGATGACTGATCATGAAAACATGATCTGGGTTTCAAGGTAGAATCATATGGGGTTGGGGTGGTGAAGAACAAGTGGTGTTGTCGAAGAGACGCGAAGAAGATTCGAACAATAATGGTTGGAGACGTTTTCTACTTCCTTCTTCTTTTTCTTACCGCTTCTTAGACCATTTGTATATTTTTTATTTATTTATTTTCCTTTATTAATTAATAATTTTCTGTGAGTTTTTTTTTATTTTAATTTTGGGATAAGGATATGATAAAATTGTAAATCTGAGGCTTTTTTAGTGTATATTAAGTTAATACATATATGAGAAAAAAACAACAAATCTTTTTTCTTTCTAGCTATAACATATGGAAAACTAAAAGTTCAAAGAGTATAGCATTCTAGTACTGTCTTTATCAAGTATTCACTGTTATTTTCTAACAACGTCTCAACTCTGAAATACACAAACCTTTAAAATATTTAGCATTTCTACTTCAGTTTTTATCTATAAAAAATATATTTTTCCAATAAAAAAAAAGATACTTTTAACCGGCCATAATGTGGAAGTCATTAATGTGTCTAAAACCATCATCATTATATTGGTTCCCTGTTTCTCCATTCATTTGCTTTCTCCTCATGTCCTCATAAGTAAACAAAACACTGAAGAATCCAAGTACGTAGCTAAACACTATAGTATATAGATTCGTTATCTTTCATTAATTGTTGTGGGTATAGATTCCACGCTAGCTAAGCTATCTGATGGATTTCTAAATATAAACTTCGAAACTTTAACTATGATGTACAATATTTCCAACTGTCAACACACATATTGATATATATATAGATAGATAGATGTGACATACTAACATGTGTGATGTGTGGCTCCTTAAAAGAAAAAGTAATACTAGGATAATAGTGTAGATCGGAGGCACAGATTAAGCAGACCACGAGGCATTCAAATTGCCAAATCAAATGAGTCACATGTTTGACCCACCACTAGTTTAATGAATTTTACACTTAATGTTGTTTCAATATCCATGGTATTGCTTAAGTAATACGACTATTTGATTAACCAGTTGAGCATCCCAAGGGCTTTGAAAACAGTATTTACTATACGTAGTTTTATTTTTCTAGGAGCATGTTAGTTAACCCTTCATCATACATTGGAAGTGCTAATTTACAAAACAAAACAAAAAAATCATAAAATTACATTAATTTGATAAGGGTTTTGAAGATGATAGGAATACATGATGAACCCTTCATCATATTGACCCCAAAATGGGTGAACACTAGAATTGGCTTTTGCTCTCTCTCTAAGTGCAAAGACAAGAAAGAACAGGAAGACAGTTAACAAACACCTGGGCAACTAGTATTATCTAACTATTCACATTACAAAAGCTATTTCCTGTAATGATGAATAGTACTCTTTTTACATACAAAGATATATTAGTACATTACATATGTATATTGCTAGGATATTCTTTAATTTGTATATTATTCTTCATATCAGAGATTACTGTAAACTTTTATTTAAAAAATTTCCAACTTGTAATTTATCAAGTAAATGTCGAATCACATATGAAAGAACACCCCATCGTTTCTTTTTTCAGGGAAAAAAAATATCCAATCCTAATTAATACAATTTAACAAACCTGTCCTGTTATTAGCTATAGTCAATTTCTGAATCTGGTTATCATCCTAAATTATTTGAAAGTAATTAGTTATATATATAATTTATATGATTTGGTCCTATTGTAAAATTCTTTACAAAAATTTGTAGAAGTTAATTGGTTTATCATCATAAAAATAATTTAGCATGACAACCTATATCGTTATAAACAGTATAAAAGAGACCAACTTATATATTATCAAGTAAACGTCGAAGGAAGAACAGTTCCATCACAATTAGTATAATTCGATGGACCTGGCATATGGGGTCAATTTCTGAAACTGGATTAATCCTAAATTATTCCAAAGTACTTGGTTTTTTTTTTTTGGAAGTAAGGAAGTAATTTTGTTACTTATTATTATCTCTTTTTAGGTCAGATTTACAAATCTGTTCGAAAGAATATAGCAGCATAACATAAAACAATCAACGATGCGGAAAAAGAAACAAACACTATATTCCCTTTGTTCCTAAAAAGAGAATAGTCCTAAGATATTAAAAACAGGGAAAAAAGAAAAGCGTGTTCCCCTATGTTGTTTTGATAAACATCTCTTTAACACGACAACATCATAGCCAATGTGCTAGTTCCACATACGGTCATAAACAACGGTGTTAAAGAATCATCACAACCGTCCATTTGGAATAATAGTTCCTGAGATGAATATTTCGACGGTAGAGATTAGCTGAAGAATTGAGATTTAAAAAGCGTTGACCTCTCTCTCTTCCACTTGGCTTAATGGCTTCTCTGCAAAATCTATAAATATTTTTTAATACAGTACGGGTCTCTCGTCTTCTTCGTCTTCGTCTCTTTGCTGTCCTTCAACAGAACTGTACCATCTCTCTCTGCGACCAAAGAGAATCATTTGATCTTTCGAATCTCTTCATTAACCCTGCCAGGTTTGTGTTTTTTTCTTTTTTTTCTTTTTTTCCCATTTTTTGTTGGATACTTTTTCAGATTCTTTTACTATTCATGGAAGTGTAGTTTTTATTCGAAATTTTTAAAGGCAATTACTTGGTTTGTAATCGTCTCTGGAATTTTCCACAATTTTGAGATTTTTTTTTCTTATTTAAAACTTTTGATGATTATGACTTTAAAATGTTTTATTTTTAGGAATTTTCTTGATTTTAATTTGTTTTTTTCACGGCGGCTAAATTGCACAATCACGTTTGGTGGTTTATATTTCCTAGGGAATCTTACTCTAAACGGTGAGATTAGGAAATGGCGATTGGACTAAGCACAATGCTGGAAAAAACAGAGACTCTGTTGGGGTCAGATCACGCATCAGTTGTCTCCATGAACTTGTTCGTTGCTCTGCTTTGCGCTTGCATCGTGCTCGGTCACTTACTCGAGGAGACTCGTTGGATGAACGAGTCTATCACAGCTCTTATCATCGTAAGCTTTTTCTTTTATTATTATTTAATTTATTGGTTACAAAACAATGCTAATAAAGTAACAAGTATGGTGAATTTACGCATATTAGGGTTCATGTACTGGTATTGTGATCTTGCTTATAAGTGGAGGCAAGAGCTCAAGGATTCTTGTGTTTAGTGAAGATCTCTTCTTCATTTATCTTCTTCCACCAATTATATTCAATGCTGGGTAAGTTTTTTTCTTTTATTCTTTTCAATTTCATGTAAACCGGTTGTATTCAATTGAAAACCGGTTCTTGAAGTGAGCTATGAGCTCAACGCATGATTTTTATATTCCAGGTTTCAGGTTAAGAAGAAGCAGTTTTTCCGCAACTTCATGACCATTATGTTATTTGGTGCTATTGGTACTCTCATTTCATTTGTTATCATATCATTAGGTAAAACAAATCTCAATCATCAACTCCTATATTACAAAATCAGTCTCAAAATACATTTTGATGATATTTTCCGGTTTTGGGTTTTGGTTAGGTGCTAAACATTTTTTCGAGAAAATGAATATCGGAGATCTTACCATTTCGGATTATCTAGGTAACCGAAGCTCTTTCTGCTTTATTGTTCATTCAAGTGTCGCATCCACCCACTTAACCTCGTTTGATTTGCAGCCATTGGAGCAATATTCTCTGCTACAGACTCTGTTTGCACTTTGCAAGTAAGCTTATGCAACATTTGAAAATACTATTCTACTACACTAGCCAATCAAGAATTAACAAAATCCTCTTTGTTAAATCTAGGTGCTTAATCAAGACGACACACCTCTCTTGTACAGTCTGGTCTTTGGAGAAGGTGTAGTGAACGATGCAACATCGGTCGTGCTCTTCAACGCAATACAGAGATTTGACCTCACAAACATCAATTCAACCATAGCTTTGGAGTTTGCTGGAAACTTCTTCTATCTCTTCATCTTAAGCACAGCACTTGGTGTCGCAGTAAGTTTTCTTTCTCTATGCTCCTCAGGTTTTCAGCAATGGAATTTGGAGTTTATTAGGAAAGTTGTCACTCATAATATTTCAGGCTGGATTGCTCAGTGCTTTCGTTATCAAGAAGCTCTATATCGGAAGGTATATGTCTGCATGATTCTTTGTCGATCTTTAAATACGTGATTATACTCTTCGCTAGCTGTTTCCTTAATCCTTTTTGTAAAATCAGGCACTCCACTGATCGTGAAGTTGCACTTATGATGCTATTGGCTTACTTATCATACATGTTGGCAGAGGTAAAAAGACTAGTACGATAACGAATGTCTTTGTTACATTTTCTTAAGACAAAATGAAATCATGAAATATGTTTCCTTTGCAGCTATTCCACTTAAGCTCTATCTTGACTGTGTTCTTCTGCGGAATTGTTATGTCTCACTACACATGGCACAATGTAACAGATAAATCTAAAGTTACTACAAAGTAAGTTTCTTTCTTCTCCTAACAATTATAGAAATCTGTATACTAATTTGGTGACTTTGGTTGACTAAAATTAATGTATATCTTTTCTTGGCGTACGTAGACACACTTTTGCTGCATTGTCATTTCTAGCTGAGATTTTTATCTTCCTTTACGTTGGAATGGATGCTCTTGATATCGAGAAATGGGACGTTGTACGTAACAGGTAAGACCAATTTCCTAGTGTTTTAAAACTTAGTGAAAATACAGTTTCCTTGTTTCGTTTTCATGATCTTGTTTCAACAATTTGCGCAGTCCTGGTCAGTCGATTGGAGTGAGTGCAATACTTCTTGGGCTTATTCTTTTGGGTCGTGCCGCCTTCGTGTTCCCACTATCCTTCTTGTCAAATTTGACAAAGTCTTCACCGGATGAGAAAATAGATTGGAAGAAACAAGTAACCATTTGGTGGGCTGGTCTGATGCGTGGTGCAGTTTCAATGGCTCTTGCTTATAACCAGGTTTTGATCCTTGAACTACAAGAAACAAAGATCAAAACCAATTATAAAGATCTTTTAGGTTTCTATAAGTTCTCACTAATCGCTTATCTCTCTCTCTTACACCATAGTTCACAACTTCAGGACACACCAAGGTTCTTGGAAACGCTATCATGATCACCAGCACCATCACCGTCGTTCTTTTCAGTACTGTGGTACGTTTGATCAACTCTTTGCCCAAACCGGTTTGCATCCTAGTAAAATCAAAACGGGGTTTAACCCATCCGACACGTAACTGAACAACAAAAAGTAAATTAATTAAAGATAAATTTGTCCTAACCGCTTACCTTATTAATTTGGCAGGTGTTTGGTTTGCTAACCAAACCGTTAGTCAAACACTTGCAGCCTTCATCAAAACGGTCCTCCACGACCGCTTTGCAGATCACGCCGGGATCTTCTTTCCATGATCCGCTCCTCAATGGCGGTAGTAGCTACGAGCCATTGCTGAGTACCCAAGGCCAGTCAGAGTACACCATTGATCAACCGATCAGCCTTAGAATGTTCTTAAACACTCCGTCCCGAGCCATTCATCATTACTGGAGGAAATTTGATAACGCGGTTATGCGTCGCATATTTGGCGGCAGAGGCGTTTCTCCTATAGTTCCGGGTTCACCAGTTGAGACTAGTGTTCGGCAGTGGAGTGAAGAAGCAGAAATCAAGGAACAAAACGGTGAACCTTGATGGACCATATATTGATATGGGTAAAAGATCTTTGACTTGTTGATCGCGTTTTTGGGAGTTTGTTGGACGCAAACGCAACCGGGACTGGCTCTCATTTTTTTGCCTCCAGTTTTGGTAATTGGTACCATGGTTTTTGCTCTATGGGCGGCGCTTGATGATGTGATTTTTTCTCCGGTTTGATTTTGGTTTGTGGTGTGGTTTTAGTAGAGCCGGTCCAATTTTGTGGTTTGGGTTTTGGGTGTTTGGTTTAGCGGTTTTCTTGTGAGATTGTAATTCTCTTTGTAAATAGGGGCTGATATAGGGGTGGTGACTTGAGTGCACGTAGACGTTAGCGGCTGCGTTTTGAGATACGGCGTTTGCGTTGAGGGGTCGTTTTCTCTAAAGTTTGTGTACACTTTTCTCGTACTTGTTATACGAAAATTACATACGAATCTTTAAAATGTTCATAATTTATTATTGGACTTTGCAAAGAAAGTACTTGTTGACGAATTCAAAATTACCAAATAATTAATAGATGTTGCTTGCTCGTTAAACTTCATTGTCTTCCCACTAAGACAAAGTGAGTGGGTATCATTAACCTTACAGCTAGTGAGATTATTACAATCTGTCACGTATAAAAACCTAAATATATGATGTGAAAACAATGAAACTTCATTTGAATATATATATATATATATATATATATTCCTTTTTACCTATATTATATATAAATTTTAAATTGAAACCTTTTCTGAAATATCCTTTATTGGCATTAAGAAAATTTGGAAAACAAATTATAAAGCGTCGGACAGGAGAAGAAGGCACCTTTTTTGTTGTTGTTGTTGTTGGTTGCTTTTAGCAGCGAGGCAGCATAATGCAGTAACTCACATGCATGCGCCTCTAGCCTTCTGGCATTTTTGGGAATTTTACAATAATGCAATATACTTGATTAAATACGTAAATTCACTAAACTATACAGTACTGCGTACTTTTAACAAATCCTAAACACGTCCCAAGATTAAGAACAAATAATCATTAAACACTGAATCAAACAAACTGAAAGGATTATTGTAGAGAATAGACACACCTTAAAGTCTTATAAGACTGAGACTCCTGAGTTGTCTAAATATATAAGTTCGTGTAGTGGCTATACAATCGTAATAGCATTTTGTATGCCGTAATTAGTAGTCCATATATAACCCCATAATTGTTATTTGCATATAAACAGAAATTTTAAAATTTGATGCTACTGACTACTGTGACTTTAAAGCATATGACACTTTAATTTGAAACGTTATTTCAACTTTTTCAAAAGGTTCTTTTAGCTAGGAAAAAATAAACATAAATAAAGCAACTGCATACACAAACAAATTATAAATGAAGTGAAGAAAAAAAAACTCACAAGTGTATTTTGTACGTGAATCACTTAAAGGCATAATTTAATTATGCATCAATTATGTGACTGACGTATAATGAATTCACTACTTTATACGTACATATATTAATTAGCTATATAGCCAATCAAAATTTGTAAAATGTAAGACCAACATTATCAGCAAAATCTTAAGAGTATTTTAAGACAAGATACCTTTAAAAAAATATCTTGTGCAAGATGTTTTCTTAAGGGTATCTTGCCTTAAGATACCCCTTAAGATCTTGCTGATAATGATGCCCTAACAAAATATTATTTGGTGCGATAAAAATATGTTTTGAAACTAGAATTAAATGTTTATTCGAGACACAATTTTTGTTTGTTTTTGTTTTGGGGACAAATAATAAAACTCATGAAAACAAATACGTACGTGGATAAGAATCTATAATATATAAATGACCTATAAAGCTGAAACGGCAAGAAGACGGAGCGAGAAACACGAGGCGGTGGCGAAGACGACGGAGAGTAGAACTTGGGGAGCTTGAGAAGAAACTGGTGGAGAAGCGGAGGGAGCGAAGGCGGCGGGATCAGGATCGGTGAGAACGTCGTCGTTCTCTGGTTGGGGAAGTGATGAAGAAGAAGGGATGGTTTGAGTGGTGGAGGAGACGGCGGGAGAAGGGAAGAGAGGAGCGATCTCCGGCGAGATATGTTGTTCAAAGGGTGAGGTTGTTGGGGAAGAAGGGATCGTGTTTGTGGTCGGGGAAGAGATCATGGAAAGTGATGAGGAGAGAGAGATCATGAAGGTGATGATGAGTGTTAGCAATATAGATGATGAAGCCATCTTTTTCTTCTTTTTGTTACTGTAATGATGAACAAATCAGAGCTCTTGTTTATTTCTTTTGGGTTGAGGTTGTCTCTCTCTCTTTCTAGTTTCTACTGATGTGCATTTTTGTGTTTGTAATGATACTGTCTCTATAAAAGAAAACTTTTAGGTCTAAATAGTAAAATGTTAGAATTTGATTTTAAATGAAATTTGGTCTCACCTTTTCTTTAAAGCTGATTAGTTAAGTAGTAGTATATTTTTTTTTGTTTTTTTAATAAATTGAAAGGATCAAGGATGTGTGTTCGGTGGAAAATTTAACTTTTTAGTAGAAGCTGCTTTATAATGCACATGAAAAATATCGAATTCAACTAATAATCCAAATGATAAACCGGATTGGTAAGTAAGAGTGATTAATTTTGTTGTTGGATGTTCTAATATAAATGACCCTGTAGTATATATATATTGGGTTGTTCCAAACCAAATATTTTGTTGTCTTTTGTACAAAAAAAAGTTTGTTGGTGAGTAAAAATCAAAAAGAAAAAAGCTTTGTTGGGTGTGAGAATATTTTCTTTGGGGTTGATGGTTTTAATGATATCTCTTTTTGAATATGGATTTGCTTAAATGTTTTTTTTTTTTTTACTTTTTATACAATGGTGGTATTCAGACCAGTAAATCATGGTTCATTTGATTTGGTGGCTAAAGGGTTTAGACGACCGGTACTCTTTTCTACTTTTTAAATAGGTAGTCAAAGTTGAAAGCTTTTGTTTTTTGATTTTAATTGTTCTTTAACCTTTTGTATGATTTATGTTGTTTTTGTTTTTGGAACTGTATGAGCCCAACCAAGAGAGAGAGAGAGAGTAAAATGAGCCCGAACATTTACAAAAGCCCATTAAAGATGTTTCTTATGGGCCCATGAAATGCAGCCAACTATATACAATTGTATATTGTAGTGCAAAAACATGTTGAGTTGCATGTGCAAGTGCAACTGGGGTATGTTCTCTTGAAGACTTAATCCAAGTTAAATTTTTTTTTTAAAAAAATACAGAAATAAACATGTATATTGTTATTTACACCACCTAACATTCGAAAGCCACCAAACATTTTTTGGTTGAGCGTATAAAAATGTGGAAAAAACCAAAAATTGAAGGGAAAAAAAAGGAACAAGGAAGGGGTCCCCGTTGGTTTGTTTGGCGTCTCACACAGCAATGGCAGTTTCTTCTTCTCGTCTCACCTACTCTCCTCGGCTACTCTCTAATCCACGGCGCTCACCTACCTCCTCCGCCAACTTCCATTTCCCCGCCGCCGATTCACCTCTCCGCTTCAAATCCAATCTCTTCTCCGCCGACTTCTTTTCCCTTCAAACCAGGACTTTGCCGGTTCCTGTTGTCTTTTCCGATCGACGGCGCCGGCGATTCATGGAACCTACCAACGTCTATGTTTGTCAAAATCTTCCTTCTTTTTGATTCTGAGTTTGATTTAGTTTTAGTTCTGAGTTTGAAAAACTATTTTAGCTGAAAAAGCCGAAGCTTATCTATAAAGTTGAATTTTTTTTTTAATTATCCTGTTATGTGGCCCTTTAGGTGGCATCAAATTCCACGGTAACGGGGATCGGGAGTGAAGACATTGTGAAAAACCCGAGCTTGATCTGTGCTCCAGTGATGGCGGATTCAATAGACATGATGGTGGCTGAAACTTGCAGAGCACAGGAATTGGGTGCAGACTTGGTTGAAATTCGATTAGATTGGCTTAAGGATTTCAACCCTCTTGAGGATCTTAATACCATTATAAACAAATCTCCTCTGCCTACTCTTTTCACCTACAGGTTTCTGTGTTCAAAGCTTGACACTTTTTTTAAATGTTTGATATGGAACTTTTCTGTCTTCTTATTTCCCTCTCTGAGTAATGTTATTTTTTTGTATGATATCTGCTTTCTAGACCAAAATGGGAAGGTGGTCAATATGAAGGTGATGAAAATGAGCGACAGAATGTGCTCCGGTTGGCCATGGAGCTGGGAGCTGATTACGTTGATGTTGAACTTCAGGTTAGCGTCTTTTAAAGTGGTGGAACTTTTGTATCCAGAAGGTGTTTTGATGCGAACTTATCAGTTTCTACTTTACTTTGCACTGTTAAGGTTGCAACTGAGTTCATCAGATCGATTGATGGAAAGAAGCCTGAAAATTTCAGATTGATTGTTTCATCGCACAACTATCAGAATACCCCTTCCGTTGAAGATCTCAATGACCTTGTTGTAAGAATACAACAGACTGGAGCCGACATAGTGAAGATTGCTACTACTGCTGTGGACATCACAGATGTTGCTCGCATGTTCCATATAACCTCAAATGCTCAAGTAAGCGTCTTGCATACCAGCATGAAGTAAAATCAAGTGTTTGCTAATCTCTGAATGTGATTCCCTGTTTTCACCATCTGAACTTTTCACTCAAATTTCAGGTTCCCACAATTGGGCTTGTTATGGGCGAAAGAGGTCTAATATCTCGGATTCTTTGTTCCAAATTTGGTGGGTATTTGACCTTTGGCACCTTAGATTCTGGAAAAGTTTCTGCGCCAGGTCAACCAACAATCAAAGATCTATTGGATCTTTACAACTTTAGAACAATTGGTCCTGACACAAAGGTGTATGGAATCATTGGCAAGCCTGTCAGTCACAGCAAATCACCTATTGTTCACAATCAAGCTTTCAAATCAGTTGGATTTAATGGAGTATATGTCCACTTCTTAGTTGATAATCTTGCAAGCTTTCTCCAAGTGTACTCATCCTCTGGTTTCGCTGGATTCAGGTAAGCTATCACGTTGACATATAAGTTATTCTCCAGAGTGAACAATTCTAAAGTAATGAACAGAACCGTCCACATTTTACTTTTTACGTTTTTAAGTTTTGCTTTGGAATGGAAGAATTTCAGGTGAATGATTTAAACCTGTTTTACGTGCAGCTGTACAATTCCTCACAAAGAAGCTGCATTGCAATGTTGTGACGAGGTTGATCCATTGGCAAAGGTCCGGTTTCCTAATAACCACCAGATAATTTTGATAGTAACCCTAATCACTATCAGAGAATAAACAGCCATACTGTTTCACCCTGAATGTTTGATTTATATTATCTTACAGTCTATAGGAGCTGTGAACACTATATTAAGGAGAAAAAGCGACGGAAAGTTGTTGGGTTACAACACAGATTGTATTGGTTCAATTTCTGCTATCGAGGATGGCCTACGAAGTAAGTTCTAAGTTTACAGCTTCAATCCTTTTGTTGCTTCCCGTGGAAAAGTTTCGGTTCTTTGTAATGGTACCTTTTCTCTTGCTTTTTTTTCAGGCTCAGGTGATCCAAGCAGTATACCTTCTTCCTCTTCGCCATTAGCCGGTAAAACAGTGGTGGTTATTGGTGCTGGTGGAGCAGGCAAGGCACTTGCTTATGGTGCAAAAGAAAAGGGGGCCAAAGTTGTAATTGCTAATCGAACTTACGGTAAATTACATTTCCTAGACTGGAACTTTCCGCTTTAGAAACACCTTTAAATATTCTGTCAGCAATCATGCTCGGCCTTGACAATAGTCACAATACTATTCATCTCATCTCTTTTTTCGGTTGTCATGTTTGCGGTTGTAATTGATGATATGGTTTTTAACTTCCAAATGTTGTGTTTCTAAAGAACGAGCGCTAGAACTCGCGGAAGCAATTGGAGGCAGAGCGTTAGCTCTTGCAGATTTAGATAGCTTTTGCCCAGAAGATGGCATGGTTTTGGCCAACACCACATCCATGGGTATGCAACCAAATGTTAGTGAGACTCCCATTTCCAAGGTACATTCTCCTTTTAACAACTCTTTCCTAATGTTATCTATCAAAGCGGATATTTTATTTTCTGTTATGGAAAGAACAAATACCAGTCTTATCGCCTGCAAACTCTCTTAAGTTTCTTGATCTATAAGACAAATTAGTAAGCTAGCATATCATTGTTTCCCCAGCATGCATTGAAGCACTACGCATTGGTCTTTGATGCGGTCTACACGCCTAGAATCACCCGACTGTTACAAGAAGCAGATGAATGTGGAGCCATAACAGTATCGGGCTCAGAGATGTTTGTCAGGCAGGCTTACGAGCAGTTTGAGATATTCACGGGTTTGCCTGGTAAGTGACTCGTGTCAAAACAAAACTCATGCCTCTGTTCCATAAATCTTTAAAACAAAAGAAGCTGACTTTATGTTGAATCGTTGTGTAGCTCCAAAGGAACTCTTCTGGCAAATCATGTCCAAGTACTGAGACATAGCGTAAGTTTGTGTTTGTGACTTTGTGTGTATGTTCTTCTTCCAAGGAAACTCGATAGAATTGCCAATTGTATTTGACTAGAGTGTTCTTTTTTGAGGCGATAGCTTATTGTTACTGTGTATCTTTATTATATGAGATATAATACATCTAGAATCCGATACATTGCAAGATTCTATATGAATCGCCACACTTCACTATATAAATCCGATGAGATTACAAAATATCAAAATTCATTAATATAAGAATACTATAATCTTTATTCAGGAATTTAACTTCTATATTTTAGATGGGAACTTTTTATTTACATCAAAAGTTTTATATGTGCACATTTTTCTTTAAAGAAAATAAACTAAAGCGAGGTCCCAATGATATGTAGATAAGTAGAGGTGTTTTTTTTCCTTGTAAATGTGTTAAGAAAAAAATATATAAATATGGCATGTAGGTGTTACAGGAGCAACACCAGAGCCAAAAATACTAGAGCAAAGGAAATATCTTATATAAGGATCCAAGACAACATGATAAAACGAAACAAAGACAGAGGGATTAAACCATTTCACTGGCAAATAACTCTTCTAACCACTCCGAATATCCCAAGGCTACAGAGGCTTGAAGTTCCTTCACACTTTTGAGTAATGAATGAGCTAGGCTCCTCTTGGTTCACGTGTCTCATTCACCTAACTACACAAAAAGGAAAGAAAAAAAAACAAACCCGCATATTACAATATTACATTTTACGAGAAAAAAGAACAAAACTGTTAAATACATATATATAAGAAGAATACCAAAGGCTAGTACAATACTTGCAAACGACTGGGGAAAAAAAGAGAAACAAGAAGCAGAAGAAGAAGAAGAAGAAGAAGAAGAAGAAGAAGAAAATAAGCTAATTAAGTTGAGAAAGTTTGAAAAGAGCTGTCGTGTGGTAATTGGCTTGGGTTTGATGGCAGCAGCTGCTTCGACTAGTGTGGTCTGCAACTTTCCTTCTTCTGTCACTGATTCTGCTGCCAGGTTCAGATCGAATGCCTTCTCCAACAAGAATCCACCGGTTTGCGTTGTCTTCTCTGGTCGTCCCAGTTTGGAACCAAACAATGCTTTTGTAAGTGACCAGCCCTTGTTACTCTATACAATACCTTTGGTAGATCTATGTTTTATCGTTTACATTTAGTGGTTTTAGACCATTTCTAACTCTTATGCAATATTCATTTTCAAAATGTAGAGTTTGGAGTCAGTTTTGCTCCAACCCCATCTCCATTTTCGTATGCAAGATAATGATTTTCATTTTTCTTTCTGTATTTTGAGTTTTCCATTTACACTTAATTAAATTTGTAAGATTTTCATTTTCAACCCAAAAATGAAATTACTGAGTAAAAACATGTGCAAAACTTATCAAGTACGGTGATGCATATGGTGGACTTCCACCATTTTTGGAAACACATGGAGATTAAGGGGAGCGTGAGGACCACGCACCATCACGATCATACAGTGGGGGCCGATTGGTACTAGGATACTTTTAAGCCCTTTAGCCTTTTACCTCAATTAATTTGCCAATAACATCTTTTGCTTTTCTTTTTTTTTTTAAAGTCACTTTTTCTCATTTTTATAGATGCATGCAAACCTGACTTTAAATCTAATCAGTTAAAAAATATTTATTTTTCACAATCCCCGTTACATTTTTAAAACTCTTTCAGAAGTTTATAAATATATTTTATTTTTGTAAATTAATTATTCTCCTTTTTTCTTATTCTTTAAGATCCATTTCAATAATAATTATTTTGATAAATTCATTTCAATATAAAATAATAATAGAAAAATATTAGTCACAGCTTTAAAAGTGGTTTATCACCAACAAGATTTTAATAGTAAAAATTTCTACATCCAAATTTTCTGCAGCTAAAATTTTAAAGTTAAAGTCTCTACTGCCAAAAGTAACCGTCGTTACTAATCAGAGCCACTATCTGGTGGCTGTGCTTTTCCTCTACTTCCCAGCAATAGTTTAATTAATAGTGGTTGTGCTTTTCCTCTACTTCCCAATAATAACATATTGACTTGTCTATATAGTGGAAAGTGATGGACTTGGCCAACTTGCTTATCCTAGTGAAGAAGGTTGTATAACAGTTTTGTCACTTTCGTAACTGATCGTCATGAATACATGGATAGACCATTGATGATTCATTTACGATTTTTTCTTTCTTTCTTGATCTACTTTTTATTATTCACATAACCAAAGTACTCACATATCTTTGTTTTCAACATTAATTAGTTGGTTTAAAACTACACCTGAGATGACAAATCTAGATTGTGACTTGACATCTTTGTCTGCAACGTGTGTATATATAAGGTGATTTCAAATTCCATGGAAGTGGAGATCAGGAACAAAGAAAATATGAAAATTCCAAGAACCAAAGAATTTGTGAGGAATCCGAGTTTGATTTGTGCTCCCCTGATGGCGAACTCAGTAGACGAAATGGTGACTGAAATGTTCAAAGCCTGTGAATTGGGCGCAGACTTGGTTGAAATTAGATTAGACGCTCTCAAAGTTTTCAACCCTCTTGAGGATCTCAAAACCATTATACAACAATGTCCCCTACCCACTTTGTTCACCTACAGGTTTGTGTGTACATTTTTCTTTCCCCTTATTTTTTAAGGAATTTTTATTTTGACTATGGTTTGTTTGTATACATGCATGCTGCATTATGAGTAATGTTAATGTTCGTATGATCTAGACCAAAGTGGGAAGGTGGTCATTATGAAGGCAATGAAAATGAACGACAAGATGTTTTACGATTAGCTATGGAGTTTGGAGCTGATTATGTTGATGTTGAGTTTCAGGTCATAAATCATAACTTAATGATTTAATGATTTTTTTTTGGATTGTCAGTTTATTTAAGAGATGATACTAATTATGACTTTGTATGATGATAAGGTTGCAAGTGAGTTCATCAAATCGATTCATGGAAAGAAGCCTGAAAATTTTAAAGTAATTGTTTCATCACACAACAATGAGAATACTCCTTGTGTTGAGGATCTCGAAGATCTTGTTGCAAGAATACAACAAACTGAAGCTGACATAGTGAAAATTGTTACGACTGCTGTTAACATCACAGATGTTGCTCGCGTTTTTCATATAACCTCAAATTCACAAGTAATTAAGTGCATGCAATAGTACTCTATGTATTTAAATTTTCATTTTTCTAATTTGGACTAAGCTCACACTGAAGCTTTCAGGTTCCGACAGTTGGATTAGTTATGGGTGAAAGAGGTCTAATATCTTGGATACTAAGTTCGAAATTTGGTGGATACATGACATATGCCAATTTGGAGTCTGGAAAGATGAAGGCGCTTGGTCAACCAACCATCAATGATCTATTGGATCTTTACAATTTCAGACAGATTGGTACTGAGACCAAAGTATATGGAGTTGTGGGAAATCCTATAAGTCATAGCAGATCACCTCTTATATACAATCGAGGTTTCAAATCAATTGGCTACGATGGAGTGTATATCCACTTGTTAGTTGATAATATTGCAAGCTTTCTTGGAGTGTACTCATCTCTTGATTTTGTTGGATTCAGGTAAATAACTAATTACCAAGTACGGTTTCTTTCTTTCTTTAATACATAATAGTATATAGTTTCATAAAAATTGAATAGAGTACTCTTTGTGTTGACATGCAGCTGTGGAATTCCTTACAAGGAAGATGCATTGAAATGTTGTGATGAGGTTGATCATTTAGCAAATGTATGATATGCCAAGAATCCAAACGATCACAAATGATATTATAGCATATATTAGCTAGTTGTTATATATTGTGTCGTCCTAATGAATTACTGAAATGCGTAGTGCATTATATCGATCTTACAAGTCTGTAGGAGCTGTGAACACTATAAGAAGGAGAGAAAGTGATGGAAAATTGTTGGGTTTCAACACGGATTGTTATGGTGCTATTTATGCTATTGAGGATGGCTTACGTACTAGTAAGTTCTCTATGTTTTCCGATGTGGGATTCTCTTTAAAACTTATATCCTCCTTTTTTTTTTAATTCCTATATATGTGGGATTCTTCTTTATATATATATCTTCATGGAATATTCTCTTTTTGTTTGTTTGGTCGTCCAGGCTCTGATGATCGGAGCGATGTTCTTTCTTCGTCGTCGCCATTAGCTGGTAAAACAGTAGTGATCGTTGGTGCTGGTGGTGCAGGCAGGGCAGTTGCTTATGGTGCAAAAGAAAAGGGAGCTAATGTTTTTATTGCTAATAGGACTTACGGTATATATAAACTTCATCAGTTACAAAAGATTCACTCCCTGTAGATAACAGTATGACATATATAGTCATGGTTTATCTTGACACTCTTCTCTTTGGGCGTTATATGAAAATGGTTCTTGTTGTTTGGTAGAACGAGCCTTAGAACTCGCGGATTCAGTTGGAGGCAAAGCCATCTCGCTAGCGGAGTTAGATAGTTTTCATCAAGAAGATGGGATGATTCTGGTCAACACCACAGCAATGGGCATGCAACCAAATATCGATGCCACGCCCATTTCCAAGGTAGCTTTTTTACGTATTCTTTACCGTTTCATTGCTTGGAATCTTTTTTTCTCCCTTTCTTCTTTCACGATACGCAAATTTGAAAACTGGCTTCTCTTTGTTTGATATATATATAGGATGCATTGAAGCACTATTCATTGGTTTTTGATGCGGTATATACTCCGAAGAAGACGAGACTCTTAAGAGAAGCAGAAGAATCAGGAGCCACGATTGTCTTTGGCTCGGAGATGTTTGTCCGACAGGCTCTTGAGCAGTTCGAGATTTTAACCGGTTTGCCAGGTAAGAGAGGAACTCATATTATATTATATAGAGAGACAAAAGAAACGCATGCATGTCTCACTTCCTTAAAACCCTCTGAACAAGTAAAAATAAATAATAAGCTGACTTTACTAATCACAGGAACTAATTTCAATGTTGTGCAGCTCCAGAGGAACTATTCAGGCAAATCATGTCAAAATACTAAAAGAGATTTGATGGCTTGTGACGGTCATGCTCTTCTTCGGTTCTGATCCGCCCGTGGATACCCGGCCAATTCAATAAACTTTAGGAATGCCAGAATTTATAAGAATGTAATAAATAAATTAAGTCTATGACTAAAACAAAAAACGAGTCTAAAAATATATGAAATTGAAATAACAATAATCCCTTAAATTTTATTCCATTAAATTATTTACTAACATAGTAGAAACTATGTAAATTCAAATCTAAACCCAAAAATTGGTATTGAAATAATTTTTATTTATTTTTTGCAGGAAGGATTTGTTTCCCGCCAAAGCAAAAAATTGGGGGAAAAATGAGGAATTACAATTAAACCCGCCAAATTGAAAACACACAAATCTCACGAAAGGGCACTCTGACTCGCACACTTTTACGTACGTACTTTGTTGTTCATCAGTTTTGAAGTTTTATTTTCTTTTTTGTTTTCCGGTCAGACAAATCAGATTTCTCTCTTCCACACCGTTTCGTCTTCTCTCGGCAAAGTAAGCTCTTCCCTTTTTGCTTTTCTCACTTTTTCTTCTTCCTGATTCTTAATTCTATTACCGATTTGAAATCTCCGACCCAAAAATCACAAAAAGATTTGGAATCTGTTAGTCTGAATCTAACTCATAACGTTGCGATTGTCCCTTTTTTTTTTTTTTTTTTTTTTTTTTTTTTTTTTTTTTTTTCGTTTTTAAGGATGATAACTGATTGTAGAGTGGAATCTTAATTTTAACAAAAGTTGGAGGGTTGCTGTGCAATTAATTAAAAATACGTCATTTATGTTTTAATTTGCTGTTAACCCCAAAAACTAATTAAATCGAGTGAGGGGAAAAAAGCATAATAATTAAAAAAAGAGTTTGTTGTTAGATGGCTTTTAGTTTTCACATAAGATATACGCCGTGAACTTTAGTCGGACTCCTTCCTCTCCGCCGTTCGGTTTATTCCCCGCCGGTTAGTTTCTCTCACTCCATTGAGTTTACCTCCTCCGAATTCACTAACCCTTAGATTGTATAAAGATTATAATTTTGCGAATCCTCCTCTGTTTCATTTGCCGCCGGTATAGCCTCTCTCAGCTGTTCCAACAATTCCCCGATGAATTCGTCAACTCTCGGTTTTTGTTTGGCTCTTTCAGTTTTGGTTTTATTCTCCTCTGCGTTAATTTTCACTTCTGACTTGAAATGGTATTTCTAGAGAACGTAGACACACATGTCTAGGGTTTTTTTTGCTTTGTTGTTTTCCTTCAATCCTCTGATGTCGTTTTCGCTGATTATATTCTAATTATGCTCCTAAGGCCTTCTAACGTTTTCTATGATTATGTTCTGATTAACTTTTACATTACGAGTGCAGAATCATATCTATTCATATATAGAATTGCTTACATTTATGTTCATCCCAGGCTTTGGTTTTACAGTTGTCCTATATTTTGGAGTTGTAGTGACTGTCATCTAATTTAAATAAGTTTCATCTCTATCTATAGCAGGATCAGAGCTGAGGTGGGATTCGGATAAGGTCATTCATATCACCTCTCTCTCTCAGGTTGTGGGTTCTATGATTCTTGTGCTGGATTGATTATGAGTATCAATAGAGATGAGGCTCTTAGAGCCAAAGAGTTAGCCGAGGGTTTGATGAAAAAGACAGATTTCACCGCTGCACGTAAGCTTGCATTGAAGGCTGAAAAAATGGATTCCAGCCTCGATAACATATCTCGTATGATAATGGTGTGTGATGTGCACTGTGCCGCAACACAGAACTTGTTCGGAACTGAGATGGATTGTTACGGTATACTTCAGGTTGACCAGAACGCTGATGATATTATCGTCAAGAAACAGTACAAGAGGCTTGCGCTTCTTCTCCACCCTGATAAAAATAAGTTCCCTGGTGCTGAGTCTGCTTTTAAATTGATTGGTGATGCCCAGAGGATACTTTTGGACACTGAGAAAAGGAAGCTTTATGACACTAAACGCAGAAGTTGGAGAAAGCCTGCACCAGCACCGCCATATAAATCCCAACAGATGCCTAATTATCAAACTCAGCCTATTTTTCGGGCTAGCGTTAATATGACGAATATATTCAATGATTTTAGACCTGATAATAGGCATCCCTATCAGAAAGCTCAAGCCCAACCACCTGCTTTCACTCACGCTACAACCTTTTGGACATCTTGTGCCTTCTGCCGGGCAAGGTTCGAATATTCTCGGGAACATGTCAACAGGGATATCACATGTCCGGATTGTCGTAAAAGGTTCACTGCTTTTGAAGAAACTTTGCAGAGTGCACCACCGGCGAAAGGCTCATGTCAGGCTACTTATTCCTTCCCACAACAGAACAAATTTCCAGACAAAAAGTCCCGCAGTGAACCACACAAGCATCCAGAACATCCTCCCACTGTTTCATCTACAAAGGCGAGTTTCCCTATGCCGGGTTCTAGTGCAAAAAACAATGGGAAGAGGAAGAGAAAGAATATAATTGAATGTAGTGAAAGCTCTGATAGTGAAGGTAGCAGTGAGTCAGAAGATGTTGTGATCAATGAAACAATGGCAGCACAAGATTTGGAGTCCAATGGAGGAGAGAAGCCTCGGAGGTCAGTCCGTAGCAAGCAGAAGGTTTCCTATAACGAGAACTTGAGCGATGATGATGTAGACTTAGTTCCTGATAAGGAAGAAGAGCAAGAAGAGCCAGAAGAGCAAGAAGAGGAAAAACAGACGCATGAAGAGCATAGCTCAGCTGAGAGAATAAACACGAAAGAGAAGATAAAAGCAGACCAGGTGGAAACCCCTGCTGGTGCGAGTGATTCAGAGGAAGATTTAAGTTCAGGGAGTGCAGCTAAACCAAATTTGATAAACTATGATGATCCTGATTTCAGTGACTTTGATAAGTTGAGGGAAGAAAACTGCTTTCAAGCTGGCCAGATCTGGGCTGTTTATGATGAAGAAGAGGGAATGCCTAGATTTTATGCTCTCATAAGAAAAGTAACAACTCCTTTCATGCTCAGGTACGTATGGTTAGAGGTAGACCAAGATAATGAGAATGCAAGACCAAAATTGCCTGTCTCTGTTGGTAAGTTTGAAGTTGGGAATATAGAGCAGACGAATGAGTGTTCCATTTTCTCTCATTTGGTCGGCAACACAAAAAAAATCAGGGGTCGCAAGTTTACGGTATTTCCAAAGAAAGGAGAAATCTGGGCCCTTTTCAAGAACTGGGACAACAACTGGTCGGCTGACTCAGTTTCTCCTCTTAAGTACGAGTATGAATTTGCTGAGATCCTGTCTGATCATACAGAGGGAGCCACGGTATCAGTTGGGTTCTTGTCTAAAGTGAAAGGCTTTAACTGTGTTTTCTGTCCAGTACCAAAGGATGAATCAAATACTTGTGAAATTCCACCTCATGAGTTCTGTCGGTTCTCACATAGTATTCCGTCATTCAGATTAAAAGGAACAGAAGGATTAGGCGTAACTGAGGGTTGGTATGAGCTTGATCCAGCTGCTTTACCAGTCTCTGTCACTCAAAATCGATCAGGAGAAGAAGCAGCTCAAGATCAAGACCATCAATCTCCACCTTCAGGATCTGCCTCTTGATATTTTCTCAAGGAGAGGCTCTGTTGTGTCCATGACTTTTAAGAATCACGATTCTTGGAGCCTGTTTTATTTTGTTCAGGCGTACAGGTTTTACTGACAAGGGAAACCAAAGCTCCTCAGAGGCATCAATAAGCTTGATCCCTCTTTGTTGTCTTGTGACATGATCGAGTCATGATTCTTGTAGGCGATTGTTATTTTGTTTTTTTGTTGTCTTTGTTCGGTTCGCTCGGACTCAAAACATTACCAGCGTTTGTCTCCATTACTCCATTGTTGCTAGATTAAGAAACTGTTGAATCAAGTCATAGTGAAAACCTTTTTTGGCCATAGTGTAGTTGTACTATATCAACCTTTTCTGGCCATAGTATAATATAGTACAATTCACTTGAAAAATAGCATCAGTATAAATTTCTGTTGTAAGCTCAGGTCGCCAACGCAAACAACGGAAGCTACGCTTGGTGTTTTGTTGTCGCATACAATTAATACATAAAAATGGGAATATTCTAGTATATTTGTTGGTCTATTTACAACAAAAGGGCGTTTGGTCTAGTGGTATGATTCTCGCTTTGGGTGCGAGAGGTCCCGAGTTCGATTCTCGGAACGCCCCTTTTTTACTTTATTAAGGTGTTGCAGTCTTGTAGAGTCTGGGGATACATAAAAAATAGAACGAACACCAACCGTTTATAACGGCAAGAAGTTGAATCCATACAAAGCAACGGCAAGGCGTTGTAAAACGTTTGCATTCCAGAAAAGATGAAAAAACACATCACATACATTACTCTTTTTACCTGATACACAATGTTTTCTCTTTCACAAATCATCATCGTGCCCGGGAAAAACACAAAGGGTGGCACAAAAAGAAACTTCGGTAACATGTTCGAAGAAGAGTGTGTACATATTTACATTTTACAGGTTACTGGTGGATCAGATGAATCTCCTCACCAACAACTTCTTCTTCCATAATCTCGGAAAAGAGATTTCATAGTTCATACTGGGCTTGAGTTTTCTGCAATGCGTACACGCCAAGCGAAATAATGAAGATACAACGAGTTTAGGCACACAGCTATCCCAAAACCAAGAATCCCTGCAAAAAGTATAGAATAGATCGCAGATAGCCTAACCTGAAACAAAGAGATTGGGAAAATGTATTGATCTTCATGTATCAATAATGAAATGCGGAAAGCCAATAAGTGAGAGTATTGCTTACTGTAGCATATAATATATGAACCAACATGCCCACAAGCGCAAACTCAAGTGCTGCGTATGTCCATATGTATTCTCTGATAGCTGCAGAGTCAGGTTATAAAAAGAAACGTATTAAAAAATTTGCTGGCAAACAAAGGAAAGAGAGAGACTTAAGAGTTACTGAGGCAGTGATTCTGTGTACCGAGGACAATGGCAAAAACAGATGCTAAGAGGCCTAACATAAGTGAAAATGGTGCCGCGATGTAGATAGCTTGCTTGTTCAAGTCACGAATCTACCAAGAAAATCAAATATTCTTGTCAATGCCTTTTACAACAAAATCAACCAAAAAAACAGAATATGTTTCCGTGGCTACCAGTAATTGCTCGAGGAAGAAGAAGTAGCAGACTGTGCTGATTAGTACTAGCACCACAAACTCTTGCCAAGCGCTGTACCAAGCCATTCAGTGATCAGTTGTGGTACATTTCCAAGAATGGTGAAAGCAAGAAGAATCTTGAAGTTACCTAGCCGTTTGTGATTGCATATTCTGTTGACTGCGATCCCGCCTGTTGGTTGGTTGATTAGTTGTGGGCACCCGAACCAATGTAACTGGTAAGTTCTTGACTTCTTGCCTACAGACGTCACAGGTTCTTGTTCCCTTTGTACTAAACCACTTAATGGCACACGCTTCATGAACAAGTCTGAGATCACCTTTGCAGCTGCACTCCATTTTCAAAGTATTACCTTCTTCGCACACGTCCAGACAGATCCTGCACACTGCTTCTTCTTCCGGAATTTCTTCATCAGTTTCTTCAGGAGGAACAGGAGATATATGATCTGCTAAACATGGGGGAACCAGCAAACACAACATAGAAACGAAACAGAGATCTTATTCAGTATGCTATGACTACACGAAAAAAGATTAAGTTTCTTTCTAATTCTCAAAAAAAAAAAAATCGCCGGACCAACCATATGATTATGCAAATTATGAGTAACCGTGTATATTCCTTAACTCCCTACACTAAAAAGACACTGCATATGAACCAATCTAACCCTTGTATCATCATCCATACCTCAAGTCTGTATCTTTTGATTTAATGAAAATTCAAATGCAACCGAGAAAAAAGGCTCCATGTTTATGGGAGAAATAGCATTGAGTGCTTCAGTAACTGCCTAAACTCAACTTTGAAATGATAACTTAGGAAAAGATTTGATATTGGCACCAGTTAGAAACATGTACCTGGACTTGTTTCACTGGCAACACGGGCTTTGTGGTTGTCGAAAGAGATGGATCGCACAATCACTTTGTTTCTTCCGGGCATAGACAAAGACCTTGGAACTGCTGGACGAACATAATCTTTCTGCAACAAAACTCAATATTTAGTACTAATTGTTCCAGCTACATCAGAAAGGAGATTTATTTAGTAAACCTAACTTATTTATGCATTACAATTGACTTAATAGAGAGGACTATAATGTACGATAGCAATAACTCACATTAGGTGGTTCACCAGGCATCCCAGCTGAAACTTGTGTAGATACAACAGGAGACAATTTTGCGGCATGTCTACTAGGAAGAGACAAGCATCTTTTCCAATAAGGCGACGTTGTTGAAGTGGGAGTTATGGGCTTCTTTGCAGTTTCCATGAGACCAGGAGATAGTAGGGAGCTTCTCTCGCTTTCAGTTTGGGAAAAAACTTTCTTTTTCAAGCTTAAATTCCGGAAGATTCCTCTTGGTGAGGATGTAGTACCACTTTTGAATGAACTTGTGGACTTCAGTGAACTCTTTGGGTTACGGCCGTTACCGAATGGAATTGGTCTTGGCGGTATTTGTATAGAAAGATCCAAATGGGTTCCGCTAGATTGTGAGCTGGGCACATCTTCATCAGAATTTTCTTTAACCTGATGATCACCCTGTAAGCATTTCATGCCCACATGTCAGAGATCAGGTTGTAGGAAGAGAAGAAATACCCAAAATGATAATTGCAAGATCTAAAGAATGGATTTGTACTTGTCATTTCACCGTCTTGCCAAAGAAAAGCTGAAAACTTACTTGTTATGTATAAAAAAAAAATCCCCAAGTGGCTCAAGTTTGTTCTCTTAATAATAAAGACACAAAATTAAATCAAAAGCAGAATCTATACCTACCAAGTGATTCATGTTGATCAAATGTAGATACCACAAGGAAGGAAGAGAAATAAACAGAAAAAGCCAAACACATGTATGAATATAATAAACCCTGGACTCCTATACACAGGTGGAATAATCAAACCATAGCAATCACACACAAGAAAAACCCAGATACGTTTTTGAAGCGATTCATCAGAAACTCATGTGAGATATAAAGAAAGCTATCAGATTTACCTTTGTAATCTTATTATTATCTAAAAAACCCAGAAAGAATAAAGCAGATAAGGGAGAGAAAGGTCAGATTTTAGGAATATAAGTTTTTTTTACCTGAGAAGAAGGATGAAGAGAAGAAGAGGAAGAAGAATCACCAACGATAATAGGAATTTCGGGTTGTTGAGCTGCCGAATCTTGCATCATCCTCCTCGTCGAACCAAATAAATTAACCGATTAATATGTAAATATTTATCAAATACACGAAATCAAAATCAAATCCGCTCGACAAATATTCTGAGAGACTGTGTGTGTGTGTGAGAGAGAAAAAGAGGAGCAATCTGTATTAAAACATATAATATGACTAAAATAATAAATAATACTAATAATATGATGAAATAATTGTGGGTTTATTAAATAAAGTTTTACTACTGACATAAATATAAATATAAATATTACGTTTATATTACTGTTTCTTTTTGTTTTTACGCTCTTTTTTTTTTTTTGTCTTCATTTATTACTTTTATTCTTTAATTTTTTCTATAATCGTTTCTTTTAGGTTTTTTTTGTCAAATCTCCATAATCGTATTTTTAAGATATTATTATATAAAACGAATCATATTTTTATCGTGTTGATTTTTTGACGATGAAATTGAAAGTTCTATGTTACGAGTCTTCTTCGATCGACACTCTCATGTTTCTTGTCCCAATTGCCGTCACTTTCTTGGGAATATATATAAATATAATCATTCACTTCTTAGTTCTTAATCTTACGCATTGGATTTGAGAACTAGTGTATGATTATTTTGGTAATTTCTTCGGATTTTACAAGTCTTACCATAAATATATATGAGATTTGAAAAGGAAAAGGCTCCTTTCTAAAATACTCCCTTGAAAGTAGTAAGATGATAAAAGCTACTTTTTAAACGATAAAAGGAAAAAATAATTAGGCTGATAAACTTTATAAGCTGCTTTATGTACTAATCCACAAATACACGATACGATCTTCAGATAATGGTGTTTTTAATTAATAATTTAATACACTTCACCAGAATTTTCCTCTTATCTCCTACGTAATATACTAATATATATATATATACCACGGACTATGATTATATAATATGCACCATTCTTGCTAAGAAACTCATAATGCGGTTTGGTGGGTTTTTGTTTAATAAAGTTCATGCTATGCTATGTTAATTTAGTGGTCTGTATATCTATATTGTTCTTGTGTTCCATTCATGTTCAAAACATATGTCATATAAAGCATATGAAACATTATTTTTCCACAAAATAGCAAAACCTTATAATATATCATAAACAAAATTATGTATTTCGCTTAAATCGAATTTATAATTCGAGTACATATTAAACCATTTTAATATGAAAAAAATTAGAAATCACCATCATAATTTATTAAAATATATATTCATATTTTATACCAAAATTTAACAGTCGTTACTTTGTTTTGCAGTACAAAAGTTTAATAGCCGTTTACTTTGCAGCGCGTAACTTCGTTTACAAAATAAAAACAATATAACGTTATGCATATCTTCCGGAGCAGTTTGTCATCATAATTATCTTAGCCACAAAAGTGCTTTGCAAAATTTCATAATTTATGTTGGATATCTGTCGTTGAATGTCATATTTTACCGTGTATGGTAACACAATAAACAAAAAAAAACAACAAATAGTTGAATATTTCTGGACGTGGATCATCGCACACATATTGTACATGGAATTAGCTAGGTTAGGTCCTATACTTTTTTGACTTCAGTTTGTTAAACAAATACGATTAGACATTTAAACTCTAGTATTGTCACCAAAGCAAGAGAAAAAGGTAATTTGTGACTTTATTTACATCGTCAGACATTTAGTGTTTAGTCCAACAACAATATTGAGCGGGTTGAATTAACTTTTGTTAGTATATATGGTCGAACTCGTGAGAGAGAACATCATGTCCTACTTGTGTCACCATCAATATTTCCAAAAACATCATTATATAACTACCGACCCAAAGAGAAGTGTGTGTTCATTGAATCTTGTTGGAACGGAAGAAAAATTCGATTTGACATCCAAAATTTGGCTTACTCATCTCTCTCAACTCAAAGTCATGCCTTAACATAAATCGATACGGTGGGTCGATTAGGAACAAGGCCAGTAATTGCGTTTAGGCTTATTATATCTAGATAAGTAGAGCCACTTTTTAGCTTTTCCTTGAATATGCCAAACAATTGAGACGGTTAAGTTATTATATTAGGCTTCTTTATAATGTTTGCAGGCAAAAAGAAAGAAATATACAAAGATCTCCAATCATTAGGCTTTTGTTTGGTTGTTTTTTAGGCAGACATAAAGAGTGATTGGATTCTGTATACACAGGAAGCTGCTAAAGGTTATATAGCTCGTCGGTTAGGAAACTTGTAGGATCTAATTTATATCGTGCTCTCGTTGAAATGAGAAACTTGTCGTTGTAACGTTCCGTTTAGAACAACACAAAAGTGAAAAAAGGAAACTATACAAAAGACGAAAAGATTTCTTGATTAAGGAAACAACATAGATGAGTAAAAAAAAAAAAAAAAAAAAAGCTTGCGCCCAATAGCAAGAAAAGGATCTTCAGTCCATAAAAGCCCATGGAAAGGACTTCCCCATTGGCCTGGTCACTTTCTTCTAACGAATAGTAGTTTTTAGTTTAAAGTTTAAACTTTTAAGTTTCTAATAACTATCCTTTATGAACACATGAGTGATTCGGGTAAACAGTCACACACATTACATTCATTCGGAAATCAAATTGAATCAAGGTCAGTGGTCACTAAGATTGATCAAAATAATATCATGTTTTAATTATGTTTTAGAGAATCCAACAAATAGTTTATAAATAGAGAAATTATTAGATTGATGAAAGTGTAACTTGCATATTGATTGTAACAAAGGTTTGAAACAGGCAGCATTCATTAAGTCTCATCACTTCATTTTCTGCTCAGTAAAGAGGACATGGCGATTAACTCGAGGATCGTACTTACGGAACTCGAGCTTCTCAAGAAGTCCCTTGGTACTCTTCCTCTTGACGTAGAAGAATCCAGTCCCAGCTGCTGATACTAGACGGATGAACATGAACGTCTTCTTCCTCTTGTCACCCATTTCTTCTTTATCACTTCAAAAAACACACACAACAACTACGAGAATGTCGTTGTTTCATTACAGACTTATTTTTGCATTTGGACAAACTCGTATGAAACAGAGGGAACAAAACGTATAGAGTTATCATTTTTTAGCTATAATCTTTGAAAATGCTCTCAACAATACTTAGAAACGAATATGTTCGCATCAATCATATGGGAAAATGTTGAAATCTGTGAAGCTAGAGATTAGAAAACTAAGGGGACAAACACAGATCTAACACCTAAACTTTAGATATCTCAGCTCGAATTCAAATTACAACATGACGAACACGACACAAATTAGAGGAGCCCTTCCCGAAGAGATGAAATTAGATGAAAAACAAAATTAAAATCGAAGAAGCTAGAATGATTACCGTGTACCTGTAAAAATCGTAATCGACGGAGTCCGCAATTGATCTCGCCGACGAAGATGACGGGGGTGATAAACCCTAGAACGAGAGATTGGGTTTAAAATCACACCAAATAGGCTTTTAAATTAAGCCCAATAACGGCCCATCAAAGCGAGAGCCAATCTGCTTTTGTTTTTCTTCTTCAGGCGCTATAATTTTGTTCTCTCTGAGTGGAGAAGAAAGAAGACCTCGAGTCATCATCCTGCAGAACAGGTGAGGTAATGTTTTGTTGTCAATCGAATTTTCATTTGGAATTCGAAGTTTTGAATCTCCAGTTTACTTATATATGGATTCAGGTGGTTGTTAACTTTTCAGATTCTCGATCGGATTTTGGATTATATATATAATAAGAAGATTTAGGGATTTGGAAAAAATGGAGGCGAATGCGGCGGTGGACGGGACGGGGAATCCGATCCCGACGTCGGCGGTTTTAACAGCATCGGCGAAGCATATAGGGATGAGGTGTATGCAGGAAAACATGGCCTTCTTGAAATGCAAGAAGAATGATCCTAACCCAGAGAAATGCCTCGACAAGGGCCGTGACGTCACTCGCTGTGTTCTTGGCCTGTACGTCTTCTGCATCTTTTTCTCGTTTCAATTTCTTAAATTTTGGTTGATCTTAGGAGTATTTGGGCTCCTTCTGTTTGATGTTGATTGGAGAATGCCACATTGTAGATTTAGGGATTCTGATCATATAGTTTGAGAAATGACTAGTCTTTAGACTTCGTTTTCATCTTCTGGGTTACAGTGTTTTTTTAGAGGCATTATTTTCGCAGTAAGATTTCGAATTGGAACCACCATAAGTTCATCGAGTTATGAACATTTTTCTAGTATTTGGCAAGTCTTTATACATTGTGAATCCCTTTTAAACTAGCCATTTGCTTTACATCTAGGAAGCTGTTGTTTAACTCTTGCGTAGTTAAGTGATATCTTGAGAATTCACTTACTTTGTTCAAACCATATGACGATGATGCATCGTCCATAGTAATTTGCAATTGTAGACTAGTTTGTTCTTTAAAACTGGTAAAATGATAATTTTGCAGGCTGAAGGATCTTCACCAGAGATGCCCCAAGGAGATGGATGCTTACGTGGGATGCATGTATTATTACACCAACGAGTTTGATTTGTGTCGGAAAGAGCAAGAAGCCTTCGAGAAAGCGTGTCCGTTGAAATGAGAAGTCAAGTTTATTGTCTCTGACTATGCAATTGTTCAGTTTCAGTCTTGAGCTTTACTCTAATCACGCTCTTCCATCGCTGCCTCTTTTCCTTTTTCTCGTTATGGAAGACCATTAAATCATGTCATGTTTCTTAATTATCTTAAAACATGACCAAAGTTGAGTAGAGCAGTTGACTCTCAAGTAGACAGTTTGGTTAGTATGCAAAATGTAAACAAAGTTTTCGATAAATTTATACATATACTATAAATCCAATGAATGTAAGAGCGATAATATGGACTGAGCTCTTTTTTTTGAGGCCAAGTCAATTTTAAAAGTTAAAACAGTCAGGTTTTTTTTTTTTGGGAAGAAAATTAAACTATTCTACTTGCCATAAGTGAAATCAAGTTTTAGTTTGTACAAAAAACACAGTATTCCAAGAACGAGATCAGACTGTCTCATGCAATCGGTTTGGACAACGTCTTCGTCGGAAGGATATGTTATGTCTAATGCATACGTCTTAGAATGCATCAATAAATCTCTTGTTGGTTTGATGGTTTCTTATGAGCGGTCACAAGGGTCCGTTTGCTGGAAGGTTTTACGAAGTGACCCCTTGACTCGGCTCTGATAGATGCTTAGTTGCTTATGCTACGATGCGTACAAATAATCGGAACTAGCCGCATATATATATCTTTCTCGAGACCAGTGATTTTGCAGCCGCCTTGCTTTAGAACAATATATGCGAAAAACCACATCCAACATAGGAAAAATATGTACATAAGAACTCAAGTTATATCTAACCTAGGAGCAGAATACACACTAATTGGCATGAATATCGTACCTTTTGAATTTGGACTTGGCCTACAAAAGATGGCATGAGGTTTCCTTTGCGTAAACTTCCTCTCTGTCTTAGCTTGATACTCCACAACATCTCCACCCGGAACCTCTCTAGCCATGAAAGTGATGTATGACTTGAATCCGCCCACTTTGGTCAGATTGGCCCTCACTATATATTCACATGTCACAGTGGATCCCTACGCAACCAAAAATAAGTTGTCGATCAAAATGATGTATTGGCAACTTGTATGTATCACATAAAGTCAAAGATAATAATTAAACCAACCTTGATATTGTTGTATCTTTCCAGAGCCAAATCTACCATGTTTTGCATGTACTCACGGCCTGTAATCTCCCAGAGTAGCATTCTCCATCCACGTTGAAACCCTAATCATAATTTTTTTGAAACTTTAACATTAAAAGCAACACATTTCAACATCTAAATTAACGAATTTCTAGCTAGTTGTTACACTTGGCCTGATTAAGAGTCACCACGGATCTGATTTAAAAGTTATTCTATCATTCACATTGAGTGGTTTGATTCATGAAACCAGTCAAAGAGATCTCGATAAAAACTAATGTTAAGTAGCATATACAAATAAAAATACCTTGCTTTTGTACATCTGAGGTCGATAGAGGCGCATTTTTTGAACTTCATCATCAGAAGGAATATTCACCCTTGGGAGTTTGTATTCGGGTTGATCGTCAAAACTATCAACATCCCATTCTTGGCCACTTCCACGGCTGGACGCGTCACTATCCTCCTCATCACTTGAAGAATCCGTGTAGACAAAATCATCATCCGTGGGATCTTCACAAACCAGGAAAAATATTATGACAACAAATATTTAGAGAAAGAAAGACATGAGCGAGTCTGATGCAAGTCTAGCACACGAAAATTTCCGTGTGGTTTCTAAATTATACATACAACCTAAACACAAACTTTACATAAGCATAAGAGGACAAGATGCCTTAAGGCTAACATCACATCACATGACACCAAGATCTAGAGATAACGCTAGAGCTTTAGAGAAAATGGAGTACCTTTGGGTTTTGGAGCTGGCCTGCAAAATATGACATGAGGTTTCCTTTGCCATACCCTCTTCTCAGTCTTGGCTTGATACTCCACGAGATCTCCATCCGGAAACTCTCTAGCCATGAAAGTAATGTAAGATTTGACTCCGGACGCCAGGGAAACTATAGCCCTCACAATATATTCACGAGTCACAGTAGATCCCAACCAGAAAAGAATACGCTTATGGGATCAGTTTTAGGCAAATATTATGAATCAAATAAAGTCTAAAGAAGATGAGAGGTACTAATAAACTAACTAACCTTGATTCTGTTGTATCTTTCTAGAGCCAGATCCACCATGTTCTGCATGAACGGCCGGCCTGTAAGCCCAGTGTTCCAAAATGGTTTATCAAGATCAATGGGAACGAGTGGTCGGTACATCACACTCCCAGGGTAGTTTTCTCGATCCACATGGAAACCCTGGTGAGGAAGACAACATTGTTACAAGTTTTTTTATCCAAATATCAAACTAAAACAAATCAGTCCTTAGAGACTGAAATTGATAACGAGACATTATAAAAAAAAGTTAAAGCAGGAAGAGTAAAGACCTTGCTACGGTACATCTGAGATCTATATAGATGCATCTTTTGACCTATCTCATCGTTGGGATCCAGATTCCGTTTGGGTCTGTAATCGAATCCATCGTCGAAACTATCAACGTCCCATTCTTGGCCCTCTTCGCGGCTAGACACGTCGCTTGCCTCCCCATCACCTTCTTCTTCCATCAAGTCATCATCATCATATTCCAAATCACCAGAAGAATCCAACGGGGACTGCGTGGAGCCACCATCATCCTCCGCCTTGCGCTTCCTTAAACCGCTAGATTGAATCTCCGCAGAGAGCTCCATCTGATTCGCCTTCCGGTTTTCTGATTGAGGATCCAAGTTTCAGTAAACCTAGACCGATGATGATGATGAAGAACAGGAACATACAAGAACAAACTTATACTATTAACATAAAAAGTGCTCTACAAATTTCCCATGTGCAAATTCCCATAAACATATACATATGTACTATTAACTATATTATAATTTCCATTAAAACAAGATACTAGTATATAAATTTTTGGATGAGTTTTTAGTTTTTATTAAATAAAGTCAGAATCAGGGTTTATGGTTTATGGTATAGGTTTGGTAGACACTTGTCTACTCTATCTAACGTGTGCTTTCAGGCTTGCCATCATCCCCCTTGGTTCAGTCAAATCAGACCCATAACATCGCTTTCCTCCTCTTCACCGGCGGCCATACCTTGCTCCGGTACACACTGACACTGTATGAGGTCTGTATAGAGTATATTATCTATATTAACGAAGTCTCAGTCCTTAAACTTAGCCTAATTAATTAAGAGTACTCAACATAGATCTGAATTCATAGTTGTTTTGCACTATTCATGATTAATTCATGTGATCACTAATAAATTAAAAAAGAATGTGAATTGAAGTAGAAAAATATATAACAAAATACCTTGCTCCGGTACACACTGACACTGTATGAGGTCTGTATAGAGTATAGACGCAGTTTTTCAATTTCCTCTTCGGTGGGAGGCAGCATATCTGGGGGCTTGTACTCGGACTCGTCATCCAAACTATCCCGGCTGGACCCGTCACTAAACTCACAACCACTGGAAGAATCAGTTTAGTCGTCGTCCATGAGCTCCCTGTATAACTGGAGAAAACTACTAAAATAATGTTAACAAGAAGACATCATTATCTCTTTCGAAAATAATCCATCTACAAACGAGTAAGGTAGAATCTGAAAAAAAATAAAAAAAAATGTACCGTGTTTTATATATTTCAATTTAACCAGACGAATAAGAAACCATTCTACTATATATATATTAAAAAAAAAACAGAATCCAGTGATAATACATTTAACAGCAACAACAGGTTCAGGAACAAGAAAGAGAAACAATTGCATTAAGCTCGATCACTTAATGATACAGAGAAAAAAAAAAGAATTTATCAGTAAACGCTTTTAACAAGCTTTACAGCTACGTCTGCAATTCCCAGGGAGCTCTGGGGTTCCCACCATATACTCTGGGTTCTTTGCGCATTCCCCAAGCACTGCCCACCTCTCACAGCTCTCGTTTACGTCCGTACAGCTCCCGTCATGACTCAATATCTTGTCGAATGAGTCCACGTGGATCCACTTTGTTGCCGACCATTTCTCCCCTTCAATCACTGGACAACCTCCGTGAAGGCTCAAGGGATCTGGGATTGCGTCTTGGTGAAGGTTGAAGAACAACAGAGCATTCCCTTTCTTTGGTTTCACTAAAACAACAGTGTTACAGAGAAATCATTCAAAACATGTTCATAAAAACATATTCTCAGAGATTTCATCAGGAAAAAAAAAAAAACAACTTATGATTCTCTTTTACAACTAACCAGCGATTCCTTTCTTTGCACAATCAGAAAGATCGTCTTTGTTCTCAGAAAGGGAACGGCGAGAAGATTCCTGCACAAATAAATATTGAAATAAAGGGCCTATTACTTTTCCCATGTAGATATAGAACCAATATAGAGTAGCCATTGTGGGAAAATGTAAGCTGAAACTGATGGTTTTATCTGCAAACCACAAACCTGTGCATCGGGAAAAACAGTTTCTCCACCCTTTGTGACATTGGAAAGATACATGAGAACCGTTGCTATGCGGTGTCCACCACGGGCGATATTGACTTTGTCGTGAAAGTAATCAAAGTGAGCATCATATTTCTGACCGTGCTCATATCTCAATACTTGAAGGTCTTCCCCATTCTCTGTGACCACAAAAGTGAACAACTTAGAAACAATAAATATCTTGTACTGAAAAAACCTTTCAAGAAACTCAAGAAGAGTTAAGGTCCCATGTCACTTGAAACAGAGAGATCACTAGTTTAAACCATTCAGCTTGTTTAAGTTACCTTTTGGGAGGAATGTCCATGTTGAAAGCTTGTCCTCAATACCGGAAACGATAGGATCCTGTGATTCAAAAAAGAAGATTCACATGAAGGTTGTAACCATTACAATGATATGACTCATCTGTTCCTGTCAATAACTAAGTACCATTCATCATCCACGATTGATCATCATATATATACAGAAGAAATTTTATGTCTAGCTATCCCTTGTAACCCTTTTAGTAGTACTAAACAGCAATCAAAAATCAATACAAATCTTTGGTTCTAAGTTTCTAGTTCTATCAGATATTGAGGGATTTGACTGAATTGATCCGTTAGCAATAGAATCAACATGAGAGTTGTTGAAGTCGAGTTTCATAAACTAGAACAAGATCAACGCCAACCTATAAGAAATTCAACGAGATCTGTTGTGACCAATTGATTGAGCAAAGTAAGAGATGGTTGCGAAACAAAATGATAAAAATCGCACCTTTCCTTTGGAGATAAACGTGCCGGAGCTGGTACGAACGTCACTGACTTGACTCTCGCCATTATCGTTATCAGCAACCGCAGATCTCTGTAGATTCTCTTTCGCCTTTCCCCCGAAAAAAAAAAACAAAATTAGATGAGAAAATTAGCACATTTAAGCGAAAAGGTTTCCAAATTGAGCTCAGACCCATATAAAAATGTCGAAAAGTCTCGCACTCACAAGAGAGATTAGATGATCGCATTCCAAGTCCGTCAAAAAGCCTTCATACACAAATGCCCTGAAGAAACAACCACCAATGTTGTTTACAATTCAACAGTTTGAAGTTCAAAGTTCCCAAATTTGCTTGAGGGTTTTGCTTCCTGTCTCACTAATAGACAAGAGAACAAGTAAAAAAAAATCAAACCTGGGCTTCGAAGAAACTTGTTTGACTTTCGAAGGGTTGATGATAGAACTTGGAGAACTAATCAGACAAGTGGAAGATTGAACCAAAACGAGGAATATAGCCACGAATAACAACAATCCAAGGCGAGACATTGACATTTTAGCAATCGCTTGGATCCAAGATGATCGAGATCGCAAACTAGAGAAATTATTAATCTTTTTTCTCCCAGGAAAATAAAAGAGGGAAAAAATGTCAACGGTCATGAAAAGTTGATGTTCTACCTAAAGATGGCTAAGGAGATGGCGACAACATGCGCACGTTCTTCGAATCATAACAATTATTTTAATTCCTTGATATAGCCCATAAAAGCCCAGATTTATATAAGAAGGCCCAATATAAAATTCGAATAAGAAAACGACGTCGTTGGTTCAAAACGTAAATTAATCCTCGCCGGACGGGATAGGCGTGAATGCTGAACAGAAAATTCGATTTTTTCTCCTCCGGTTTCGATTTTAGCCGGCGACGTTATTGAACGAAGGGAGAAGGAGAACCAGAAGAGAAGCAGCGACAAGAATCTAGGAAAGTAAAATTTACAGAGAATGGCGTTTAGGCCTTTCGGGAAGGACGTAGGGCCGTCGATGAGCTCAAAGCCATCGCCGTTTACGTCGTTCGGTGCTTCTGCTCCCACTCATCCCACTAGGTGTGCTTCTAGATTTCTCTATGGATGTATCTATATGCTACTACAATCGGACTTTTATTCCAGTTTTTGAGGTTTTTGAGATTGGTGTCACGTTATGGATCTATTTGCTCTTGATTTTTCGAGCTCTCAAATTTAAATTTGTGCTATCGTTGTATTGAAGTCTTTAGGAATTAGGATCAGGCGAATGTGACAAATGTCTTGAATTTTTTTTTGAAATTGTGTCCTGTATCGCTTAGGCATCCGGGTTTTGAAGGTCAGTTGCTTTATTTCCGACTGTAATTTGAGAGGTTTTCTTGACCTTCCTTAGGAGGAGGAGGAGCTGCGAGTTACTTTATTTTGCCTTTCGTTTCTCATTTCTTACTCTTTTTTTTGTTCTTAAATCCTAACTCTGCGAATTGGGGTTTTGCTTGTAGTGATTCTTCAATTCAACCTCCGGCGTCTCAAAACCATTCAGCCTTTGCAGGACAATCTTTTGGACCAGGTGGAATTCAAAGGTTAGATAGACCAAACTCTACAGCTTCGATTTCTTTCTATGCGACAATATTTAGTTGTTTGTGAGCCTCCTTAGGGCAAGCTGTTGTGCTACATCTTGTAGACTTTTTTCTCAAGTTTGCTGATAATTCTATACATTTTAATCTGCGTATCGGAACTTTTGCTTGTAGTGGTCCTCGAGCAGTGCCTCCTTCGGCTTCTCAAAACCCTCCACCCTCTATAGGGCAACCTTACCGACCAGGTGGGGTTCAAAGGTTAGACATTCTTAATTGTATGGCTTCATTTTATCCCTCTGCTCTCTCAGTTCTATGTTACTGATGATGATTTTAGGTGGGTTACTTATTTAATTAAATTTTCCTTCTACTCTCGGGTTTTCTTCTTCTTTTAGTTTTTTTACCTAAATTATTATGGTTTTGGCTTGCAGTGGTCCTCCAATTAATCGAACACCACCTCCGTTGGCTTTTCAAAATCCCTCACCTTTCTCAGGACAACCTTACCAACCTGGTGGAATTCACAGGTTAGATGACTTGCTATTATGGCTCTCTTCTTTTATTTTCATTCCTTATATGCGTGTAAAGGATCTTGGGGAAAGGTCCGATCCGGAACAGCTGGTGATTGGATAAACCATTTTTTTTTCTTTGGCTTTGATTTTTTTTTTTTGTGTGTAAAGTTTTACTTGAACCTCTAAAATCTTGCCCAAAATTTTCAGCCGAGAAAATAATAAGAGCACTTTAATGCTATGTATTTTAGGAGCCCAGAACCTTTCAAGGGAAAAGCATGGGGTTCGGAAGCTTTTCCACGTCCAAGCCCCTCTGTGAGACCTGACCAGTTTCCTGGAGTTCAGAGGTAAAAGGCTACGAGAAATATTTTGACTTAGAAGAGTATAATATGTGGCAACTTGACAGTAGTGTTAATCACACATCTCAAATGCTTTAAGTTTTCTGCTATTGAAATTATAGCAGTAGAATCTTGCTTGATGAGTTAGCTGAATTTCACCTGCTGCATTTTTTTTCTTTTCTCAGGCCTACTTTAAGTCCTCAATCTGGGTACGATGGATCAAGGAATTTCTTGAAAGATCATGGTGAACATAGTCAAGCCACGTTTCCAGCTAGTACATCTCACATTCTTTCCAGAATTGGAACTGATGCTGTTGAGATTGGTCGATCACAAGATTCAAAAAGAAAAAGGTTGTTTATGTCATTTCCTCTAGATGAAGGCCACTTATGGCATTTTCTGAAAGAATTATTCTGTCTACTTGGCTTTCTTAATACTTGTCTGTTTGCCGGAGTTTGTACACCTTCTGTGTTCTGTATCATGTACCTCTCGCTTATAGACTTCAAAAGTTTGTTGTGTGGTCTAGGGTGCTAGGAAATGAGATGTATATGCATGGCTGTAGAGATTAGTGATATCATGGTTTTTGACGTAACTTATGTCAATCTATAATTCCTCATTTTTTTGTTGCAGTCGGTCCGATCTTCTTACTGATCAGAATTTGGGATCTTCTCGAAGAAATCAACCACCAGTATCAGGTTTTGAGAATGGTAACTTGGCAGATGATTTTCAGCCGCCATATAACCAACCTTGGATGTAAGCTTTTTATTGTCATTGTCATAAAGTTTTCACCCCTTCCTCTCTTCTGTTGTTGGTTTCAATTTTTTTATAAGGTCTTAAAATATTTTACATGTTGTGTTTTTTTTATGGATAGGAATTTGAAACCTGTTTCTTTTGCCTTTGTGCTGATTGTTACTCTATTGTCTCACTTACTTTTGAAACTTTTCTCTCATGTTTTTGTAGGCGCCCTCCGTCTTCTGTGGGAAATAATAATCTAGTGAGGTCAAGGGGCAGTCCCAATCGCTTGATTCATCAAGAACAAACCCCAAACTCTTCATTACCGTATGCACATGAAGCAGCTGAAATTCAGGAAGCTACAAGAAGAAAGTCTTCTGTTATAGCACCGTCTGATAATCCTCTGGGAGACGACTCCATATTTTCTCAACAGGATTCTCGAAGGTAGACAGCATGAAACTCATCTTACTTTGAAAAGCTTATTGTTTTTATCCACCCTCCTTCTGTCCTACGTCTACGTGTAAGTATGAAGGGTAGGAGAAATCACGGTTTAAGAGTTATAATCCTAAGAAACTTTATCGTGAGCAAATAAAGTTAATATGTTACATAAAGTTTTTCTTTGTTAAGCATGCTGTTTCTGTGATAGGTTTTCAACATCTCCTCCTACGTCAGGCACGAAGACATATATGCTTTCACGAAGTTCAGATTCTCAATTTCCTGGGCAGCCCTCTGTAAATAATTTCAATAACGCGGGTAAGACAAGCAGTTCACCTGCTACAAAAAGGACGAGATCTCCACCTTTATATCCAGTTGAAGAGGATATCCAGCGAAACTCTTTCCCTTCTCAAGATTGTACAGAAGGGTAAATTGTTAAACCGCACGGTAGTGACTCTTAATTTTAATTTGTGGTTCAGTTCTTCAAGTTTTCTGAACTGTGTGGATTTTTTACAGAGAAGAGCAGGCAAGGGCAAAGAGACTGGCTCGCTTCAAGGGTGAACTGGAGCCTATTGCAGACCGACCTGTTGATCCTCAACTTACTAAATTTGTAAATAAAACTATGAAACCTCTGGAAAACAGACAAACGTTCAGTTCACTGGAATCAAGTAGAGATACCGTGAAGGGAGATGCCTTGTCTGATTATGAAAGCTTGGAGCAACCCTCTCTTATCATTGGATTATGCCCTGACATGTGTCCTGGTAAGCATAAGCCTGACTGCCTGAGACAAGCTTATAAAACGATAACTGTGTGTTTATTCTTTGGTTCATATAATCTGATTGAAAAAGAATTGCGTTGCAAACAATATTTATTTTGCCCGTAAACATGTTTAGTTCTAGTACGTAATGTGATTGTAGAACAAAAATAATGATGGATTTTTTTTTTCATCTTCTTAGAGTCAGAACGGGGGGAGCGTGAAAGGAAGGGAGACTTGGACCATTATGAGCGTGTGGATGGAGATAGGAACCAGACGAGCAAATCCCTTGCTGTGAAGAAAGTAAGTAGTTTCTTAGATGGCAAATAGTCGACTACCCTTTCACTGTGATGACTACTTATATATCTGCCTTTGAATAGTATACCAGGACAGCGGAGCGAGAAGCAGTTTTGATACGACCAATGCCGATCCTGCAGAATACAATGGAATATTTGCTGAGTTTGCTAGATCGACCTTACAATGAAAACTTTCTTGGCATGTACAATTTCTTATGGGATAGGATGAGAGCTATTCGTATGGATCTCAGAATGCAACATATTTTCAACCGAGAAGCTATTACTTTACTGGAGCAAATGGTTTGTGTTTTTTTTTGTCTTTATATAAAGTTATTAAACAGGATGATAACTGAAATTCTATTTTGGATGTGTGTGTTCTTACTACGGATTTTCTTGGTACAGATAAGACTTCACATCATTGCAATGCATGAGCTATGTGAATATACGAAAGGAGAGGGCTTTTCAGAGGGGTTTGACGCCCACTTGAATATTGAGCAAATGAACAAGACGTCTGTTGAGTTGTTTCAAATGTATGATGATCACAGGAAGAAAGGAATAATTATTCCTACAGAGAAAGAGTTTCGTGGCTATTATGCTCTTCTCAAACTCGACAAGCATCCTGGCTATAAGGTAAGTCCTTCTGGGTAAAATTTGCGGTCAGAATTTTGTCTAAGTTCTTAACCCGACAATAAATTATTCTTGTTAGGTTGAACCTTCAGAGCTTTCTCTTGATCTTGCCAATATGACTCCAGAAATAAGGCAAACTTCAGAAGTTCTCTTTGCCCGCAGTGTTGCCAGGTTGTTCCTTGATTTTTTTTTGGTTGTTAGTTTGTTAACTTGATCTAAGTATTGATACCAGTGGCGGAATAACAGAGCTTGCAGAACTGGCAATTTCATCGCCTTCTTTCGCCTTGCTCGGAAAGCTAGCTATCTTCAAGCATGTTTAATGCATGCTCATTTTTCAAAGGTAAGTGCTTGTTTGTGGTTGTGGGTGTAAAAGCTATTGTCTTACCATGTTGATGTGTGATTAGGTCACTGAGATCTAAGCATTATTTTATTTCATCAGCTAAGAACTCAGGCACTTGCTTCTCTTCACTCGGGTCTTCAACTTAATCAGGGTCTCCCAGTTTCAGATACATCAAAGTGGATAGGGATGGAGGTATTACTTGGTGTATTCCTTTCTTGATCTATCACAGAGAAGTTGCTAGAGGTCTTACATTTTGCTTCTGTTGATGGACTTTAGGAAGAAGACATAGAAATCTTGTTGGAGTACCATGGCTTTTCAATAAAAGTGTTTGAAGAGCCATACATGGTAAAGGATGATCTGTTTCTCCATGTTGATAAGGATTATAAAACAAAATGCTCAAAACTTGTTCACATGAAGAAGTCAAGAACCATAGTGGAAGATGTTTCTGCTCCATCAATAGAAGATGTTTCTACTCCCTCTCCATTGCCCTCCTTGCTCACAGAAGCAACTAAAGCACATCAACCATCTATTACCCCCCATAAACAGGAAATGCCGCCTGCTCAAAGTCTTAAGAAACAAACCTCCATGCGTCTAGTTCGTAAAGAAATGACTGACTCCAAGACAACCCTCCTGCCAGAGGAGGACAAGCCAGCGGGTACATTTGTTATGGGGCCATCCGTTATAAATCCAGTGGAGCATCAACAGAAACAAAATGACGTGACGTCAGCTGCTGGGTTTCATTCTCCCATGAAGCTATATTCTCCTTTTGTTTCTACTGGATTTCCTCAAACTAAATCCTGGAATTTGGAGAAACAGCCTAGTGACCATAGTATTAGTATGTCTCCTGGGGAAGTTAAATTTCCAGTTGCAGGGGATTTACATCTGAATCTTATGCCTGGACCAGCTTTGCAACAAAGTCCGAAGTCGATACCAATGGAGATAGTGGCTGTAACTACCATTACAGAGTCTTCGACAAGTGTGGAAAACAAATATGCTTTGGAAGTGTCTGTACCTGAAGCTGCAATGATTAGTACCTTGGAAAAGAACTTCCATGATACTGACCCAGAAGATGAGGATGTGAATGGGGTCATTGTAAATCAGTATGATGAGGAAGTGGCGAAGGCAAAACTCAAGTTGATCATAAGGTTTGTCCGCTCCTCATGCTAATTGACAACTGAGTTGGGTTTTATATTTATCTTTTCTCTAATAATCTTTGCAGATTATGGAAGCGGTGGGCTTCACGACAAAATGAATTGCGGGAGTGTCGACAGTTAGCAGCAACTGCTGCACTAAATTCACTATCCCTGGGCACTCCTATCCGATTTAGCAAAACTGATGTAAGTTTCAATTTTCTTCCGCATAACGTGCTGATCATCAGCCTTTTTTCACGGAAGCAATGAAAGTCTTAAAAGGCATGTACTATCGAGGTTGGTAGTCTAATATCGGTTCTCTCTTCCTACACAGCAATCAAGGGCATGTGGTGAGTTTGACATTGATCAAGCCATGAGGAAAAGATTTGAAGAACATGAAAAATCATGGTCAAGGCTGAACATTTCAGATGTGATAGCTGATATACTGGTTGGAAGGAATCCAGAATCAAAATGCATATGCTGGAAGGTCATCTTATGTACTCAGACTAGATCAGTAAATACAGCATCTTCTGCAAGTCAGGTTACACATTCAGCAGCCAGTCGATGGTTATCATCGAAGCTTATGCCTCATGCAGAACATAGTCCGAACGATGATAATCTGCTGTTTTCAGCTCCTGGTGTGTCAGTATGGAACAAATGGGTTGCTAATAGGTCTGATTCAGATTTCACATGCTGTCTCTCAGTAGCTAGGGATGTGGAGGCTGATAATGATATATGTGACACACGTGGTGCAAGTGCAGTCCTTTTCCTTGCATCTGGAGGCCTCCCTTTGAATCTCCAGAGAGAACAGCTTAACCGCATTCTTGAATCAGTACCCAATGGTTCAGTTCTTCCCCTTCTCGTAGTAATCAGCTCATGCAATGGGGAACACATGGAGCCTGATTCTGGTATTGTCTTGGGATTAGGCCTCCATGATATTAACAAATCAAAGATAGCGAGCTTTTCCATCGTTTCTATTGCCAATAAGTCCCAAAAAGGACAGGAAGTTCATTTTTTCAACGATTCACGGCTAAGAGATGGGATTAAATGGCTGGCGAGCAATTCACCTCTGCAACCAAATCTTCATCATGTTAAACCCCGGGAACTGGTTCTGACCCATTTCAGTTTTTCCCTGGAGTTGCTTAAGCAGATGCCAGATCAGGAGGTTGGTCCTAACATCTGCATATCAGCCTTCAACGACGCATTGGAAACAACACGAAGAAACATCAATTCTGCTGCTGAAGCAAATCCCATCGGTTGGCCCTGCCCCGAGATAATGGTGCTCAAGGATAATAGAAAAGAACATTTAATGGTGAAGCGTTATCTTCCCAACCTGGACTGGAGCAGTGCAGAGAACATCGAACCACTCAATTCTGTGCTAGAGAATTGTAAGCTCCCATATTTTGAAGATGATTTGACATGGTTAACTGTAGGATGTGCTTCTGGTACTGAGATAGAGAACCATACGCAACGACTCGAGTATTGCTTAGTTGAGTTTTTGACACAGAGAAGCAATCTTATGGGAGTCTCATTAGCTACCAAAGAAACAGGAGTGATGCTAGAAAGAAACACTAGACTCGAACTCCATAACTCAAGCCGGTACCATGTCATCCCAAGATGGATTGGTATCTTCCAGAGGATCTTCAACTGGCGGATAATGGGTTTGTTTGATTCATCGTCTTCCACAGCTTACGTACTGAAGTCTGATCTCACCATGTCAACTTCAAGCTATGCAGATAAATTCTTGGCTGAAGATGCATCATACCCATCTTCTCCTCCAAATATTCCATTACTTCATGAAATGATCCAAATCAGCTGCAGCCCCTTTAAGTCGTCTCCGCCATATGATCACAAAAGACAGAGAGTTGTCGAATCGGTTCAGACAGAAACTCTTAGTAACGATCATAGAGACATAGACGAGTCAATGCTGGAGAAGAGTAGAGAAGCTTGTAGAAGGATTGATCTAATGATAACTGAGGATGATGAGGTAGCTGATGAAACCGAGAGATCATGGAGAAGTAAAGGTAAAGAAGCGGCTGAGAAAAAGACGATAAACGAGAGAGAGAGTGAGAGACTAGATGAATTGTTGGAGAAATGTAACTTGGTACAGAATAGCATAGCCGATAAGCTTTGTATTTACTTCTGATGATCTTCAGCCCTTTTTGTTAATGTTAGTTTGTTGTCAATTATGGTATTTTTGCTTCAAAAGTTTACGTGTCCATCAGTTTGCTTAAAGTTGTGTGCTTCGCAGCCTTGTTTACAAATACGCACCCTTGGCGTTTGATGAAATAAACGCACATAACAGTCTGAGGCGCTTCTTAGTTCTTATGAATAGAAGAAATAAAGCACGCCTTTAGATAACATGATGTCTAAACCCTAAACCCCCATAGTCCATTAGATACGCATACTCTAGCAAAGAGGAGGAAGGTGAAATACGACAGGCTTTATAGGAATACTCTGTATTTAGATCCACAGCAAAACAGCTTTACAGAGTCGTATATGAAGGTATTGCGAACGACGAATTTAGGTGACGTAATGGACTTTAGATATTATTTCTCATCTTATTCTAAGGCAATTAATTAAGACAATCATTGGTGGCTTTTTCTACTCTTTAATTCGATTTTTTTTTTTAAACATGAAAAACTTGTCTGTAGTCATAAAAAAAACTTATTCTCAGCAACAGTCAACGTTTTAGAGCAAATAGCGTAGCAAACACGTCATTTACTCTTAGTAAAAGAAGCTAATATACGAAAGAGAGAGAGCTTTACTTTTGAACTTTGCTATATAGATGGAATCTGTGACGTACAGTACAGAATCAAACAAAGGGGCAATTAGGAAATTGAATCATTCATTAGACAGCTTTTTAATCTGTACAATGATAATTGTGATATCATCTGTCCTATTCTCATGCTCCAACCACAGTTTGTATGATTCGGCTGCAGCTGCAGCACATCCATCGCGCGGATCGGCATATCTCCCCACCTGCAAAACAACATTCTCAAACACATTCACACCAGAACAGAAGAACTAAAACATTATTTTACATCAAACATATTAAGGTCTGCAAAAGGGTCTCTGTTGCTAATTTACCATATCAACAACAGCTTGGCTTGGAATAAACTCGAAAATCCCATCGCTTGCAACAACAAAAAACAAATGGTTAGGCGAAAGATGAACCATTGACACTTCTGGTTCTGCAGTAACTCCAATGCTCTCTGCTGTAAAATCTCCAACACTCCTTGTGAATGCGGTTCCCGGGTACATCCCATTTTGTACCCAAAGTCTCGGCGGATCCCCTCCCTCGCTCTCTTCATTTGCCCATGTTTGTATATTCGGATCTTTCAATCCTTCCACTTGATCCACACTCAGTACTCTAGCCCCACACGCTTTCACCCTCTCGCATTCATCTTTCCTAAAAGGCGTTTGATCATAAGACAAATCCTCTGCTAGAATCCGGTTCCTGTCTTTAACAGCGAGAACCGCCCTCGAATCCCCTACATTGGCAACATAAATCTTATCCCCAACAACAAGAACCGTAATGGCAGTAGTACCACTCATCGAGTCATCAATTTCACTATCATGTAACTCCTCATTCACCCTCAAAAAAGCAGACTTGTAAGCTTTCTCCGGATCCTCAAGCAGAGTTGGGTCTTCAGACAACATTTCCACAACCCTCTCCTTAACGAAGTTGGAACACTGCGTACCGAACACGCCGTGACCATCAAACACACCAAAGAAATGAACATTTGGGTTACCTTGAAGCTCGGTTTTGATGCAGTAAGTGTCTTGATTCTCCTTATCAGGTGAATCAGGATAATAGCCTCGTTGAGACAACACAGAGTAAACCATGTCGAAATTAGGAGAAGGAACGTGAATAGAGCCAAGAGGTTTCTGATCTTTCCCTTTGACAACACCATTGGCTTCAACCGGTCCACGAGAGTCTCCATCTGACGATGACGATGGGTACCGGCTACAACATTTGCATTGAACGCAACCCATCACGCAGAAAAATAAAAACAGAATTCGATTACGCAAAAAAAAAAAATCGAAACTTTTCCTTGAAAAATCTTAAGCTCCAGGTGGGGCTAGAATAAGAAATCTCCAGGAAAAGGAAAATCGTGAGATACAACAATGGCGTACAAAAAAGTGTAGGGTTTTGCAGATGTCATGTTAAACGCGGCAAAAAGGATCGAAAAGGGAAAGAAGGAAAGAGGGAAAGACGAGATTCACACCCAAAGTTAGAATCTTTTCAAAGGAGACAAGGAAAAAACAGAGGAAGAGGAAGAAGGGAAAAGTTGGTAACTTTATCTTGTTGTGGATAGTTTTGTTCGAATTCTTCTTTCGTTCTTTACACCTTCGTGGTCTTCCTCAACCCCCTCAAAAAGGGTTATTTCGTCAACAACCCTTTTAAGAGAAAGTGTCAAAATTCGAGAGAAACCCTAAAAAATGCAGAAGCAGAGGAATTTGTTCGAAAAGAAAGAAGAATAAAAGAGAAGAGATGAGAGAGAGAGAGAGATGAATTTGGTTTTGGTGGATCCGACGGATGGAGTACACGGGTGGGTTTGGCCTCTCTCTGCCACAGCCGCGCACGAATTCCAAAATCAAACCAAAAACTTTTTTGACAAAATCGATGATTTTTTTTTCGCCGTGATTATTCAATACCTTTCTCGTTTATTTTCACCCCCCGCAACGGGTCGGGTTGACCCGATCAGACCATGTTGTTTCAGTACAAGAATAGACCTAACGGGCCTTACGTGTTATTGGGCCTTAGCTACGTCTTCGTTTCGTACATTTTTTGTTTTCTCACATACGCATAAGAAAGAATATAAAAACAAATTGTGTTTAGCCCATCAATAAATACTGGATTATTAACTTAAAGTAAGAGTGTAAACCTCCAATTAAATATCTCTCGACCATATAATTAACTACATGGTGAGTCCAAATATTCACAGTTTATGAAACCGTCATTTTAATTTGTGTATATGAATAAAGTATGAATTTAAACCAACGGACATTGAAGTAGAGAAATAATAAATCTAGTAGCAGAAAGATTCGATTGCGATTTCTATTTGTCTTATTTGCAAATGGCTATTCTTGGTGAAAGAATAAGTTTGAACTCGATTTTTCTTTTTTTCTTTTGTCACAATGAGGAGTCGTACGTGTACTACTGGCGTTACCATGCATCGTATCTTTGTCGTTTTTGGATAAGCCAACACACATTATTGTTTGTTGCACTTTTTGGAATCGAAAGACTCTGCGAAGAGATCTTCATTCTTCACTGGTATATATATATTTATTTATTTATTTAATTATAAGATATATGGTAGCAATAGCATGCGTGAAGCGAGATCCTCTATGATGTTATCAGGAATATACGAGACCTTTCTTCCTTGATTTTTTTTTCTTTTTTCTGAGAAATATTCTTGCACACGTATTCTTGATGATAGCTCTTCATCGCTTACATTGCAGTAGACCAGTTCAGTGTATAATAATTAAAGTTATATATAGATATTTGCAAAGACACTAGATGCACAACGAAGATGCTGAAACCTGAAACGATCTGTACAGCAACATTCAACTCACTAAACGTAAATTAACCTCTACTAATTTGGGGAAAGAAAAAGATATCTTAAAAAGACTATTTATGTCAAAACTTTTTTCATATGTCAAAAGAAAAAGTAGACTTATTTAATAACTAATACCGTCAGATTATAGAAAACAACTCAAGTTTGTATCCAAATAAAGAGAAGTGTAACATTTTACGATCATATCAGATAAGAATATTTGTTATTTGTGTGTACATGAAAAACATGCAAGACATTTTAGGAAAAAAGGTTGTTATTCTATTTTTGGTACTACTTTTTTTTTTTTTTTGAAAAAATTGCGACGGCGTATTGAACTAAAAGAAATGACATCAAAGCAAATCGATGATCATCAGCACAATCTTGTCCTAAAAATAAGCCATAATGTTTTGTCCCAGAAAAGAAAAAAAGAAAGAAAAGAGAAACATATACCTGTTAGATAAGAATCTAAAGGGAAGAAGAAACAAAATCTAAAAATTATCTCCGGTTTCTTAGGACACAACAGACTTGTCTTGTTCCTATTTCAGAGGAGATGGGATTTTATTGAGACAAAGATTGTGTGGGAAACAGTATTCCGAAGTTCAATCTCTTCCCCACAATTCCACTGCTAATAAAACAAGCCTCTCCCCTAATCCTTTATTCTAGCCTATCCCTGACAATGGCTCTATTAACTATTCATCTTTTTAATTTGTAATAGTAAACCCTTTTTTAATTTTTTTAAAAAAATAAAGAAATAAAAGTGAAGAAAATAATAAAAGAGTTCACCTGAGAACTAGGTTCAGGATGGCCTCAAGGAGCCTCTCCTATTCACAACTCCTAGGCCTCCTGTCCTTTATCCTCCACTTGGTCACAACCACCACCATGGCCGTTCGTGTTGGAGTCATTCTTCATAAGCCCTCTGCTCCAACTCTCCCTGTTTTTAGAGAAGCCCCGGCTTTTCGAAATGGTGATCAATGCGGAACCCGTGAGGCTGATCACATTCATATCGCCATGACTCTAGACACAAACTACCTCCGTGGAACAATGGCAGCCGTTTTGTCTCTCCTTCAACATTCAACTTGCCCTGAAAACCTCTCTTTTCATTTCCTCTCCCTTCCTCATTTCGAGAACGACCTCTTCTCCAGCATCAAATCGACCTTTCCTTACCTAAACTTCAAGATTTATCAGTTCGATCCAAACCTCGTCCGCAGCAAAATCTCGAAATCCATCAGGCAGGCCCTCGACCAGCCCCTCAACTACGCGAGAATCTACCTCGCAGACATCATTCCTAGCACCGTTGACAGGATCATCTACCTAGACTCGGACCTCGTTGTGGTAGACGACATAGAGAAGCTGTGGCATGTCGAGATGGAAGGTAAAGTCGTGGCTGCTCCCGAGTACTGCCACGCAAACTTCACCTATTATTTCACAAAAGCTTTCTGGTCAGACCCGGTATTGGTCAAAGTACTCGAAGGGAAACGCCCGTGTTACTTCAACACAGGGGTGATGGTCGTGGATGTTAACAAATGGAGGAAAGGATCGTACACACAGAAGGTGGAAGAGTGGATGACAATTCAGAAGCAGAAGAGAATATACCACTTGGGATCATTACCTCCGTTTCTGCTGATATTCGCGGGTGATATCAAAGCGGTTAACCATAGGTGGAACCAGCACGGTCTAGGAGGGGATAATTTCGAAGGAAGATGTAGAACGTTGCATCCTGGTCCGATAAGTCTTCTTCATTGGAGCGGAAAAGGGAAGCCATGGTTGAGACTAGATTCAAGAAAGCCTTGTATCGTTGATCATCTATGGGCTCCATATGACCTATACCGTTCGTCAAGACATTCGTTAGAAGAGTAGAGGGCAAAAGAGAAAACATTTTTAACCATGGCACATACATACATATATATATAATAGGAGAGGAGAAGATACAACAAAGCAGGGGTTTTTAGCGACGATCAAAGAGAGCCAAACATTTTCATTACGAGTGAAAAAAAAGTGTATTGTTAACACATTGTGCATTTGAGCTGAGAGTGTGTTCTTCACAAGAGATGGTACTATCATCATCATCATCATTCTTTTTTTCACTCTCTTTGACTTAACCTTTAGAATATTCCGCGTGTAATATACATAGGTACAAAAAAAAATTGGAGGATTAAATTGATCATTCTTTTTTGTTCTAATTCAAAATCTCTCTAGTATCTGATACTATAAACAGAGCATCGAAATCATCTATTCCTCTTTAGAAGTCATCGAAATTTCGAAACTTTATCACAAAACAGAACGATCCAACACAGACAGAAACAAGCTACACCGTTTCGAATTCCGTGATCGAAGTCATCATAACGACTACAGGAGGAAAATTTAGAGGAATACACTATTACCTGGATAAGGCGATAGACACGTCTAGATTCTGCAGGGTTCGAGCTAGCTCTTCTACTCCACGGAAACAGTGATGGCTCTTCTATACAGTATTCATAACCTTTTCTCTCTCTCCTCAGGTCGGGTTTGGACAAAAGAAGATTTGGTTTGGTATATATGTTCGGAAGAAACATAGATTCTCTGATCGCCGGATTCGATTTGTATTTTCCGGGGAAGAATAAATGTGTTTCCTTTTTGTTAAATCTGCAAGATTTATGAGGAAAAAAGGTTACTTTTTTATTTATTTAAATTAGAATGAGTTGGAGGAGGGACAGTAGTGGTACCATGTCCTTTGGAAAGTTAAAATAAAAATGCTGCTGTGTGTATTTTTGTTTGTTAAGTAATCAAATCCCTTTAGTTTATTATTATTACATCCAAAATCTTAAAAATTTGGTCAATTGACGGATAAAAAAGGGAGCTTTTCTGCGCTTGCTTCTTCTCGTTCTCTCTCCTCTCTACCTCTCTCTGTATCTCTCTGCCTCTCTTCTTCTTAATCTTCGTTTCAATCCCTAAATTGTGTATCCTCTTCGTTGCAAACACCTCTGTAAGGATAATGGTGACGGTCAAGAATTGAGACTCGTAAGTGAAGTCTAATCGCCACACAAACTTGAACCCTTCGAAGCTGTCTCGCAATCTCCGTCGTTGTTAAAGAAAGGGTTTTGGTGCTTCTCTCTGATTCGGCGGTCCTCTGTTTGCTTCGATGGACATGGAGAGGTAATCTTTGGAGTAAACGAATCCATTCTTGATTTGTATTTCGATATGTATATTTTTGTGTTTTTCTGTTTCCTTCAAATTTCGTTTCTTCTTCTAGTGTTGGCTTCAATTGGGTTAGATGTGAGGTTTCGATTAATCTGCACTTCACTGCTTTGCTTGATTCTCTATTTTCTCATTGTTTCTTCTTTTTTTTAAGTTTTTTCCATTTTTGCGATTTTGGTTACAGAAAAAGCAAGAATGTGGAAATAATTAGAGATCTAAGCTTAAGGGAGAGACATAATATTGTCTTCCAATCAAATTTAGTACAAATCTGTATTGGTTTTGTATTTAGTATTTCTGTTTCTGTGTCGAACATTAATTCCTTCTCATTCACAAGGCAGTGGAGGCTAATAATTGCTCCTAGAATAATATCTAGTTAGGTTTTCGAATCATGGACATTGGTTGGATAGTAGATAACTGTCGTCTACTTATTGTTTGATGCAGTGCAGATACTGAGCCTACCAGTTTAAATTGTGGGAACAACAACATGGTTGTCAAAGCTTACCCATTAGGTATGGTACGAATTATGAATAACAATGGCATTGGTGAAGATGAAGGAGACTCTGTAGTTGAACCGTATGTTGGACTAGAGTTTGACACTGCAGAGGAAGCAAGGGACTACTACAATTCTTTTGCTACGCGGACCGGTTTTAAGGTTAGGACGGGTCAGTTGTATAGATCTAGGACCGATGGTACAGTTTCTTCGAGGAGGTTTGTTTGCTCTAAGGAAGGTTTTCAGCTTAATTCAAGAACCGGGTGTCCTGCGTTTATCAGAGTGCAGCGACGAGATACTGGGAAATGGGTTCTTGACCAGATTCAGAAGGAGCACAACCATGAGCTAGGAGGTCATGTAGAGGAGACTACTCCTCGTCCTTCAGTACAACAGAGAGCACCGGCTCCCACGAAGCTAGGCATATCGGTTCCACATAGACCCAAGATGAAAGTTGTTGATGAGGCTGATAAAGGACGGTCATGCCCTTCTGGTGTGATATCTTTTAAGCGCTTCAAAGGAGCTGAAGAGAGCGATGAGCAAACGCAGCCCAAGGCTACTACTGAACCGTATGCAGGGTTGGAGTTTGGTTCAGCTAATGAAGCGTGCCAGTTTTATCAAGCGTATGCAGAAGTTGTAGGTTTTAGAGTTCGGATAGGTCAGTTGTTTCGATCAAAAGTTGACGGATCGATCACATCAAGAAGATTTGTCTGTTCTAAAGAGGGGTTTCAGCATCCTTCTAGAATGGGCTGTGGAGCTTACATGAGGATCAAAAGACAAGACTCTGGAGGTTGGATAGTCGATCGTCTTAATAAAGATCATAATCATGAGCTTGAACCGGGAAAGAAGAATGCTGGTATGAAAAAGATAACAGAAGATGTGACAGGAGGGTTGGATTCTGTGGATCTTATTGAACTAAACGACTTCAACAATCACATCAGTACAACCCGAGAAAACACTATAGGGAAGGAATGGTATCCAGTGCTTTTCGATTACTTTCAGTCAAAACAGGCAGAAGACATGGGATTCTTTTACGCCGTCGAGCTTGATAGTAATGGAAGCTGCATGAGCATTTTTTGGGCAGATAGCCGGTCAAGGTTCGCCTGCAGTCAGTTTGGTGATGCTGTTGTTTTTGATACTTCATATAGAAATGGAGAATACTCTGTTCCATTTGCTACGTTTATCGGCTTTAATCACCATAGGCAACCCGTGCTTCTCGGGGGTGCCTTAGTTGCTGATGAATCTAAAGAGGCTTTCTCATGGTTGTTTCAGACATGGCTTCGTGCCATGTCAGGCCGTCGTCCGAGATCTATTATAGCTGATCAAGACTTGCCTATCCAACAGGCTGTGGCTCAAGTCTTTCCAGGGGCCCATCACCGGTTCTCAGCGTGGCAAATAAGGTCCAAAGAACAAGAAAATCTCAGGTCGTTCCCGAATGAATTCAAGTACGAGTACGAGAAATGTTTATATCAGTCGCAGACAACGGTCGAGTTTGACACTATGTGGAGTGCTCTGGTAAACAAATACGGCCTTAGGGATAACATGTGGCTCAGAGAAATATATGAAAAGCGCGAGAATTGGGTACCGGCGTATCTAAGAGCCAGTTTCTTTGGTGGAATCCCTGTAAACGGCACATTCGAGCCATTTTATGGCACTTCTCTTAACTCTCTAATATCCCTCAGGGAGTTCATCTCGCGGTATGAGCAAGGACTTGAGCAGCGCCGTGAAGAGGAGCGGAAAGAGGATTTCAATTCTTATAACTTGCAGCCATTTCTGCAGACGAAAGAACCCGTTGAAGAACAATGCAGAAGGTTGTACACGCTCACCATCTTCAGAATTTTCCAGAGCGAGCTTGCTCAGTCTTATAATTACCTTGGTTTAAAGACCTACGAGGAAGGAGCCATTAGCAGATTTCTTGTGAGGAAATGTGGAAATGAGAATGAGAAGCACGCCGTGACTTTCAGTGCATCGAATCTCAATGCAAGCTGTAGTTGTCAAATGTTTGAGTACGAAGGACTTCTCTGCAGACATATCTTGAAAGTGTTCAACCTCTTAGACATTAGAGAACTCCCATCTCGGTATATACTGCATCGGTGGACCAAAAACGCGGAGTTTGGGTTTGTACGCGATGTAGAATCAGGGGTGACATCTCAGGACCTCAAGGCCTTGATGATCTGGAGCCTGAGGGAAGCAGCTTCAAAGTATATAGAGTTTGGGACGTCGTCTCTGGAGAAGTATAAGCTTGCATATGAGATCATGCGCGAGGGTGGGAAGAAACTGTGTTGGCAGAGATGAGCAAACAAAGTAAAGTCATTGTCCTGATTTTCTCTTTGTTTCTTGAGTTTATAATCTTAAATATCTAAAGTTTCAGAAGCTTGTCCTTCTCAGTTTCTCATTTAGTCATTTGGGTTGTGTTGTTGACTCATCGGCTGCAGAGACTCTCCCTCTGTTCTGCCTCCTTTTGAATTAACATTATTTCATTTATGTCTGAGCTTTTGGATCATTTTCCCATTAGATTCAGTTTATACTTTAGCAGTTATATAATGACGCTCCCGCTTGATATTGTATAAATGATTGACCCAGAGAGAACCCTAATTTATTTGTTTTCTTCAAGACTTCATTTCCTCTGTTACAGAATGAAAAACAAGAAGAAGACGAAGCCTTTATTTATCAGTGAAGATGGAATTTGTGGCCGCCAGTGTAAATCCTAACCATTTTGTTAACTTAAAGTCATCAGAAAAGTCGGTGGCAGTGGTCGTCGACGTGGTGTGGCCAGTTGTATTCATTGATAAAATCGGTCGGTGGCACTAACTATACATGTATGCATGATCCCATCCTCAGTAGCCGGATCATACAGAATTCTTAGATTGTGTTGCTGAACTTAAATTTTTTTTTAATGGGAAAGTTATCTTCTAGAGAAAGTTATTTTGAACAAACAAACATTACATATGTACGTCTCGACAAGTACTGATTTAAATACAATTAAATTAGATTTGTCCTTCCGCAGTATTACTAGTTTTGATCTCTTAATAATACATGTTACAATGGTAACTTGGTTATTCTATCTTTGAGAAACCAGCCAGACTTCCTAAGCTCTACATACCATAAGAGTTGGGTGATATGAGGCTCTCTACGTATGTATTGGCCTCGAACCCGTCACTGAGCTTAACCCCGCGGATTCCAAGATTACTCGATGCATGGGTCTCAAAGTTGTACAACACCATGTCTCCATCTAGCTCCATAAGAACTTCTTCATCGTTCTTAGTTGAACACAGCGGTTTCATTGACCTATACAACAAGCTGATTCGGATTCTGCTCCATGATTTCGCTACACCGTACTCATTCATCACCCATATGTCATCGTGCACCTCGTAGCAACTATTGATCACACAGAGACATCCGTTGAGACTTCCGACCACAAAGTTTTTAAATCTGTGTGGACAATCCTCAGCTTCATCAGGCAATGGTATCTCTCGAAACTCCTCGGTTTGAAGATCAAATGCTACGACCACTCTTTGGTCATGGCTACCCTCAGTGAACACCCAGTGAATCGCACCATTGAAATGCACACCAGAAGTGTAGAAGCCATCGTTGTGCTCATAATTCAAATTGCAGATCCGTCTCCATGAGTCTGCCTTCAAGGAATACACACTAGCATCGAGAAAATCGTCACTACTTGCAACAAGCTTCACCACTTTGTAATCATCAGTGAGATCATCGAAACCGAATCCATAACTTTGGAAATTATCTCTTCCGTGTTCAACGGATTTGGGACGCAGAGTTTCAGGTAATCTCTTGGAATCTCCGGTGGTTGGATTATACAAGAAAACAGCACCTTCACCAGGAGAGATACACACTAAACCATTGGAAGATCCAACGATCTCAACCCAGTTTCTTCTATGCGATTTCGCATTCAGCGTAAGCATCACACGACGATCATCTTCGTCAACCTCGGATCCACCATCGTAGAGATGCTCCCTCACGTAACTCCTAATCATCTCTGAGAAAATGCTCGGATCGTCCTTAAGCGGATAAATGAGTTCCACAGCCGCTAAATCCCTAGTTACTTCAAATCCAATCGAATCGAAATCTAACGAGTAGAGATTATGTGAAGACACGATGAGCTTGCGGTGGATAGACCTCACGGTTTCGTTTCGGAGGATTAGATCGAGATGACTCTTCGCGAACCTAGGATCCGACGATAAAGAGCAAAAGAGCTTCGACACGCACCTGAATCGCCCGATCGATTTGGCCGGTAATCGAAGAAGAATTTCTGCAATGATCTCTGGAGGAAGAACAAGAGATTCCGGTGAAGCTTTGTCGTTGGTCTCTTCTTCTCCGTCGTTTTCATCTTGTCTCCGTCTTCCTCTCTTCGTCGCTTCCATTATCGCTTCCCACAGCAACTGGATCGCTCTCATCGTTTGCGTCTGGTAGCTCTCCGCTATGACCCGAAATCTTAAATTAACCCGGTAACACTGGATCCGGATCTAACTTCGGTTGTCTAGTTTTTTTAACTTCCAATTTCCCGGTTCAATAGTCAAACCGAGTTTTCGAGTTATATAATTACTGTATCTACAAAACAAATTACAAGCTAATATTTTAAAAAAATTTCATTGTTTTTTGGGGCATTCTCTAAAAGACCATCATTTTTGTTTTCAGAACAAAAATACCACAAAACTATAATTAGATTTTAAATTTTCAAAATCTAAATTCTAAATTCTAAACATTAAACCCTACCCCCTAAATACTATACTCTAAATTGCAAATAATCAACCCAAACCAAAGATTTAAAATTTCATACCATTGAAAAATAATTTGATTTTAGTGGTATTTTTGGAAAGAAAAACAAAATGATGGTATTTTGAGGAATTCCTCTTGTTTTTTCTCCTTGAAATTAAGATATTGATTATTGTCGTATTTAGAGATACACTGAATCAAATTTTCCTGATTTAACTTTATCCAATTTTTACTTAACTTTTCCGAAAGTGATCGCTTGCGGAGGAAGGAGTAAATAATTCACTCTTTGGACACTTTTCATGCATGCTTTACTCGTTTACTCTCACTCGCTCTCTTCGGTTTGTAACTTATCACGATCAAGCTTGCAGAAACGTAAAAGACACAAACAATTTAACGAGTTCAGATCCCCAATGCGGAGACCCTACATCTCGCCGGGAGTTTTAATTAGCTCCCGGAAATCCACTAAAATATCATCATCTTCATCTCCTTTACAAGTGGTACTCAGGCATACCTAAGTTGGTGTATCTTTTGATCTCTTTCGACCAATCAGAATCTAATCTTGCATGTCATTATGACATTATCCATATACGTACAATAATTTTTTTTTTGGATATAACCCCAACCCTAATCTTGGTGGAGAAGAAAAGGGTGGTTGAGAAGCTGAGAAGCTGTCCATCTCTCGCTCGCTTTCTTGCGTAAACAGCAGTCGATGAAACTCTTCAACTCGTCTGAGCATTCTTCGGGGGCTTTCGGTGGTTCTCCAAAGCACACGGCGCATGTTATTGCGGTCTTGTCTGGTATCCGTCCTTGAGGAAGCAGCGGGTAGTAACCGACCAAGATCTCGAGCATCGTAAGCCCAAAACTCCAGATATCTCCGGCATAAACGTTTGATTTGTCTTCTTCTGTAACACCTTCAGCTTCGCTGTCGAGTCTTTCGGGACTCATGTAGGCGTACGTGCCCACGAACGAGTTGCACTTGTCTAAAGACTTGACCACGATCTTGCTCACTCCAAAGTCTGCGATTTTGACTTCTTCTTTCGAGCTACGTAGCAGATTCGCTGGCTTGATGTCTCTGTGGACGATCTTGAGCTCGTGCAAGTACTTTAACCCTTCTAAAATCTGACGAGCCATCAAAGCGAGTTGGTTCTCTGCAACGACTTTGCCTCTTAGAGACTCTATCGTGCCCAGATCCATGTAGTCCATCAGAATAGATACTTCTCCGGAAGGATTCTGGAAGATGTCGTGACACTTGACGATTCTAGAAGAGTTGACGAGACGGAGGATCTCAATCTCGCGGAGGAGTTGCTGGTGGGAGGTAGAATCCATGTCTTCTTTGATTTTCTTCAACGCGTAGATCTCTGAGGTTGTCTTGTTCTGAACTTTGAAGACGGTTCCGCCGTTTCCGCTACCGAGAACATTGATCCTGTCCAAATCAGTAGTCGAGATGTTGTTGCTTGCAAAGGAAGTAACCTTTGAAGCGCCAGGAATGGGGAAACAGCGGGGGAAAGTAGTAGTAGTAGTAGTAGTGGAAGGTTGTAACTTGAGATTTAGGAATCGAGGATTTCTAACAAGAACCATCGTGTTTTTGTTCGAACGATTGATCTTGAAGAGCTTTGTCTATTCTTTCTTTCTGAGAGTTAATTTTGTTTCTGACCGTCTCAGCTGTTATTAAATTGATTGATATATACATTAATACACAAATCCAGTTCCAAGTTCCTCTCGAGATAGGATACATTGTATCCCAATCGTATCTGTGAATTTTATAAAAATTGTGATTTAGTTAACGTATCTATCATATATTCTTTTTTGTATTATTCACATATAACATATTATTCTAATATTCTCGAAATATCAAAACCACGTAAAAGATGTTAAAATTTTGTATTTTGATAATAAATAAATTTATTACAAATCCCTAACATAACAATGGAAAGTCATGAAATTAACTAACTTCCTAGCCGACAAAAAAAAAAAAAAAAAAAACTAACTATAAAATTCTAGAAGTTTCATGGAAGGTGCTTATAACGAAGTTGTTTTGAAAATTTGTTCTTCTTGGGAATTTTGCCGCCAAGAAGATTACTGAGAACCTGGAAGCATATTTGGATGATCCAAACGATAGATTTGTAATTTGAGCAACGTTTTGAAAGGTTGTAAAAACAATTAATAAATACAGTTCATAATCATCACATTTCTGTTACAAAATAAATATAATACTTAAAAGCTTCTAATACAGAGAGCTACGAATTTCTCAAGAGGAACATGATACTTATGATTGTTTATCCTCGAGCATTTTTAAAGCCAATTCAGCTAACCAGTGAACCGTTCTGCTCTGGCGACTCACTCCAACTGTGCCAGAGAAAACATCAAAGTTCTCGAGCTCAGCCGTAGTTTCCAGAACTTTCTCAAGCTCTCTCTCCATACCCAAATCTCTGAACATCAAAACACTCTCCACATCATCTTCCATCATCCATATTGCAAGCTCGATCACAAACCTCCTGATTCTTGGAACCTTGATCACTGGCTTTTCATGTTTTTTCAATATCGAAACCAGTGAGCTTGCAAGTTCCTGCTTTTTGATCCCTGAATCCTTCAGAACAATGCTTGCTTCTTCTGAACTCATTAATTTAAATACTTGTGCTGCTAATCCTAGCATCACTTCCAGCAATTTGTTGTCTCCTGATGTTATTGACTTCCACACCTGCAAGTCAACAAACAAGTTTTATACATTTTGGAGGGGGGATTTGGCGCAGTATTTGTAATGACAGACATGCATACTCACCGTAGGCGCTGCTGTTTTACTGAATCTCAGATCGGGAAAGCATTCATCTCCAGAATATATGCACAAGTTTCTCAACACCCTAGCTGCGTTGACACGGACCAAAGGAACTTCAAGTGCCTCCACGAGTCTTCCCAAGACTCCGAGCTTTAGAATGTGGATGCAGTTGCTTCTGCTCTCCAATGCAAGCATCCCTATAGCTTCTCCTGCAGCGATTCTGACCCAGATCTCATTCTCATCCCCATGTGTTTTTCTTTTCAAGAAGATGTTAAACAACTCTTTCAAGACACCTCCAGTAATACCAATTTTTTCCCGCGCATCAGTCTCAAGCGCGAGGAAGCTCAGGATCTCAATTCCTAACTTCTGTAGTTTTGGGTATCTCACTCCATGACGCAGTATGTCCCTTAAGTTGCTGATTGTGAAGACGATTTCAGAGATCTCTCTCCTGAGACATTTCCCGGTGTTCCCACTTGTGCTTACTAACATTTTCACAAGCTGCAGGGACCGTTTCACTGTCAGGACTCGTGACAGAACCATATCTGCATTCTCTTCTTTCAAGAGTGTTGCGTCTGTGTGCGTGAAATCAATGATCTTCGGCAGAAGCCCTCTTGTGTTACCTATTTTTCCACAGTTGTCATGATCTCTGGATAATTTCTTTAGAATCACGAGGCCCAAATTGTTGAACCTCCCGAAATCGTACTGTAGATGATGGTCGTGGAAGATTTTCTTCTCTCCAATCTCATCAGGAGCTCCACCTAAAGATCTTGTGGTCTGTAAGAGTGATGAAATCGATTCCATCGCACCAGAGATTCCGGCAACTCTGAGAGAGTTCTGTTTCTTGCCAGCTAGTTTTGATAGTATCTCAGCTGAGGATCTCCTAATCTCTTCTTCTTGCATATCTTTCCAGTTCAGCATCTCCACCAACCTGGAGAATGAATTTTTTTCAACATTTCATTATTTAGATGAGAAATAATGATATGATTAGGTGTGTAACCCAAAACGCTAACTGAAAGAAAGAGATCAGCTTTGTTTGAGTTCTCTACAAATTTTAGCAACTTGACCATGTAAAGGACAAACCTTTCAATGACAGGTAAGTTGATTCCGATCTTCTCAAGCGTATCCTCTGCAAACCGCTCATTTACCGCAAACTGCCTAAGAATCCTTGCTCCAATGAGCTGTTCATCAGAACAGTTGGAGCCCACAAGCTCCATAGCAAAGGTCACCATATCCATCTTCACACCATCAAAGATACTCCCATTGACAGACTTTGAGTATGCATCATAAAAGAATCTCTTGATAGAAACCATTCCGGTAACCCCAAACCCACACTCTTTAGTCACATTCTCAAGCAAGTAACACACACTGACCTCCCACTCCCAATAAGCTTTCTCCGCAAGGAACAACAACGCTTCAGCAAGCGCAAGCGAGTAAAAGATGCTCAGAGCGGCTTGTCTGTTCCTTTTGTCCAAATCTCCGTCTTGAACGTCTCCGTAGTTGTGCCTTACAAGCTTGTAAGAAGACAGAGCCACACAGGCACTCGCGGACAATAGCTGGAGCCAGTAGAGAAGCCGGCTCACGTAGCTGGAGATATAAAGCCATCTTGCATAGGGAAGAAGAGGAACTTCTGAGTTCTTCCATGTCAGAGTGTCTCGACGATCAAAAGTGTCCTCTCGTCCGATTCTCGTCGTCACCTCTCTCAATCCATTTTCAAGTATCGGCTTAAAGACCCCATCACTGCAAAGAAATACAACCATCAATCAAACGTAAACCCCAAATCGAATCGATTCCAATTTGATTAAGCAAAAAAACCTGATTCGTTTTAGATTTCTGAGAAGTGAGATTGAGCTTGATTGGAGCACGCGGAAGCTACTGATTCCGACGCCGGCAACAGTCCACGTTGCTTGGTGCTGCCACTCGAGCTCGTGGCTTCTGCTGAAGATTCGAGTGCCTTCGATGAGGAGTATGACGGTGATGAACCAAAAATCGGATTTTTCGAGTGTGATCGCGAACCCGCCGAGAAGAACCACCGTGGCCCAGATGAAACCTAGGGTCCCGAGGTTAGTGGCGATTTTCTCGAGGATCGCAAGACGGAGAGCGAAGAGAGTGAGCTTTTGCTCCGGCGCAGGTGACGTTGATCTGTGAAACGCAGTCGCGGAAGATACAGACGCAGCGTCTGCGGTTTCACCGCTGTCTCCTTTCTCGACGCTGTTTCTATAGTCCAAAACGGTGTCGCTTGAGCCTCGTGCTTCCTCTAGTTTTTGGAGCTCCAACACCTTGTTATTATAAAATTCAAAATATATTTGTTCTCTACTAAAATTAAACTTTGCAGCAAAAGTTTTGATTCTTTTTTTTTTTTTTCCTTTTTAGTGTTATGCTTATATGAAATTTATTGATGATATAGTGGGAAAGACCATGCAAAATATACTACTACTATACGAGGTGTGTTGCATCATATATATTTACAATGATCTGATCGACGTGATCAACAATGTTTTGAAATTTATTGATCTGAGTGTCTCGACGATCAAAAAAAAAAACAATGTTTTAAAATGTGTTGAACACTAAACTTAATATATGATAAAACCTAAGGCGAAAAGTATAAAAAGAGTGAATAACAACACTTCTAATTAATGTAGAGTTTTAAGAAGGCAAAAAAAAACCTGCAAATGGATGCTCCGATCATCCTCTCCAAAATTCTCGGAATCCATTAAACCTTTGGGAGAGTTTTCTTTTTTAATATATTTTGTAATTAAGAAAGTGTTGATGATGGATACATATATATATATATATATATATAGGCATATGCATGTGATTATATATGTTGAATCTATCTGTGCTTGTAAGAGACAAGGCAGAAGAGTGGAGAGGAAGACACCAATGAGCCGAAGATTGAAGATGAAGTGTGCAAGGAAGTGTAACTTCAATTTTCTGTTTATTTTCTGTCACAACCACCATAATAATAAAAAATAAAAATAAAAAGATTGTTTCTTCGTCTGATCATTATAACAACGAGCGTCGTCTTCGTAACCAAAGAAAATTTATTTGTTACTAGCAGTAGACCCGCGCTCCGAACGGGAGGTTTATAATTTTGTTTCGTTAATTTTTTATTCATATTGTGATATTTTATTATTATTTTTAATTGATTTTCAAAAATATTATAATTATTTTCTCTTTAATTATTATCTTTCAATACTCAAATTTGGATTAAAAGAATTTGATTCAATTTATGAATTTTTTTTTTTTTGATCATGTTATAAACTAATATTTCACTTTCATTTTATTTTTCCTCTTTATAATTTTATATATACAATTACATAAATGTTGTTTTAGTCTACCATAAATTTAAATTTTACTTCCACTCTAAAACTCAGTAACATATTTAAAATATTAAATTATGATCAATTTAAAATGAAAGTTGAATTATATTATTACCACTAATAAAAAAATTAAAGTATTGTTTTTCTTATTTTAACATTTCATTTTTATTACAAAATTTATTTTTATTAATATAAACTTTCTATTAATTAAATAAGTAACATAAATATGCACTAAATGAATGTTTTAAATTTATTTTAATGTTTAAACAAAAATGTGGTTTAAGTTGATGCTTAGGTGGCATCATGAGAAGAGAGAAAAAGCTAACTTTATATATATATAGATTCTTCAAAATCTATAGGCGTATTGAAAAGACAAAGAAATGTCATTTGACTTTACGAACTAGGAAGGCATGTTGCTTGACTTGTGTGCTTATAAAAGCCGCCCCTAAATACCCTTTATGTTAGCCTTCTGTCACGTACACGTGCAACAAACCAAAACCTTGATAATTTGATTGTCCTAAACAAGCAAACCAAGTGCAATTTACTAATCGGAATTAAGTTTACAAGGAATCCATTATTGATTAACATCATAAGATACTTCAAAACCCAATGTAATAGTATATGTGCATATCCAAATCAATAATTTCTTCTGTTCACACAAAAGGAATGATATTGTTGGAGATCAAGAGTTATGTACGCCACTAGAATTATTATATAAACAAAATTCTATTATTCTAATTGAATATTCCCATGTGAGAGGCGCTTGGTTGTGGTTTATGGTGGTGTGGTTGACTTGGAAGTCCGGATTCCAGCATAGCTCTTCCTATGTCAAGCTTTATATTCGGTTCATCGTCAAAGGCTAGTCTCGTTTCTATCTATTGTATAACGATAAACATGTTCCGAAATTCTTGGAACTCAGCCGCCACCAGCCATCTTGTAAAGTTGATTGATGTTAACTAAATTATAAGCAATGCCTTTATAAACACATTAAGTAACACCGGGTTCATCAACTTGTGAGTATGATAATAGCATAACCCCATGTAGTTAAGTATGAAGATATATGATTAATCCAAAAAGGATTCTCTGTGGTTGACAGGGAGGAGGGTTCACCTCAGTTTTTTGTTTAAAACGGCTTGCTGCACATTCTCAATACCAAGATTGTCTTGGTCCGTGATGAAACTGTAAATGTGTCTGGAGAAATACAAGACAGTGGCAGCTGCAAGAAACAGTCGGTGAAAACGTTAGCAGTTTCAAAGACAATGTGCATCCATTAAACCCGCTATTCAGAAAACATAGCTCCTAAATTACACTGCAAACCTAAGACACTTTTGCAAGAAACTCCCTGAACAAATCTTCCTATTCTTGCCGAGATACTTGCAGTAATTTTCGAAACTTTTTTGCCAGGGGATTAGCTAAATTCATCAACTAATGATAGCATTACGACAAGGAACACGACCAGAGCATCATTCAAACAATGTTTAATCCTATCTTCCTATTTCAAAGCTTGTTAAAATGGCTTCTCTAGCTGTATGTAATCTGAACGCTTTAAAGCAAGTAAAGTACCTGCAAATCAAATCCTGACAATCCTTTGATGAACTTTAGATTTCTCAGCATCAATAATAGATTCCACACGATTGACCGCATCATGAAGCCTCCCTTTGGCATTCACCACAACGTAATCAAAGTTGTTAAGATGCCTAACCTCTTCTCTCGCCGTAGCAACTCTAACAAGCAGCTCCTCTTGACTCTCCGTCTTCCGATCAATCAACCTCTCCACCATCGCAAGCTCACTCTCCGCCACAAGGAATATAAACACAGCGGAGTTACCAAGTATCCTCCTTAACGTCTGAGCTCCTTGGATATCAACTCTAAGAACAATGTCTTCCCCTTTAGCCATGTGTTCCTGAATCTGCTTCTTCGGAATCCCTTTGTATTCCCCATAGACAAGTGCGTATTCAAGAAGCTCTTCGTTCTCCACCATTGATAAGAAGTGATCCCTGGAGACAAAGAAATAGTCTTTGCCGTCGACTTCACCAGGTCGCATCGGACGGCTAGTGGCGGTGACGACGAAATGCAGACCTTCACGAACCTCGCGAAGCTTGTTGATCACTGCGTCTTTGCCAACTCCGCTGGGACCACTGACAACGATAATGATCTGATTCGGCGGTGGGATGATTGGATCGACGGAGAATGAAGAGCCCAACTGAAATTCGAGGGAACGAAGCGATTCGGGTTTGGTGGGAGATTGAACTGGGGAGGAATTAGGGTTGTCGGGGATTTGGGTGTCGGTCATTTTCAAGGAGGAGTAAGAGAGAGCAGAAGAGTGACGGAGTGGTTTGGGGATAGACCGGGAGATGAAGATGGGTTTGTTGGGGAAGATGATGGAGCGAGTGAAAGAAGAAGAACAGAGCTTTCGAATCATTTGAGGGATTGAAAGGAGCAACCTTTGGGGATTCCCAAGAGAGCTTTGTGGTTTGAGGGAACTTGGATTGGGTCACTCTACCGATCTTCTCGTCTCGATGCTGGACTTTGCCGCGATTTTACCTGTAAAGACTAAAGAGCCTTTAGCACGACGACATACATATCTAGGGTTTACTCTTTCAAATTAAAATATTTTTCTTCTGGTAAATATAAACATAGTAAATAGATTTGATTACTCCTTCAAAAAATATATAATAATTATTAAGTGGTCCTTAAATAATTACAAATGTTCTAATGACCCTGATCAGTCGTTTAAATAAGTTGTTTGCTCTCCAAAAAAAGCTTTCGAATCAAAAGAGTGGTTTTGCTTTCGAATTCAAAGTGTTTTTGTTTACAAACGTGGTTCCCAATTGAATTCTAATTTCATCTTCTTCTTTCTTTCTTTCTTTTTTGTTGTCAAAAGTATTATTATCTATATAGTATTATTATTATCTGTATTAAAATCTAGTTATACAACTACATATTCTAAACACAATAATATGATGTTCTAATTAATATCTTTCTTAAACTGAAAATAAAAATAAAAATTCCAAACAGAATAAAATTAATTTTTAGACGCTAATATTCGCAACCTACCAATACCAAAGTGTTGTGTTAAAAAAGTTAAAAACCGATCAATCTAAGTGGTTCCTCCTCCTCTCTCTATCGCATCTCTCTCTCTCTCTCTCTTTTCCTCTCGTTTGTGGCCAACGTCGTCGCCTCCACGATCCACGACGAGTCATCTCCCTACTTCCGGCGATTACAGGCCTCTCTTCTGTTACCGCTAAATCCCCCATTACTTTTCTCGTATCTGCTCTCAGATCCCCGAGATTTTCCCTGTGATTTCGCCTCTCAATCTCGATAAAAATCCAACCTTGTTTTGAAATTCCAAGACTTTAGCCGCGCAAAGATACTTATTCCGGGTACGAAGACCGAAGAACCCATCAATTTCCTTACAGAGTCGTGATTCTTGGATCTCGTCTTTGTTTCATGATGGACACAATTAGGGTTTGCACGGAGGTTCCTGGATCTTCGAAATCGACCGCACAGTCACTCTCGGAGTCGACCTCCCGCACGGAAACCATCAATGGCTCCCACGAATTCAAGATCAGCGGCTACTCTTTGGTCAAAGGGATGGGGATTGGCAAATACGTTGCCTCGGATACGTTCATGGTCGGTGGCTACTCTTGGGCGATCTATTTCTACCCAGATGGAAAGAGTCCAGAGGATAATTCTGTCTACGTGTCTCTCTTCATTGCCCTCGCGAGCGAAGGCGCTGATGTTAGGGCTTTGTTTGAGCTGACCCTCGTCGATCAGAGCGGTAATGAAAGGCACAAGGTTCATAGCCATTTCGGTAGAACTCTCGAAAGCGGACCTTATACTCTTAAGTATCGAGGAAGTATGTGGTAAGTACTTTCTTTTTATCCCTTTCTGGAAAAAAAGTTTCAGTTTTGAAGTGAATTCAGGATATGCTATAGCCTAGTACTGATTAGTTTAGATAATGACATGTTTGAGGTTTCTTATATGATTAATATATTGATGATTGCTTTTTTGTAGGGGATACAAACGTTTCTTCAAGAGATCTCTTCTGGAGTCCTCGGACTATCTAAAGGACAATAGTCTCTTGGTCCGGTGTTGTGTTGGAGTGGTGAAGTCACGCACGGAGGGACCAAGGAGTTACAACATCCCTGTGCCGGTTTCTGACTTAGGGCAGCAGTTTGGGAAGCTCTTGGAAAGTGAGAAAGGAGCTGATATTACTTTCGATGTTGACGGAGAGACATTCCCTGCCCACAAATTGGTTCTTGCAGCTCGTTCTCCAGTTTTCAGGGCACAGCTTTTTGGCCCGTTGAGAAGTGAAAATACCAAATGTATAACCATAGAAGACATAGAAGCACCAATTTTCAAGGTCCTCCTTCTAACTCTGTCTGGACTAAATCTCTTTGTTCGTGGAGTGTTGTAGTAGAGTATTTAGGTTTACAATTTGAGGCTGTTAGTTTCAGTCTCAGGTGTTATAAGGCCTTATAGGAAGATATACCTTTCTTGGTTGCTTTCCTTTTCTCGGGTGAGTGATTGTGGTGTGATACAGGATATTCTATTTACGAGGGTACAATCCGGGACCCTCTCCTGGGGTGCTGCTCCTGTTCTCTAATATTACTCACCCGGGATAAGGTTTAATATTTCTACTTCTCTTCCTGATTGCATGAATGTCTGTTCGCTTACTCATAGCTGTAAAGTCTCCATTTTTCTTATGTGGTAAATAATTTTTTATAGGTGATCATGTCAAAGTAATGCCAAGTATGAACCTTCTCTGCTTTGCATCTCGAGTTTTGTTTTATAAGATTGGTCCTTAGTTCATGCGCGAGTTTCTGATCCTAACTCCTATGAATTGAAAGTTGAAGTGTATGCTGATACAAATTCTCTTTTACTTTTGTTTCATTGTGCTCTATTTGTTGTTGCAGATGTTGCTCCATTTTATCTACTGGGACGAATTGCCTGATATGCAAGACTTAATGGGCACAGATCTGAAATGGGCATCAACTCTTGTTGCTCAGCATTTACTTGCTGCTGCTGACCGTTATGCTCTTGAGCGGCTTAGAACAATATGTGAGTCAAAACTCTGTGAAGGAATCAGCATAAATACAGTTGCAACCACCTTGGCTCTTGCAGAGCAGCATCATTGTTTCCAGCTGAAAGCCGCCTGCCTTAAATTCATAGCTTTGCCAGAAAACCTGAAAGGTAAAGAAGTTGATTTCATTTTGCTATGAATATATTTGAAACCTCATACCGCTCTTGTATTAATAAATAGTCTGTAATGTTTTGTAATTTCTTAGCTGTGATGGAAACGGATGGGTTTGATTATCTAAAAGAAAGCTGTCCGTCATTACTAAGTGAACTATTAGAGTATGTGGCTAGACTGAGTGAGCACTCTTTAACATCATCGGGGAATCGGAAGGAGTTATTTGCTGATGGTTGTGACGTGAATGGAAGACGGGTGAAGCAACGGTTACATTAAGTAACACACCGAGAGAGATGGTGGTGACTCCTGGCAAAGAGAATTGTAGAAGAGTAAAGATTTGTGCATTTGTCATTGTATAAGGATTAGAGGTTGTTCTGTGTTGTTCAGCTAATAGAGTGAAATGTTGTCTGGTTTTTTTCTTTTTACTTTTGCTTTTCTGTCCTGTGGATTTTATGACCAAAACCGCTTCTCACAAGGAAAGTTTCATGTGACTTCACATATTACAGATAATTCTTGACTTGCCAAAAACAGATAACAGGGAGCTGAAGTTCTAAATATCTGAAGTAAAAGGCTATAAAGTTTTTCCATTCGCTTACTAACAGTAAGCTTGGCTTATGTCCATGGGACTGTAAACAAAACAATGTTTTAAAAAGCCACAATGGGACAGAAACCCAAGGAATAACCAAGTTTTTTGGTTGCATCTTCAGACACAGAGCATCTAAATAGTATTGAGATATCAGAAGAAGAAGCTCTTGTCAGCGAGCCAGTGAACTTTGAAATCCAGTCACGAAATCAAAGATAAACCCCTTGATGAACTGCATATACCAGTTGTTAAACGTTTTTCCAACTTCAAGCTAACGAAACAACGAAATCCAGGATTTTTTTCGAAATCTCTATTCCAGAATGGTAGAATCCAAGGAAACTGAACAGAATAGAGATCTAAACAAATTAGAGCAGTTCCGATGCCAAAAATATCAATATTCTGGATGGAAAAGCTGACCCTCATCCTATTTAGACTTGCATTGAAATCAGGAAGGAGATCAAAAGCAAGAAACAAAAGGAAACACGACACGGAGAGAGATCCCGTCCCCTATAGGAGGAAGTGCAACGAGTGATATATAATAAAGTGAAAATTGATTCTGCCTTCTTTTGCGTGGTAAGTAATGTAGTTCAATAAAAGTTAAGTATTCAAGTTGTAATATTGGGACATTTCTGAGGTAAATGAAATAAGATATCCGCAACCGAAGCTGTCCTGATTGATTTCTCTAGTTTCCAAGATGAACTATGCAAACATTAAATGTGATAAATCTATAATGATAGATTGAAAAGTTCATATCCACCTGATCAGCGGTGATCTACCCCTCCCTTAAGAGCCAAGTTCGCTTGAGATCTGCAGAACATAAAGGCGTCAACTGAATCAGGATGCTAAGAGAAGAAATAAAATTACTTGACAAACAAGATGTTAACCAAAAAAAGCTATAGTTCTATTATGAACGAACCAGAGATGTTAGTCAGAAAGACAAAGAGAACAATTCTAATAAAAGCACAGACGACCAAAAAAAAAGTCAGAAAATCTACTGATGAGTTACCAGCCAACGACCTTAGTCATGATATATGTGTAGTTGATGTTACAAGTTACATACAAAGCAATAAAAGAAGACGTTTATCTACTAAAGGTTGTTGCCAATTGGCTACCTAAGACCATGTATTGTGAGCATGTATATTCATCGAGCAAAACTACAATTTTTAGATATCGTGCTAGCTATAAAATACAAGGGGTTGAAGTCAAGGGAGCCAGAAATGACTTTTGAAATGTCGAAATCGCAGCATACCAAAGTGGAATCTCAAAGTTTTGTTAAATTAAGAACCATTAGCTGTTGTATATGAAATTCAGATTCTCGACCAAAATAGGTTGAAAACCAAAATACCAACATTTGGAGTAAAGATGGAATTTCCCACTGATAAGAAAAATCAGCAAGACAGAGGCTGCTATCAGTTTTTACTATACCGTGGAACCACCATTTTAAACAACAAGAGAGAAGGCAATTCCTTCAGTGTAGTTTAGATCCTAAAAGGAACCTTATTTCCAACTAGAACAAGCTAAGGCAGAAGAATCATAATTCATGAACAAATTCCCACATTTCTTCACATCTGACTTGCCAATACCTTTTCCTTAAATTCGAATCTACTACACTCACTGAAAACTCCAGAAATACCGCTACATAAGATGTCAACCAATATATGAATATTACAACGCCAAACATCATACGTTGATTTGACTACCTATCACTTCCACTGAACAGATTCAATCTACTCCAATTCGCAGCGGATCTGATCTACTCTTTTACCACGAGACTCACAATTCATTCACCACAACCAATTACTCTCACAGAGGGAAGCACACTATAATCAATCAATCAAAAGTAAAGAACTACCAATCCATAAGGATCCCTATAACATCCCTTAAGAATGGCAGTGAACATTACATACATGGCCATTGTTACCCAAGGAGACCAAAGAATTGGCGAAAGCAAGTTCATTTCAGGCAAAACTGAACAAGGAAATGACAATTGAAATCGAATTTGGTAATTGAGAAGGAAGGGTTTGGCTTACTTTTTATGACGGCGGCCTCGCTTAGGTCCCCAACCTTCAAGCTTAGCAACAGGGCAGCCACATCTAGATCGGAAAAGCAATACAGCACGGCCATTAGGCGGGGCCATTCTTCTAAGCTCAGCTCTCAAACACTCGTAATCAGGATTGCTCTCACTACCTCCTTTCCAAGGCAATCGATCGATCTCCTTAGTAGCTCCAGATTTAACACATTCCTCCGTCTGCAATTGCAAATCAAACTCCATCGCCTTCTTCAAACCCTTACACTTGGGATTCTGACACTTCCTCGATCTCGGCCCACAGCACAGGTCGAGAAACGCAATCGACGCGGCGAAGAAGACGGCGAAGGCGAAGAAGTATGAGGCCGGAGGGATCGCCGATAGATCTTCATCGTCGGAGAAGATCAAGGAGGAGAGGGAAGGGAAGTGAGAGGAGAGAAGAGAGAATGAGTGGAACAGGTATGAGAAGTAAGAGGAGAGGAGGAAAGCGCCGGAGAAGAGGACGAGGATTAGGATCAGGAGGTCGAGAGTCGCGGAAGGAGAGTGCTTGCAGAGGTGGAGAGACGAGGATGAAGAGGAGGAGCTGTGATTGGCGGAGGATCTAGAGGCGGAGGAGGAAGGGGGCATGCTATTGGTGGTGGAATGTTCTTCGTCGGAGAGAAGGAGGAGATGGAGCATGTTAGAACGACGACGACGGTGGTGATCCCTCCTTTACATATAGAATTTACTCTTTTATTTGTATCTATACATTTTTTATTTATTTGTTTATACTCTTTTTGATAGGCAAAGGCAAAAAATGAATCCTGTCATTGGGGGAGAGAAAGAGAGATTTCTAATAATTGAAAAATATATAATTACTGAAAATTATATGATTAATTAGAGATTTTTAAGTTGATTTTAGTTTGGAAATCTATAGACATTAATATTTAACAAAAATCTTACATATATTAGGATATGATATGAGATGATCTATAATGAAGAATAATATGGTTGACTCTATATATGAATAATAACTTAATAAGTCAACATATTTAAAATAGGGGTGAATCCAAATATTTTTCTTCATTTAACTAAGAATAAAAGATTGTGTTGATGATTTTTTTTTTGTTTATAAAACATACAAAAATAATAGATCTACGGCGTATATATGTTGTATATCAACATTTAATTCGTATAGGATAGAACATTTAATAACATTTGTCTATGATAAAATATTATTTTAAAATCGTTCAAAAATAATTGAGTAATTACACTTCTAGAAAAAATGTGTTTTGTCTTTTGAGTTCTTTGGAAAACCAATGAACAAAATAAAGCATGGATGGTTGAGTAATAAATAAGGTTCAGGATAGTAGTCTAGTAGACTAGAGTGGCCTCAGAAGGTTGTAACAATGGTTCGCATTTGATCAATTTTGAGGAAAATGTCTCTAGAGTTGGTAGCTAAACCAATTTACCTCAAGTCTACTTGCGGTAGAAGCTAATTAATCAGTATCCCAGATGCAGTTGGTCTGGCATGACTTGCCCCATGGTTACAATGATAAAAGAAAAGAGTAGGTGCGTCAGTCCATCTTCTCATTCGAATTTATGGAAAATTAGTTTAATAGTTTTCTAAATATTTAGGGTATTGCTGCAAATCACACGTAACATGTCATGTCAGGTCATGTGTCTATGTTTGTATAAACTAGCCGTTTAATAAGTCATGTCATGTCTTCGTTGATTGGCTTGCTTTTACAATTTCAAGAAAGTTTTATGTTTGTCCTATATGTTTTGTGTCACATACGAAATATATTTTAAGGAAAAGGCACAAGGATGAATCAAGAATAATCTCACTCTTAAAAGATATTTTAATAAAACGTGGTTTGTCGGACTAAGTGTCCTTGAGGTTTTGATTATATTTCAAGGAAGAATCAAGAATATTCTCGGATTTAAACAATGAAACTATGATTCGATTCTTACACAACTTTTCCTGTCGACTCTAATGAGATTCTTCGACTTGCAATTCAAGTAGAGTGGCCTATTTCAAGGTTTTAATCCCCAACTTGACTAGAGGCTCTACAGAGCCTCTCTTACTCACACTCGTAGCTTCTTCCAGCTTCACTCACTACTTGCCACCCGAAATTCAGATAATCATATGATATAGTAACAGTCATTGATAGAAATATAAACATACATTCAAACAGCATACCCAAGGTCTTTTACTTCAGGTTTCAGTTACAAGTCTAGAACGTGACATTAGCTACTTCCATTACCATTACCCTTACTATTACCAGTACATGACCATACCCACTTTTAAGTGACTACATACATGACATTCACCAGATTCGATTATATACGTGTTACCCTCTACTGACTGGTATGCCCCTTTAGTAGAACTCACGATCCGGAAGGATGAGCGGTGCGATGAGTGTCCAGATGTATAGTCCCGCCGTGACCCAACCGGTGCATATCTTGACCCACACCGAGGTCCATCCCACATCGATCAGAGATGCACTCTCTGAGGAATCAGTCCATCCCGATAGAAGCATTGCAGCGTACATGCTCGCAAGAGCAAATATTATATGGAAGAAGGAGTACGAGTAGCTCACAGGCCGCGCCTCGGCTTCACCACCCTTCTTCTTCCCGTCCTCTGGATCCTCTAACAATGCCTCTCTCCCACCTGCAAATAACATTTTCAGCATAACAGAAGAAACAAAAAGCCGAGTCTAGTTCAGCTTTTTTATTTTACAAAACCGAAAAACTTAATGTCCAAGCGTATTGAAGAGTTTGGTGAAAATACCAGATCTAGGAGAAGACGGTGGTGAGAGGAACGTGGTGGAAGAGCCAGCTCGGAGGGCGGAGTATAGGACCGAGAGAACCGTGGTGAGCATTCCAAGGATGAGAGTACTTGCGTTCACTGCCTTGGATTTGTTAAGTCCATTGCACACATAATCATGTGGTTCGCTAGATAGACCCGTGTAACAGACATAAGCACAGTAAACCGAAATAACTGACGCCGGTAAAAGACTGCCATTCACCGCAGGATGTAACGCAATAATAGCAAAAACAAAGGCCAGGATCATCGGCATGACGATGAAGAAAACATTTAGTCCACAATCATGACCAGATGGGTTGAACCAGATGAACAGGATTCCTGAGAAGGCGTATGTAGCAATGTAACACACAATTGATATGACAAGCAGAGCAATGTACCTGCATAAAGAACCCTATTAGTCAGAAAATTATCATTAATCAAAAGGAAAAATGAGTAGAAAAGATGTTGAGCATACCATTTCTTTTCATCCTTTTCGACCCATGAATCATTCCAGTTATGTGTAGCATCTAACAACAAGACCACTTGAACCAACAGAAACGCTCCAGCACCAAATTTTGATAAAGTTCCTGAAAGAATGTGCACACACTGAGATTAGCCCGCATATATATGGCTTCACTCTTACAGAGATGAAAAAAAATCACAACTTGTAAGTCTCAATCTTATAGCAAATAGAAACAGGAAAGGAAGAGTTCCATCAACTATTTTGTCGTACTTGCAGCTACACCAACGCACGATATATAACCACACAAATTGTCAACCTGCTCGTATTCAAGCTCATCAACTAAAACCTGATGAGATCGGATTTTGCAGACCAGTAAAATTCTAATAACATAAAGATAACGTGATGACCACAAGAAGCAAAAAAACATGAGGAGCAAAGAAAATTACCATAGATTGAGACGATAACATTTGGAACAAAAAACATGAGGACAACAAGCAAAAACCATACAATCATCTTCAAACCCCATCCGCCATGGTGCCACGAGTCACGCCTGTCGTTCTGGTCCTTCACACCGATCATGATCAAAGCATATATCGCAAAGAAGAGGAAATTCCCAAAGCTCACACGAAGAACAGCTTGCTGCTGATACCATTCTGTGGTATATGAATCGGAAGTATTTATCCCTGTTTGTTAAGCAAACACCAAAACTGAGATTTTGTACCAATAGACGATGAGGATTCCTCAAAACTCTAACGAAGATCACGCAGGCATAACATGAAGCATAAGCAAACACAATTCAAAGATATCCATCCATCAACACCTAGATTGAGATTTCTATTGCCGCTACAAAGCTAAAAACGATCATGGTTGGCCAAGTTAATATCAATCATGTCTCAGTATTTAAACCTCTAAAAACAAAATCAACAAGGCATAAGCAGGAAAAAGGAGAACGTTCAATCACCAAAGCCATCACCCAAAAATCTATCGTTAACCACAGGACTCAATTCAATTGACAAGATCCGAGAAAACCCAAATTCGAAATTGATGGTTGGTTCCAACTCCAATCACCAATCAATCTCATTTAAGCAAAAAAGGAATCTCTTTTAAGCTTAGAAGAAAAAAGCGAGAGTCTTTTTTCTGATTGTAATGACGGAGTAACAAAAGAGAATCGTACAAGGGAGTTTCTCAAGGAGCGGAGCACCAGTCTCGCGAAGAATCCAGGAGACGACAAGAGAAGCACCGAAGAGACCACAATAAGCGATCCTCGCTGATTTCCTCGAGATCCCCGACGCCACCGATGAGCACAACCCACAAGTCGCCGACGCACAGCACGAAGCTAAGCAACACGCCATCGTTTGTCTTTGACTTCCCAATTGCTCTGTTGTTTCTGTTTGTTGTGTTCGTTCTAATCAAAATTTTCGAGATATTACGAAATCTGTACCTAACAAATGAAATTATCATTTTAACCCATTTACCCTGAAGCCGTTGCTACAAGTCTTTTGGTCAAAAGAGAGAGTGAGATTAACGAGTAAGCTTAAGATGATCATTACATAGAGTTTAAATCCTAGTTAAGGGCTCTGGTAATACAGAATTCAAATTCACAAGACCAACCAACAGAGATTAAGTTTGAAACTAGACATACTTGATACTAACTTCGTTATAAGCATCAAGCAAGTGGTTTCAAGGATAATGCTTATTATTATAACCTTTCTTCGATTTTGTGGTGGCGGACGAATTGAACACCTCAGCAGCAGATTCGACAGAGATCGCTGTTGTGTGAAGAATGTCAGGACTCAGGAGAATAGTCTGTGTCACTCTTTGTCTCATCATCACTGATCTCTTCCACTTGTGTCGTCACGCTATCAAGAGAATCGTCACTCTTTTCACTCTCCGTCCCATCAGAGATTTCTTCCACTTCAACGGCTGCACGAATCTCCTTGCAACCTCCGTGGCCGAATATACTCACTTCATAACGTCGGTAACCATCAAAGACAAAACTCAAGACCTCTCCGTCTTTAAGGTCATTATCCGCCACAAAGTTGGCCCAGCCTTTTTCGAAATACACTTGATCTTGCTTGCTCTTCATTGCTACTTTCCAAATCTTCCCACCAGATCCCATGAGAATCGCAGTCTTGGGCAACCGACGCGGCAAGTGTTCGTAGTACGAACATGGTATCAGCTGCTCAACACAAACTAAACTCTTAAAGTGACTGATGAGCAACAAAAGAGCAGTAAGGAGGGTTAGTTTAAAATAGGGATTTGTAAGATTAATAATCAGTAAGGTTAAATCTAAGCATGCTTACAAACTCAGTTCAAAAACCACAATGGTAGAACAAGGAAGCCTCTTCGTCAAATATACTTTTGACTGATTCACCATATTTGAATGTAAACAGAAAATCTTAAGCTTAAGTAGTGAAGAAAGTTCAAAAACCTTTGTTTATTGTAAAGAGAGTTACAATGTTAGTTCAGATCTCACTCACATACCGCTACCGAACATAGCAAAAAACAAAACCAAACAAAATAGATTTTCCTATGAAACCAGTTAAGTCAGACAGAAAATCTCACCAAGTAGTCAGAGCTGTACTGGGAAAGATAGACACTGAAGAAACGAGGAAGAACATCACCGGAAGCCATGGATAACGTATGAACTGTGAGACAGAGAAAGAGAGCATATGAATTAGGGAGTTGAAAGCTACAAAATTTAAAAGAGTTTGGGAACAAAAGAGAAGAGATCGATTCTTACCAAGGAAAAAAGTGGAGAGTTTGTGTTCCAAAGTCCAAACTAAAGGAAAATGAGAGAGATAATAAAAGAGAGCAATGACAGCAGAACAGAGTTAATGTACAAACCTGTGTTTCTCTGTCATTTCTTTTCATACAACATTACAACCAATGAGATATTAGTACAGTATTGCTTTTTCCACTTTCTTTTATGTTGTTTTCTTAAAAATCTCTATCTCTGACCAAAGTATCTGCATCAGATCAAGAAGGGATTCAATCCCGGATTGAAATCAAACGAATCCTATAAACTTAGTTAGCTAATCATCCATTGTTTTACACTGTGGCTAGTCATGAGGTTTACTACCGGTTTTAAAATTGATAGCTCTGTTTATCCTATAAATGATTAGAAACACTGGAGGATAAAACAAGGCAAGTATATAAATAGAAAATAACAAGTCACAAAATACATTGGGTTATTTGGTCTGTAAAAGCAGTAGGAAACTAGGAACACCAGAATTAACCGATAGAGGTTGGAAATTAAACCGGTTCAAGATTAAACTCAATTCCGATGTCGCAGGGTGGAAATAAACAATTAAGGATCCAAGTGGCGTGTCGGATCCAAACCTAAACACAAATCCTTAAAAAGGTGTCGATTCTGAAAATATTAGTAAGCCCATTAAGAATCTAAAAACAGGTCTAATTTGGACCAATATTATGAATTATGATAGTAAGGAAGCTCGAGACCAGTACGTGAGAAGAGTCTCCGCGTAGGAGTGTTCTTAGCTTAGACAGGCCCAATTTGGCCCACTACTACCCTAAAGTGAACAGGCCTAATTTGGCCCAATATTACTCTGAGCTAAGACAGGCCATAATTAGACAGCTTTAAAATGAAAGGTGGTTTTCAGATTGTCTGTGTACTTTAATATCTTAGGACAAAGACATTTGGTGTAGCCCTTTGGAGTTAAAGTCACATGTTAAAACAGAGTCCCAACGGGCAACGGCCAACAACATATTCACGATCAGAACCATATACGTACAAATCCCATACTTATTCAATCTTTTACTCTAGTTAAATGTATATCCTCGTGGTCTTTCAATTTGGTAACCAGGCTATTGCAAATTTTGCTGCAATGGTATGAATGGTTTTGTTTCCTTTTGAGATTGATTGACTTATTAGCTCAAGCCTCAACGTTTAACAAAACAGTCTTTTAAGTGTCATGTTTATTTTCAAACTCAAATTCTATATTTGAGCAAACAAAAAAAAAAATCTAGAAACAAAATAATAAGATAAATTAAAAGAGATAGATGAACTATTATTGTGAATAATGTAAATTTAACACTTTTATATTTAAGCTAAAATGGTATTGAAAAATAGACTAGTACTAATCTGAGAAGAAGAAGAAAAAAAGAAAGTTCGTATATTGTCTTTATCTAAAAGTGTTAGTTTTTTTTTTTATACTAAATCTCGTCTAGTGATAATTATAACATCTGAGCCTTGAGTTTATCCTTCACCCACATCGCCTCTTATTTATGAGCCAATTTTTGCATGTATCCTCCAATAACATAATAGTTTTAGTAATTTATATCTCTCCTCTGCAGAGAAGAAATAGGAGCGGCGGTGGAGAGGGCAATAACACACACACAAAAGAATAAAACAAAGGCATGTGACGCCAATCAAACACCATACATGTAAGATACAACACAGAGACGAAAATTCAATTGTCTAAACGAAAAGACGAGAGTACCCTTACCGGCACACCGACGCGACCTTGTGAAAACGCTTCGTTGCCCACATGTCGTTGCACAATTATTTAGCGCGGTCCTCGGCCTCTTGTCATGGTAAATCCATTACAGCGACAGGGTTGTAATCGTCTCGACAACAAAATTGTCTTTTTATCTCTCTCTCCCCGTCCGCCTCCTCTGAATTGCTTATTTGGCTGCACTCTCAATTCCTAAATTTTCTCGGAGATCTTATTTTTTAGCTGTCAAAATTTTTCCTTATTTCTTTTTTGTCGACTCTAGAGTATATGTTGTTTGGTTTTGTTTAGTCACCACCAAAAACAAAAAAAATATCTCTCAAGGGCTTTTAATCCTCCCTTTAGTTTCCTTTTTCTCTCTTCCGAGAATTGGGAGGATTTTAAAAGCTCTTGTAAAAATCCAAGAATCAAACAAAGGAAGTGAATCATTCATTGCCATCATCTTCGACGAGTTCAGTGATATAACCCATCATCGAAGTATTTAGAGTAAGTTTTATGTTTAATTTTTAACTTATAAAGTTTTGGATTTTTTTGACTTTTAATGTTTTCTCGGTGGAATAATCTAAAAACTTGTTCTTTACTTTACCAAGGAAAAAAAACTCATATTGGTAATTGTCTTGTCGTCAAGTTGATTTCTTTTGTTGTGAAATATATTTTCTCACTTGAATCCTATTTTTCTGGGTTTTTTTTTTGGTTTTTGGTCGGATCTTCAGATGCCGGAGAAAGGAGTGATTTTGCCTCCGGTGCCGAGCCAGTTGGTGCTTCTACGGCCGAGCCATTTGCTTCAATGGCGGCTTGGTGCTCTAACAGCACTCGTCTTCTTCCTCATGGTAGTGTTTTGGAGCATTGATGGTTGTTCCATTCAAAGCTTCGTTGAGCCATGGAGATTCAATGCTTACTCTGTTCGTATTAGTCCTTCTCCGTCGCCCTCTCTTCGGATCAGTACTTCTCCGTCGCCTTTTATGTCACCTAAACCCAATCTAGAATCAGAGAAACTTCAGCGCCACAATCTCACTATACACGCGACGAAGGTGGTTCCACGGAATCTGGATCCCAAGGAGACGAATCTTACTTCGAACACGACCCTGGTTCGATTCGGGTGGATTGCCGCCGAACTGGGAAATAATTTCACGGCGAAGTTGATGAGAAATTGGTTGGCTCCGGGAGGAGCGCCGTGCAGAGAAGCGAAAACCGTCGAGATATCAGTTCCCGGCGTCGACGGGGTTGATTCGTTAGAGTTAACCGCCGGTGAGATCCATGAATTCAAATTCCAAGCCTTGGATGAATCTGGTAAACACGTTTGCATCGGTGGGGACTATTTCGAGACTGATTTATCCGGCGAGAGTTGGAAATCGAGGCCTCCGGTAAAAGATTTCGGCAATGGAACTTACTCTTTCTCGTTACAGGTTCATCCTGAGTTCGCCGGAGAATACAATCTCACCGTCATTTTGCTCTTCCGTCACTTTCAAGGCCTTAAGTTCAGCACTTCACGTTTAGGCTTCGATCGGAAGCTTCGTAACGTCCGGTTACGATTCGTGAAGAAGCATGACGTTACTCTGCCGGCGCTCAGGGCATGTAAAAGATCTGATTTTAACAGAGATGCTTGGTCAGGACGATGGACTAGACTAGGGAAGAACGATGAGTGTCAGATCAGCAATGACGGGCGTTACCGCTGCCTCGCCGCAGATTTCCCTTGCCGGAAACCGTGGTGCGACGGAGCGGTTGGAGCAATAGAGAGCAATGGTTGGGTTTACTCTAGCCATTGCTCTTTTGAGCTATTCTCTGGTGATAAGGCTTGGGATTGCTTGCAAAACAAGTGGATCTTCTTCTGGGGGGATTCCAATCACGTCGATTCGATCAGAAACTTGCTGAATTTTGTATTGGGTCACCCGGAGATCCCCGCTGTCCCGAGGAGATTCGATTTGAAGTTCTCGAATCCGAAGAACTCGTCGCAGACGGTTAGGATCACGAGTATCTTCAACGGTCATTGGAATGAGACAAAGAACTACCAGGGCCTTGATTCCCTTATAGACTGGGACTTTAGAGAATTGCTCAAGAAGTACTTCACGGAAGACCGTGTTCCCGACGTGATGATCGTGAACTCGGGCCTACACGATGGGATTCATTGGAAGAGTCTTAGAGCCTTTGCAAAAGGAGCTGAAACCGCAGCTACATTTTGGAGAGAAGTTTTTGACAAGGTCAAAAGCAGGGGATTGCAACCGCCTGAGGTGATTTTCAGGAACACAATCGCCACAGGAGGCTACGCGAGAACGTTAGCGTTTAACCCAAGCAAAATGGAGGCGTTTAACGGAGTGTTCCTCGAGAAAATGAGAGACTTAGGATTGGTCACAAGCGTGGTGGATAACTTCGATATGACGTATCCGTGGCATTACGATAACCGGTGCAACGACGGAGTACACTACGGAAGAGCTCCAGCGAAAATGAAGTGGAGGGACGGTGAGATAGGACATCAGTACTTTGTCGATTTGATGCTCGTTCACGTATTGCTGAATGTATTGTGTGTGAGATAGAGATGGTCAAGTTTGGTTTAGGGAGACTCAGGGATTCTTTATTTATGTGTAGACTTTTTTCTTTTTTCTTCCTTTTGGAGTATAGATTATTATTATTTGGGAAAACTCAACTCAAGCTTGAGTTTGATTGTATAATAGTGAGAGATTTGAGCAACAAGTGTATGTGTACTATACATATCTGGTTGACATTTTCTGATAATAATGATACTAAAATAGGAACAAGTTTATAATTTTGCTCAACTATAAACTGACTTCTGAGGTTGGAACTAGGAAGTAACTTGTTTTAGACATTTATTGCTCTCTTGAAGAGATGGTCTTCCCAAAAGTCCTAATAATCATCTTCATCTAGAAAACAATAGTGTCATCGACAAGTTAACTTCATTGCATATATGTAAAGTATACTGTAATTTGCAAAAGTGTTCGGTTTATTGCTTTGTAATAAAATACAAAAACCAAGTGGGCTAATATTTGTTACATATATCTTCGAGGTTTGTAATAAAATACAATATTCTATAGAAGAAAGGGAAAAAAGAAATAGACCAAGAATAATTAATCATTTCAATTGGGGTCAGATGAATAATCTCCTTCATTGTAAAGCCTAAAATGAAGAGGAAAAACGAAATAATTGGAAACCAAAAGGGAGATTAAAGTTTCCATAATTCATAATGGGTCAAAGTTCGAGCATAGTGTTTGTGTGTGTTAGTTTATTAAGTAAGGTATTATCATCACAACTTGATAAAAGAGAAATAACGAAGTATTTGTCGACGACCCAAACACCAAATTTTCCTTCACCACATGAATATAATCTATCCCCAACTATTTTAGATAAGTGCTTCTTATATTTGCTGGCTTAATATGTGAATCATATTTTTTTGTTCACATATTTTTTTGATAAAACTGACCAAATATCAATTGAGACTTAAAAAGTAATTTTATCATTTATGAGTTGAAAACTAGACTAATTTTTACTTTTGAGACACATCTATATATGTGAGAATTAGCTTTGGTCTAGCTTAATTAAATATGATAAATCACTAAAACAAACAAGGATGGACATTGCACTATTCGTTTCACTAACTCTGGTTAATAGATTTTTGACTCTTTTCTTTTCACAATATGGTGTGTATTCATCTTGCATTCACTAATCACTAGTTGGCATTTGGCACACACACACATATATATATATATATGAATATTCACAATCTAAACTCCAATATCTCACTCTCCTGAGCCATCAAAAAAAAAAAGAGAGAGAGAGAGGGAAGAAAAAAAAAGGGATATGAAAACATCAAAAATGAAGTTCACAAAAGAGATGATGGAGTCTATCAAAGACAAGCTCCCAAGACTCAGCTTTCTCCTACTCTTCCTTCGTCAATGCTACGGTGGTTGCGGGGACCGAACCCATTTACTCCCTTGCTCCATCGCCACCACTTCAACCCGCTTTTGGAACCTCTCTGACCGTCCCGTGGAGCTCCAGATTCGGGTCGGTTCAGTCCTAAAACGGGTCCACACTCTCAAACCCGGGCGTTCCAAGAGGCTAAGACACAGCAACATACACAGAGCTTACGTGGATGACCAGGAAGGACGTAGGTGGTTGTACTACGACGAAACGTGTCTACCGTACGTATGGGTGCACGAGACCGGTACGGACTTGTCGAAGATGGTCAAGCAACAGTACGTGAGTCTCGAGGATCTGAGGGATTACTCGGAGATTAAGGTTTTTAAGGATTTACATAGAGGTTGTGTCTCAGTTGAGAAAAGAGACAGAGCTTCTGCTTTGTGTTGATTCTATTTCTTTCTCATGCTTCTAATTAATCTTTTAAATTTTCCCCTTGTGATCAAATTTATCGTTATTGGTTAGTTAATCTATATTATTTTTACGTTCTATATAGATAAATATGTATTTTTATGTGATACATGATGCATCATGCATGTATCTAATAATCTATTTGTAATTCCATCTCCAATATGGCAATATTGATTATTGACTCTTCTTTGAATTTGGATGTATTGGGATTAAACAATGTCATGTCATCACTAGTTGATCTCTTACCAAAAGGGGTAAACTAGTTCTACTACTCCGAATTACAAATTAATCACAAAACTTTATCATGGTCGTCGGTTGAATTTTGTGGTACAGTAGTTGAGAACCAATATGGTTTGGGTGACATTTTTAAGTGAACACAACTTGATTAATACTTACTAGTGCTACTTATAGTGTAAGTGATCTTTGCTACAGGAATGGTTTATAATCGGAAAATTAGAGGCTTCTTATAATATAGTTTCCCAAAATAGTGATGAAACTAAACAAAGTTTCTTAATGATATTACGAAGACTATTCCTTTCCTGGAGTAATTTTTTCCTCTCATTTGGTGGAGAGATCTATCTTATCTTTACACGTTTCTCGATGTTCAATAGTGCGTTTGTGTTTTCGTTTTATTTTTCGGTTGGAGAAAGGCAACAAAACCGAGTGAAGTGCTTTGATGGCAGGCAGAATAATGAGCTTTTTCCTCTGATCCTCTCCACTCTGATAGACCCATTAATCAAAATTCATTCAATTGTGTCATATAGCTAGTATCCAATATTCAACATGTATGATGCAATAATAGACTTCTGGTTATAACCCAACAATGACTTAGTGGAACTTAATGAATGATGATGATGTGATCAATGTAGCTTCAGATATCAAGTTTTAGGAATCGAATTTAACAGTTTATAGACTCAGAATAAAACATAGTTTCTCAATAGTCCTAGAGTTGACTTATGAGTAGCAGGGTAAGTGAGATTAGGTGGTAAACGTATATAAAAAGTCAAAGTTACGAAGAAACTGAAACCTAACTTTTTTATTTTGTTCAATTAACTGAAAATAATAAACCGAACTCTAAACCGAACCGGAAAAGACAGTCGGTTTTTAAAAAGTAAAAAAAAGGGAAAAAGAAGTAAAGAAAGTCAAAAAAGGAAAGTACCGGAATCGTGAACAAGACATCTGTCTCTGGTACCAAATCTTCTTCTTTTCTTCAGTCTCTCTCTCTCTCTCTGCTTCTTCCTGTTCTGCTTTCTGTCTTGTCTCTTTCAATTCTCATTGTCGTTCTCACCAATGGGAATCTCTTTTAGCAACAACAACAACAACAGAAGACGAGACAACAATCGTCGTCTCCTCCACCACCACCATCCTCCGCCACCTTTCTATTACATCGATCCTCCTCCTCCTCCATCGCCATTCCCACCGCATTATGACTACAACTACTCCAGTTACCATCTCTCTCAGCCTCTACCCCCACAGCCTCAGATCAACCCTTGTTACCATTACTACCCTCAGCCTCCTCACTATTTCACCACCGCTCAGCCCAATTGGTGGGGTCCGGCGATGAGGCCCGCCCATTACGGTCCGCCTCAGCCGCAACCGCAACCGCTCCCACCGCCGTACGTGGAGCAGCAGAACGCGAAGAAGGTGAGGAACAACGTCAATGTGCATAGAGGTACAGTGAGGCTCGAAGTGGACGATCTCGTCCCTGGCCACCTTCTAGTTTCCTTCGTCTTCGATGCCCTTTTTGACGGCAGGTAATATTCACCTATCTGATTACGGCTTTGATCTGTCAAGATTGCGTGTAATGTGATTGGATTTCTATGGTTCAGAGTAAAGAAAGGGTCTTAATTTTCCTGATGCTTAGAACCATAACCTCAACGGAATTGGCAAATTAAGGTCTAGGGAGTGATGAAAGGAAAGATCTTTACCCGTTGGAACCAAATGGAATTAGAAAAGGTTCAAGCTTTACATGATTTGTGTGATGGGTATGTGTATACTGATCCCATGGCTTAATCTAGAATGTGTTGTGTGTATGTGTCTTCAACTCAAATTTAGATCAGAAACGTTCAGAGAGATCCTTGTACCAATCCCATCTCTCTTCACAATTGGATTAACTTTACTTGTATGATTTGTATTGACCAATGTTAAGATTATTATTCTCATTGTGTTCTCATTTCATTTTCAGTTTCACTATCACTTTCTTTGCTAAAGAGGAACCAAACTGCACGTTTGTCCCGCAGTTTCCCGAGGTCTATTCACCAACTAGATTCCATTTTCAGAAAGGTCCTGGACAGAAGTTTCTGCAGCCTTCAGGGACAGGAACCGACTTGAGCTTCTTTGCTCTTGATGATCTGTCACAACCTTTAGAAGAAGATGTGTATCCGCTTGTTATTTCAGCTGAGACGGTAATAGAGCCAAATCCCATCTCAGAGCAATCATCAGTTCATAAGCAAGTCACACAAGCGGTTCTCGAGAAGGATAGTAATGGATCTTTCAAAGTGAAAGTTGTGAAGCAGATTCTTTGGATTGAGGGAGTTCGATATGAACTCCGCGAGTTGTATGGCTCGACTACTCAAGGTGCAGCCTCGGGATTAGAGGACAGTGGTTCGGGTAAAGAATGTGTGATCTGTATGACTGAGGCTAAGGACACAGCCGTGCTGCCTTGCAGACATTTGGTAAGACTTTCTCAATCTTTTGCTTTTGGTTTCTAAAGTTGGCATTTGATTTCTCAAACCCCACTGATATCTCTGCTTGATATTACCAACATTAATGCATTAAATTCGATGAAAGCATCGGAAATAATTCAAACGGTAAAAGTAAAATTCTGTTATATAAACTTCCAAATTTTCATATTTTCTTTGGTGTTTTCCGATCAAATTCAAGCTACAATATCTCTAGATTTACTGTACAGTCAATTTCAAGAAAAAAGCATTTTTATTCGATCGTATTATAATGTTTTGTATGTCCCATCTTTGCAGTGTATGTGTAGCGACTGCGCCAAAGAGTTGAGGCTTCAGTCGAACAAATGTCCGATTTGTCGACAACCCATCGAAGAACTCTTAGAGATCAACGTGAACAGTAGTGATGAACAACACTAGTTGTAAAGAAAAAAAAGGGGTTCTCCCTTTACTTAAAACACCATTTCTTAGTTGATTCTTTCTTCTTCTTTTTCATAAATCCTCCATATTCTGAATCTGTATTTTAAATCATTATTGTGTGACTTCATACTGCATATAGCTTTTGTTTGGTACAAAGGTTTGTTTGTTAGTTGGGAAATATCAGCTATCCGTATAGGTAGAGCTAATGAACTAAAAGAAGAGCTTTCATTTTCTCTTTACCTTCTTTGAGAACTTGATGACACTCTCAACCAATCTACTTAAATTTGTGTAATTGAATGCTTTTGTTGGTTAGTTTAGGCACACGGATCCAATGTTGTGGTCCAAATTTCATAGTACCCTCGGTAATTAATTTTCTTCACAAGGTCTATAGAAATTTAGAGATTCGCAGATAGCAACATTCTTTACTATGGATCATTCCCTTTTTCTCCATGGTGAGTTTTGGTATTTGCACAGATGCAAAAGAAACAAAAGAGAAAGGTTGAAGAAGAAGAAGAAGAATCATTTTTCTGCTTTTTTGGCCTATTAGGCTATAAAAGTTTTTAAAAACATCAACTGAAGAAAAAGCTGCAAGAAGAAAAAGAATGTTTCCCACTGAGGTTTAGCTTTAAAAGTAACAAAAAGGTCCCTTTTTACGAAAAATAAAACTTTTTTTAAATAGTCTTTGGTTATTCTTTTGACAGAAATGCTCAAACTTTTTTTAACTAAGAAAAGTCTTTATTTGATCTGTTATTGTTATAAACTAAACTAGATAATTACCGACAGCAAAGTGTTTTTCAATTGAACTGATGATCATAACTTGTTTAGACAAAACGTGTATTATGCAGAAAAAAAAAATAATAAAATGGTAACAAAATGGTGATAGCCGTCTATTTAGCTGTAGTTAGCTGAAATATCAATTTGGTTAAATGATCATTTAAAAAAAAAAATTGAGTAAAATGAAATGATATCAACGGTGACGTCGAAGAGAAATATTACCATTTAGAGGCCAAAACGTACAATAATGCACTTTCCGAAAATAAAAATAAAAAAAACGAATCCAACGGGAAAATATGGGTACCACGACAAAAAGCTTAGGGAAATTAATGTCATCTAATTTGTGAAGAGGAAGAAGAAGAAGAAGAAGCACGACATCACATGTGCAGAGACACTCATGTGACCAACAGCTAGCTGCTAGCTATCGAGTTAGGCAACAACACCTCTACGCCAAAAACCTCTATTATTCATCTCTACATGCTTTTTTTTTCAATTATATTTGGAACTTTCCAAATGTGTAAATTATGCTTCTGGAGATTCCATTAATAATTGGACAAGCGTCATATGTTTGAGATTTAAGTCTTGAATTTTCAATGATTTCTTTATTGTCAGATTTAGTTAAAAAAAATGCGATAATTATATAGTTAAGCAGGCATGATTTCAATAAACAAATGAAAGTGTCCGACCTTCACCAACAAAACCATAATAAATAGCCCACTTAGTATATGCGCTCATCCATATATATAGAAGTGAGTTTCTTCTTGTTATAAGCGAAAAGGAGAGAAAACAATGGCTGTTGAATTTGTTTATATGTAAATACTTTATATGCTTACTAGTGATGGACCCGCACGTACGTGCGGAGTTATTTTTACAAAATTACGATTTTTAAGTAGATGCTATTTTGGTAAAATTTTGTTATATGAGTTTATTTGATAAACTATATATAGACATACAGTTGTAAAATATAGATATTGTATTACATAATAAAATTTTCAAATTACAATTTTAAAAATATTTAAATGAAAATGGTAAGTGATATTACGTGTTTATTTTTTAAACTAATCAAAACATTTCTAACAGTTTGCTTAGAGATGTTAAATCAGATTTGGGTTTGACTTTAGTTTTAATTGTTTTATGTGTAGTTTAGAATGGAAAACCCGTCATTTCCCTTTCCGTCTCGTCCTGACCCATCCCGTCCCACCCCGCCCCGTCCCGTCCCGTCTTCTATCTGTCATAAAATTTCTGTCCCATAATCGTTTCTTTTTAAAACATAATCATTTGCCAATGTGTATTATAAGAAACTTGGTAAAACATTTAGACGGGATACCCGTATTCCTCGTTTAAATATTTATTTTTATCAAACTAATAAAAATCTAATTATCAATTTAAGTCACATGCTCCCACCATTTTCATTCACAAGGCATTGTCTGTAATCCTAGCATACACAATCATTGTTCGACTTTTAATTTTATTGATCTTTCAGTTTCATATTTATTTCTCATTACTTTCTTCAATTCAAAAATTCATATTTTAGCCTTTTTGTTTTCTAAAGATTTAGGTATTTCTATTTTTTTTAAACATGGATTTATCGTAGTTTTGTTATCCAAAGTATACGTTATCTTCTTGTACCTGTCATTTCATGTCTAAATATTTGAAATAAATAGGAAAGTGGAAATTAAA